GTGTATCTCTCAGGATGCTTTTGGGGATGGCAGGGGTGATGATCAAGCAGAAGGCAGTGCAGAAGACCAAGAGTCTTGGGTGACTTTTCTGGCATTTAAAGATGCAACAATGACATTAAAATGATCCAGTAGAGGCCAGGAGTGGTGGCTCATACCTGTAATACCAGCTACTCTGGAGGGAGAGGAGGTAGGGTCAAGGCTGGAGGCTGACCTGGGCAAATGCGAGCCTATCTGAAAACAAACTAACAGCAAAAGGTCTGGGGGCATAACTCAAGTGGTAGAGTGCTTGCTTAGCAAGCTGGAAGTCCTGGGTTCAATCCCCAGTACTGCCCAAAAAAAGAAACAGGAAAAGGAAAAAAAAGTGGAGACTCACCTCAACTGTGTCACATCATGGGAGGAGATGGAAGAAAAGAAATACAAAGCAAGAGTAGCAGGCATGGCAAGCAGAGAGGGTGGCGTGATTTTCAGCACTGGGATCCAGCCCAAGGGACAGGGCAGGCCAAGCAGAGTCACTGATGGTGGCTGCTCAGGCTCCTGAAAGTGCTGGCTGTCATGAAAGAGTCCATAGGCCACAGCACAGGCAAACCACACTCAGTGCCTCGTGTCGCCCTCCAGACCCCAGTGTGGTCTGGAGGCCCTTGTGGCCTGATATTTCAGGAAGCAGTGACTTCTCGTTCCTCAGAATCACTGCTGTACTCTGCCACGTGCCCTGCCCCAGTGGCTCACGGGACAAGGAACCACCTGGCATCATGTCTCTGTGACTCTTCTCCCAACTGTGGATGGTCCCGCCTGTACTTCTGCGAGCCCAAGCCCTCTCCCTCCTCATCCGTCCCCCCTCTGCTCCTGCTGCTGCAGAAAACTTCCCTTACCCATGGCGGAAGCAAGATTTGCAGTTATCCTGGGCACAAGTCTAAGTCACTCTTTCAAATCCATCATCTTTATTTAAAAGACTAAAAAAACAGCTAAGTGCTGGTGACTCACGCCTGTAATCCCAACTACCCAGGAGGTAGATATTAGAAGGATTGTGGTTTGAAGCCAGCCTGGGCAAATAGTTCATGAGACCCTATCTTGAAAAAACCCTTCATAAAAAAATGGCTGGTGGAGTGGCTCAAGGTGAAGGCTGTTAATTCAAGCCCCCATACCTCAAAAAAAATTTTTTAAAAGACCAAAAAAGGCCTTTTCTTTTTTGTAATAAAAGTAATAGTAAAGTTTATTAGGAAAGGAATTTAGTACAACAGGATGAAAGAGGGGAGAAGTGGGAAATGGGAGGAGAGACTCCAAGAAAGCCTTTTGAATTGTGGAGTTTCTAGAGGAGGGAAGAGCACAGTGGACTTCCATGGACCCATACCTCGCTTCAACAGGGACTAAAAAAAGGCCGTTTTCATGTCTATAATCCCACCCACCCACTTCCCAGGGGACAATTTTAAAGCATTTCTCAGACTTCCTATAATTTTATTCACAAATATTTCATCAAGCCGTGGTCTTTACATTGTTCTCGGTAACTTAGAAGGAGATTGAGTTCTGTGTGGGGTGAAAGGTGCCTTCCAGTAGACTGACTTTAATGCCTTTTCCTTTTGCCCCTTTCTTTGTTGTTTATGAAGCTGGATCTCACTGAGTAGCCCAGCTAGACTTGAACTCATGACCCTCCTGCCTCCCAGCTTCCTGAGTGAGTGTTGGGTCTTAATACTTTCTGTTGTCTCCAACAATCCAAAGGGGACCAAGCTCAAATGCCCTCCTCAGCCAAGTCCTGTGGTGTTGCTGTTCCCTGCTCGGCCTCTGAATTCCCTTCCAGCCTAGGCAGTCCATCACTGCATGAGTCTTTGTATTTATTTTTGGGTTTTTTGCCGTACTGGGCTTTGAACTCGGGTCCTCATTCTTGCAAAGCAGGCACTCTATCGCACGTCTTTTTTGCTTTAGTTATTTTTCAAATAGGTTCTCGCTTTTATGCCTGGGCTGGACTACTATCCTGTATTCATGCTTCCTCTGTAGCTGAGATGACAGGTGTGCACCAGCATGCTCAGATTTTTATTGGTTGAGATGGGATCGTGAGAACTTTTTGTCTGGGCTGGCCTTGAACTGTGATCCTCTGATCCTGCCTCCAGAGTCACTGGGATTACAGGCGTGAGCCCCCACAGTCAATTTCTGATGCTATTCCACTTTGCCTCCCCCTGTTCCCAGCTCGATGCATTTAATCCCATCTCAGCCTGCTGAATGGCTGCACACAACAGTCTCTTCTGCCCTCCACCCTCCCACATACCACCTGTGGCTTCTTCCTCCTGCATCTGAAGTCTTCCCTCCTCTGGGAAGCTGTTCCTGGTTATACCACCAGGAACAATTTGGGGTCAGATTGGATGTACAGTTGACATGTATGTTATTGTTTATGTGTCACTTTTGTACTCTAAGGAGAGTTTAAAACATGGCTTTTAGGCTGGGCACAGTGACTCACCCCTGTAATCCCAGCTGCTTGAGAAGCAGAGGTCAGGAGGATTATGATTCAGGGCCAGGTCAGGCAAAAAGTTTGGGAGACCCCATCTCAACCAATAAGCCAGAGACAGGTGGTATACACCTGTCATCCTTGCTCTTTGGACTGAGGATCACAGTCCAGGATGGCCCAGGCAAAAATGAATCTATCCCAAAAATAACCAAAGCAAAAAGGGCTAGGGCGTAGCTGACATACTTGGTACAGCATCTGCCTAGCAAGAGCAAATCCTGAGTTAAAAAAAAAAAAGCTTTTGTCTTGCAACAATTTATGTTCCCTGTTTGCCACTGTGTATCCTCCTGTGATATTTACTTTTCTGAGCAGGTGTATGTTTTACTTGAAAAAAAAAATTACAAGATGATTTTGGAATCTGAGAGCCCTCCAGGATTCATATCAGGATGAAATAAACTGCTCAACTTTCCCTGCCTCTCTCCTTAGCAAGAAGACCACCATCGGGTGTCCCCTCAGTCTCTTGCTTCACCTTCAACTCTCACCTAGCAGGGATCACAGGGTGGATCACCTTGATAGGTTTATCAATTGAGATGGAGTCAAGATGGAGTCTTGATGACTTTTTTTTCTGTACTGGGGTTTGAACTTGGACTACACCTTAAGCCACTGCACCAGCCCTTTTTTGTGATGGATTTTTTTCAGAATAGGGTCTCATGAACTATTTGCCTAAGCTGGCGTGGAACCTCGATCCTCCCAATCTCTTGCCTCCTAAGTAGCTAAGATTACAGGTGTGAGCCACCAGTGCCTGGTTAGCCTTGCTAACTTTTTGCCTGAGCTAGCCTCAAACTTCGATTCTTCTAATCTGTGCCTCCTGAGTAATGGGATTACAGCTACCTAAACTGATTTTTTTTGTTCTTTTTTTTAAAATATTAATTAAAAAATGGTAAAGACAATACATCTCAAAAGAAAGATTTCTTAAATAAAATAACCCTTTGCCCCAAACCAAACCCAGTTTGCAGCATTGTCTTGTTTCTTGGTTTTGTAAGTCCCAGTCATGTGCATCTCATTAGGAGACAGTTGGATGCTCTGATATGCTCTCAGGCCAGGATCCTGCTGGCCTCTTAGGGTCAGGGAAATCTCGGTGACTCCTTTGGCTACTGGGGATCTCCAGTGGGTCCCAGGCCGTACTTTGAGAGCCCATGGATGAGGTAAGGATTAAATAAGATAACATTTGCAAGGCACTTCATAAGCAATATAACTTTCTCGTCCCCCAGTGCTGGGGACTGAGCTCAGGGTTTGCACTTGCCAAGCAAGAGCTCTTCCACCGAGCTGAGTGCCCACCCCACCCCCTCTTTTTTTGAGGCAGGCTGGACTGGAACTCACCATCCTCCAGCCATCGCCCTACACCTAGCTGCCACTATGTAGTTTTTAGTTAAATGTAAAGCAAATACACAGTACATTTTAAACTTTTTTTTCCCCATAGCTGGGATGGAACCAAGGGCCTTGCACGTGCTAGCCAGGCGCTCCACCACTGAGCTACATCTCAAGTTCCAAAAATTTTTAAAAAAATAAATATGTACCATGTTGCGGTGGGCTTTGGCTACAAGGGCCTTAAGGTCTCTGCCTTCAAGGACCAAGGACGTCCCAGTCAGATTGGGGGAGGCACCTGAAACCTGAGCCTTACAACCCAGGATGCTGAGCAATCCGATGGGGGAAGGGACGCGGGTCTCTCAACCACGCGAGAGGGTGCGGGGTCAGGAAAGGCCCTCCTGGGGTGATCTGTGGTCTGTTGGACAGTGTACTTACCAAAGTCGAAAGGACAGGGGGCTTGGGATAAGAAATCTCTTGGCGCCGAGATCCAGAAATTCAAATCCCGGCTTGGCCTCCACTGTGAAGTGGTGTTTATGTCACAAGAAACCGCTAATGGTCGGGGCTGGGCGGGCGGGGCAGCCCGGCAGCTTTGGGGACAGAGGACCCCTTGCCCTGTCTACCCTTTCCCCCATTGCGTCTGCGGAGCGAGGAGCCGGGAGCCACTAGGTCGGCCTGGTGACCGGATCTGCAGGGAGAGTCTGCTGGCCTGGGCGTGGGGGGGTCCCCGCTTTCTCCCCAGGATAAGCCCCTCCCGGGTGCCCACCTCTTGACCCCTGCACTCCTGTCCAAGGCGGACGCCACCCCACAAAGCAGCGAGACCGGCGGCGCTCTTCACCGGGTCCCCTCCGGGTGGCCTCGACCCCTCCCAGGCGGCGGGCGGGGGAGGAGGAGCCGGGACCGGGCGGGGGGAAGGGGCGCGCGTCCGGACAGATTGGGGGTGCATGGGCGAACAGCCCCGTCCGGTTGCAGGCAGAAGTAGGGGGGCCTTGGCTGGGGGTTGGAAGCTGCGGGATCGGCGGGTGGGGCGCGGGCTCGCCGGCCCCCAGGGCGCCCCTGGGCGGAGCGAGGCGGGCGCGCCCCTCGCCAGGCCGGGATCGGGGCGGGGCGCGCGGCATCCCCGCGGGGGCGAGCGGTCACTCGGCCTCGCCGCTGTCGCCAAAGTTTCCCGGAGGAGCGGCGGGCCGCCCTTCCTCCCCGGCCGCGAGCGCGGGGGGCGCTGCTCGGGGGAGATCGGCTTCCGAGGGCGGCGGGCGGCGCTGCGACTGGTCCCCGCCGCCTCCATTGCGCCCAAGTCGGATTCCCAACTTGGGAGGCGCCGCGGCCCTGCGCACGCGCGCCTTCCTCGCCACCGCCGCCGCGGCCTCCTCCTCCTCCTCGGCCTCCTCCGCCTCGGCCTCCGCCCCCGCCGCTCCCCGGCTCGGCCCCTGCCCCATGCCCGCGCCGTGCGTCCTCGGCCCGCTGAGCGCGCGGGGGGCCCTCGCCGCCCCAAGTTTAGGACTTGCACCATAGTTGGCCCGGGGACAGTCGCCGGGACCCCGCCATGGACGAGGAGCGGGGGTCCGCGCTGGCGGCCGAGTCGGCGCTGGAGAAGAACGTGGCCGAGCTGACCGTCATGGACGTGTACGACATCGCGTCGCTCGTGGGCCACGAGTTCGAGCGGGTCATCGACCAGCACGGCTGCGAGGCCATCGCGCGCCTCATGCCCAAGGTCGTGCGGGTCCTGGAGATCCTGGAGGTGCTGGTCAGCCGCCACCACGTCGCGCCCGAGCTGGACGAGCTGCGCCTGGAGCTGGACCGTCTGCGCGTGGAGAGGATGGACCGCATCGAGAAGGAGCGCAAGCACCAGAAGGTGGGCAGCGGCCTCGGGCTGCCCATCCGGGCAGTGGGGCGCAGGCAACCCCAGGGTGCTCGTGTAGGGGTGCGCGTGTCCACGGGGACTAGACCAGAGGAGGACACACTGGGAGAGGGACGGAGGCCACTGGCCCTCCGCCACCCAGGGGCAGAGCAGGTTAGAGCGTTCCCTGGAGTCAGTTCTGAGTTTCAAAGCTACGGGTACCATTTAATGTGTGACCTTGGGTAAGTTGATTAACCTATCTGGGCTTTGTTTCTTCATTTGTCAAATGACAATCACAACAGGGTCCCCCAGCTAATAAGAACTAAGTGGGTGATACAGGTGAAGTAGTTGATGTTATTTTCTTCCAGAAATGAAATAACCCTCCTGCCTATGGGCATTACCCAAGATGTGATACCAATCACAGCAAACTCCTTTCTTCATCCTACCTCAAGCCGCCTGTCCTCCCTCAGAGCAATGAGACCTGACCTCCAGCCAATGAGTCCCTGGTTCTCTGGGATCACATTTGCAACTTTCTTCCCAGGCTCCCCTATTCTATTAGTCCATACCCTGGGGTGCTCTCCCTGCCTTGATTTTATCTTAAACCCTTCCAGAGCTCTGTAGGTAGGAATTACCTTCATTTACAGATGAGACAGAAGGTCTGAGTGGGGAGGGGGGATGGTCCCAAGTTGGTGATGAGAGAGTCTCAGCCCGAGGGGAAGTAATTTGAGTGCCCCCCCCATTGGGGAGAAGGGGATGATTTGGGGTTAGCCTTAGCCAAGACTCTTTCTGAATCAGGGCCTCCCAGCTGAGAGAGAGACTAGACCAGACTCACCAAGGTGCCTGGGGAAAAGGAAGTGGGGTGGTCCTGTCCTAACCTCAGCCCAGGACCCTTCAGGCTGAGAAGGAGAGGATACGCCTTTCCCTGGGGGATGAGGGTGCCCAGGCTTGCTGCGTGGCCTCAGGAAATTCGTTGCTTGTCTGAGCCTCCGGGCAGGTCACCCTCTAGGTGCTGTGATATTTTCAAAGAAAGTGGCCCAAGCTCAGTTTCCAGCCTTAACCTGAAGACAAACCGGAAGGGCAGGGCAGTTAAGAGCCCCATGGCTGAGTCTCACTGTGTGTCCCCGCCTGGGTCTCCTGCCATGGAGTCTGGAAGGCAAAGAGCCATTGGGAGGCATTTCCGATTTCCGAGGTCACGCTGGGAGTGGGAATACTCAGTTCTGTAATCAATTTCATGAGTCTTAGGAGAAGGGACATTGAAAATAGACAGCCTGGTTTCAAACCCCATGACTTGCGTTCCTGGACAGTCACCCAGCTGCTCTGTGCCTGGTTTCCATGACGGGTGGGATGATCAGTCTGAGCCCTGTAGGGTGGTGAGGATTAGGGGTTAGCATGCAGGGTCCTTAGGCCAGAACTCCCCCTAGCAAGGGCTTTGAGGTGTCACTGCTACCTCAGGCCTGGCGACTCTCACTGAGATGCCCACAGCTGACATTGGAGACCCATCTCCATTCCTGCCCCGAAAGCCTAGGAGGTCTGAGAGGGTGGTGCATTTGCTCTCGCACCTGTCTCTGTTAACAGGGCTGGAAGTGCTGGTGACACCTCTGTCTCCACCCTGATGTGGCTGGGCTGAGCAGCCCAACTGGGAACCACGGGGGTCACCAGGCCCTAGGTCAGGTGACATTCTCAGTCAGCTGTACTTGTGGCACCTGGTGCTCAGGACAGCGCTTATTCATAAACAGCCAGGACCGACCCTTCCTTCCCCAGCCCAGGCCCTGGTGCGTGGTGTTTTAGGGTCGTGAGAGGCTCTGATTTTCCTTCTACAGCCTCGAAGGTTTTTCACGGTGCCGTTTCCACAGAAATCTTCATATGCCCTTGGTCTATCCTTCTCTCTCTCTCTCTCTCTCTCTCTCTCTTTCTCTCTCTCCACCCCTCCCCAAATGTGGCTGCAGTATAGGCTGTACCCTGTCCTCCTGCAGACACTTAGACCCAGTTTGACCCATCACTCAACCCCAGAGACAGTTTGTTCTGTCTTTTTCCTCAGCCTGCAGCCCTGCTGATGGGCCAGAGTCTCAGAACCCCTTCTAAATGAAGAGGTGATACCGAGTAGAGCAAAGGCAGTGGGTGGTGATGGAAGATGGGGAGTCACACAGCAGTCTTCAGAAAGTAGTAAGTCTCTGAAGTAGCTGTGGCTGTGCTTGCATGCCCCATAAACAGCCTGTATTGGTCACTCAGTCAGTCAACAAATGCATTTCTTCTATTTTTGACAGAGCTAGGGAGACCAGTGTGGGGCCTCATGCATGCTAAAGCAAGTCCTATGCCATTGAACTACACGCCAGCCCCCGAATGTGTTTTGACTTCTGTGTCCCAGGCACTGTTCTGGGTGCTGGGCAGACAGGTGAGGGTTGGCTCTTATGGGCCTGGCTTATTTTCTTTCTTTCTTTCTTTCTTTCTTTTTTATGGTACTGGAGTTTGATCTCAGGGCTTTGTGCTTGCTAAGCCATCGCTTTACCACCTGAGCCATGTCTGAAGCCCTGACGTTAAGTATTAGGTAGAGCCCAGGAGAACCAAATGTCTGCATCTTAGCACGGATGCAGGGGCAAAATTACTCATGAGACACTGTCTACTCTTTCTCCTCCCCGCAGCTGTGAAATCCAGTGTGGACTTAACCCTCACTGCTCCTTTCAGTCCACACCAGCCACATTTTGAGTGCTTAGAGGTCACACGGGCTTGTGTAGGATGGTGTAATTCTAGAACGAGGGGGGAGATTTTTATTTATTTATTTATTTATCTTTCAGTCCTGGGGTTTGAACTCAGGACCTACACCTTGAGCCACTCCGCCAGCCCTTTTTTGTGATGGGGTTCTTTTGAGATTGGATCTCACACATTATTTCCCCAGGCTGGCTTTGAACCACGATCCTCCTGATCTCTGCCTCCTGAGCGGCTAGGATTACAGCGGTGAGCCACCAGTGCCTGGTGGGTCTGGCTTTATTTTTGCTTTTTTAATTTTGGTTTTTGAGACAGGGTCTCGTTCTGTAACCCAGGCCGACCTTGAATTTGTGATCTTCCTGCATCAGCCTCCCAAATGCTGGTATTACAGGCATACACCACCACACTCAGTGAGCAGGTAGGTTTTTTTTGTTGTCTTTTTTAAAGTATATCAATCAGCCTGTTAAGTATATCAACAGGGAGCAATGAAAGAACTAGCTAGCATGGGGGTCCGTCAAGAAGGGTTTGCTGAGGAGGTATAATGTGAGCTTACATTTGCATGAAGCATAAGGAGACAGCTACGGTGGCTCATGCCTATAATCCTAGCTACTCAGGAGGCAGAGATCAGGAAGATCGCAGTTTGAAGCCAGCCTAAGCAAATTGTTCAAGAGATCCAATCTCGAAAAAACCCATCACCAAAAAGGGGTGGTGGAGTAGCTCAAGGTGTAGGTCCTGAGTTTGAGCCCCAGTACAGCTACAGAGAGGTGTAGGGGGAGGCAATTGAGGGAGGAGACATGGCAAGTGCAAAGGTCCTGAGGTAGGAATGCCCCAGCATGTGCAAGGATCACAAAGCAGTGTGGCTGGAGCAGAGTGAGGAAGAGCAATGAGACATGAAGTTGGGGAGGCGCTGGCCCCTGTAGGCTGGGCGAGGAGTTTGGGGATGGTTGGTGCCGAGAGGAGGCAAAATGGTTGGTGAATTGGCACTGACTTCCTGGAGGAGCCTTTGAGGCACCTGAGGCAGGATCAAGTTCTCCGTGGTCAGCTCAAGCAGGGTCCAACACACACACAAGGCTTCAGAAAGCCATGCTGTGTGGAAACCATCACACACCGATGGCCTGTGCAGCCAAAAAAAAAAAAATGCAGGACAGCTCAGGGACAATTTTCACACTAATGCATGTGAGAAGGAAAATGCTGTGCATCCTGGGCTCTGAAGAGACATTAAAATCAACTCAGGTGGAGCCCTGAGTTGAAACTCCAGTACCAAAAATAAAAAGAGAGGTGTGGGAAGGCTGTGTTCACTGTGTTCAGTGTTTGCCTTTCCCAACTCCAAAAGACTGTTTTCCTTGGCTTGTGGCCGCTTCCTTTGTGTTCAGAGCTACAGTGTAGCTTCTTCCAGTCTCGAACTCAGACCTCCGCATCTGTCCCCACTTTGTCTGACTATGGCCTCCCCCCCCACCCCCTCGCCTTTCTCTCGTAAGGACCCTGTGGCCCACAGACAGATCTCAAGATCCTAACTCAGTCACATCTGCAAAGTCCCTGTGGCCACGTTGCGGTGATGTAGTGTCAGGGTCCAGGGATCGGCACACGGGTCGCTCTGCTGGACACTCTGCAAACCCTGCACCGGCTCTGTCCGTGCCGAGAGGGGGCACAGAAGCCGGGCGGAAGAGCCTGGCTCTGCTTCCAGGCTGTGTGAGAAGGTCACGTGTCCTGTCCATCATTCCAGGACTTGTCACCCGACGTTTCCCTTAGCCACCCCTGGTGACCCTGCAGCACAGCTGTGTACTTGGGGACTCCCTCCGGTTCCCTGTGCCACAGACCAGCTGGTAGAGGATGTAGGATTTGGAAGATTACTTAGGCGCTGAGCGGGGGCATGCTGGGTGTCCGGTCACCTGGCAGCTGGGGATGGATTTTAGGGGGAGTGGGGACCGGCAGACACATCTTGGACACACCTTCTGGGCGCTGACCGCTATCTCGAGCACGTAATCCAGCACCCCCAAAGGAGGATATGACCCTGGATTCCTCATGCCCAGGTGCCCAATGGGCGGATCACTTGCCCAGGGTCAACCAGCGAGCAGCAGAAACTGGACTCAAATGTGTCCCTGGACTCCGGGCCACACCTTCAGCCACCAGTGTATACAGGTGGCAGCACGAGTGCTCTGTGAACTGCCACTGCACACTTTTCCAAAAGGCCTTTTTTTTTGGTAACTTTTAGAGTAGGATTCACACACCATCTGATCAGCGGTCATTGTCGGTAGCACATACTCAGACAACTGTCATCATGATCAGTTCTAGAACATTCTCCCCACTCCTGATAAGAGATCCCTTCCAGTTAACAGTCACTCCTTAGTAGTCATCCCCTCCCCTGCCAGCTCTGCCCTGGACAGTCCCGTCTGTCCTTCGTCCCTGGATTTGTCTGTTCTGGACATTCACAGAAATAGGTTCAGGGACTGTGTGACCTTTGTCTTTTTGTTTTTTCCCTGGTAAAATCTCAATGCCCTGTTTATTTCTTTATTTTTATTTTTATTTTTTTATTCATATGTGCATACAATGCTTGGGTCATTTCTCCCCCCTTCCCCTACCCCTTCCCTTACCCCTCGCCCTCTCTCTCTCCCCTCCACCCCCTCAATACCCAGCAGAAACTATTTTGCCCTTATTTCTAATTTTGTTGTAGAGAGAGTATAAGCAATAATAGGAAGGAACAAGGGTTTTTGCTGGTTGAGATAAGGATAGCTATACAGGGCGTTGACTCACATTGATTTCCTGTGCGTGGGTGTTACCTTCTAGGTTAATTCTTTTTGATCTCACCTTTTCTCTAGTTCCTGGTCCCCTTTTCCTATTGGCCTCAGTTGCTTTTAAGGTATCTGCTTTAGTTTCTCTGCGTTAAGGGCAACAAATGCTATCTAGTTTTTTGGGTGTCTTACCTATCCTCACCCCTCCCTTGTGTGCTCTCGCTTTTATCATGTGATCAAAGTCCAATCCCCTTGTTGTGTTTGCCCTTGATCTAATGTCCACATATGAGGGAGAACATACGATTTTTGGTCTTTTGGACCAGGCTAACCTCACTCAGAATGATGTTCTCCAATTCCATCCATTTACCAGCGAATGATAACATTTCGTTCTTCTTCATGGCTGCACAAAATTCCATTGTGTATAGATACCACATTTTCTTGATCCATTCATCAGTGGTGGGGCATCTTGGCTGTTTCCATAACTTGGCTATTGTGAATAGTGCTGCAATAAACATGGGTGTGCAGGTGCCTCTGGAGTAACCTGTGTCACAGTCTTTTGGGTATATCCCCAAGAGTGGTATTGCTGGATCAAATGGTAGATCAATGTCTAGCTTTTTAAGAAGCCTCCAAATTTTTTTCCAGAGTGGTTGTACTAGTTTACATTCCCACCAACAGTGTAAGAGGGTTCCTTTTTCCCCACATCCTCGCCAACACCTGTTGGTGGTGGTGTTGCTGATGATGGCTATTCTGACAGGGGTGAGGGTGGAATCTTAGTGTGATTTTCGGTGTGACCTTTGTGTGTGGCCTCTTTCCTCAGCAGTTTTCCAGGATGATCCCCACTGTTGCACAGCACCATTTCATTCCTTTTCTTTTTTCTTTTTTAATTGGTGGAGATGTGGTGTTGCGAACTTTTTGCCTGAGCGGGCCTTGAACGGTGATCCTCCCGATCTCTACCTCCCAGGTAGCTGGGATTACAGGTGTGCACCATTGCCGTACTGTTTTCCAAAGTGGCTTCACCATTTTACATTCTCACCAGCCACATATGGAGGGTTCCCAGTTTATATCCTTGTACAGACTTGCTCTGAGTGGTTAAGTGACTTGCTCAAGACGCTTTGAAGAGATGCCCGTGACAGTGAAACCCTTTTGTACTATTAATGTATGTTCAAATGAGAGAGAGAGAGAGAGAGAGAGAGAGAGAGAGAGAGAGAGAGAAACAGAGATGCCTATGTCAGACATCAAAGGACACATCTGGGACAGTGGCTCTGTCAGCCTGGGCATTCCCAGGGCCCTTGCACCCTCTTTATCCCTTGGAGAGAACCTTGTCCAACTGTCTGTTCAAGGACCAGGGGATACAACCCCCTGAGGCAGTGGGAGATGTCAGGACCCTGCGTCTCTGGGCTGTTCATCACCAAGTAGCTAAGAAATCTGGCACTGTCCCCAGCAGTTCTAAATGGGCCAGCTTCTTCCAGCACCATTGCAGGTCGCCCCAGAGGAAGGGGGCTACTGAAGTTGTGTCCCCGCACCTGGCCCAGGCCCAGTTCTTACGGGGAGCGGGGCTCGGAGCCCCAGCAGCCTGAGCAGCTCGGGATGGGTGGCAGGCTGTGACCTGTGCTGTCCCCACCCTGGCAGGAGCTGGAGCTGGTGGAGGACGTGTGGCGTGGGGAGGCACAGGACCTCCTCTCCCAGATTGCCCAGCTGCAGGAGGAGAACAAGCAGCTCATGACCAACCTCAACAACAAGGACGCCGGCCTGTCCGAGGACGAGTTCCAGAAGCACGAAGGTAAGGGGGTGCCCAGGGTGCCAGGTCGGGCCAATCCTGACCTCAGCCGTGTCCTGAGGGTCATTGGGTCACGTCGGGGTCATTGGGTGCTCGCTGTCTCGTGGCTGGAGACTTAGGCTCCTGTAGTTCTGTGCATTCACACCCTAACTGTGCCAGAGACAAATTGGCTAGCCTCAGTTTACACATGATGACAGAGAGGTGTTGCACCGCCGTTAGGTTCCCCTGCATGGGTCAGGCTGTTCTCTAGGCCCTGGGGACACTTTGGACAAGACAAAGACACTGCTCTCCTGAAGATCAGCTCCTAGCACAGAGGAGAGAGGCAGTCACTAAGTGAACAAATAACCGTGGTGGGGAGCAGTGCCATAGAAAAGCTAAAACGGACATCTGATGGTGATCTGGGCTCCCTTAGGTACAGTCATTGGGGAGGTCATCGTTGAGCCCTGGTGAGGTGACACAGTGCAAGTACCTTGCGCAAGAAGCAAGTGTGAAGGCCCTGGCACAAGAGCATTTAGGGAAACCAAGGCTCTGGTAGCAGCTGAAGGTGACTGAGGCTGAGGGTGGTTGGAAGTGAGGCCTGAAGGGCCAGCAGGGCTCAGATCACCTGGCCTCCTACAGGCCAGACTTGGATTTTATTCTAGGTGTGCTGGAAGGGACTTGAGGCTCTTGCTTGGCAAAAGTGCAGGTTTGCCAGACAGCAGCCCAGATCTGATGGCACTGGAGCCCTGAAACTGCCATCCGTCCTGGAAACTGCACCTGGACCCTTCACGCCAGGCTCGTGCCAGTGCTGGGGCAATGAGGACAGACAGAGGGGTTTGGTCCTGCCTCTTGCAGCTCATGAGCAATCTCAAACTGAGCAAACTCATGGGGTCCCCACACAAGCCCCCATCCTCTTGTTTGATGTGACACAGATGGATTCTATGTAGGACGGTTCTGAACTTCAGAAATTCTGGCTACAACTCTGTGGGAGTGAAGTATGGCACTGATAAGGACTGCAGGAACCAAGAAAAAGGGCAGCGTTGAGTCCAGGTCTAGAATTCTCTTTTCCTTCGGTTCCCATGGTAGAGATGCGTCTGGTGTAAGGGAAACAGTTTTGGGAGTTGTAAGCATTTGACCAGCCAGGTTTAAATCCTGACCCCAAAACTCAGCTGCTGTGTGACTTGGATCAGTCATTGACCTTTGTGTGCCTAAGTCGCCCCCTGTTGTAAAAATGGAATAAATAGCTGGGTGCAGCAGCTCACATGTGTAATCCCAGCTAGTAGGGAGGCTGAGATTAGGAGGAATTGAGGTTCCAGGCCAGTCCAGGGAAATAGTTTGCAAGACCCTGTCTCCAAAATAACCAGAGCAAAATGGCCTGGAGGTGTGGCTCAAGTGGTAAAGCTCCTGTTTTGCCAGTACAAAAAGCCCTGAGTTCAAACCCCAGTTCCACCAAAAAAAAAAAACCCCAATTATTGTTAGCCAGGCAATAGGGAGAGGGGATGGTGTCTTTTAGGGGTGATAAAACATTCTGGAATTTTGTTGTGTTGATGGTTGTTCAACTTTGGGAGTATGTTAAAAACCCCTGACTTATACATGTTAAAAACAGTCATTTAAAAAGTAGACAGAAGCCAGCTCTGTGGCTCACGTCTGTATCCTAACTACTCAGGAGGCAGAGATCAGGAGGATCGAGGTTCAAAGCCAGCCCGGGCAAATAGTTCAAGAGACCCTATCTCAAAAAAAAACCATCAAAAAAAAAAAAGGTTGGTGGAATGGCGCAAGGTGTAAGCCCTAAGTTCAAACCCCAATACCACAAAAACAAAACAAAACAAAACAAAAGCAGTGGACAGAAACAAAGAGGGAATTATATTTATAATCGCAGTGGGAAATTGTATTTACTTATTTAGTGAGACAGGGTTGTGCTATGTAGCCCAGGCTGGCCTCAGACTCACTGTTCTCCTGCCTCTGCCTCCTGAGTGCTGGGATTACAGGCGTGCCTGGCATAGCCCGGTTAGTAACTGATAGAACGGAGCAGAAGACCTAGACTGTGCTGTGGGGATTAGAGCCTGGAGTCTCTGCTGCTGCCTTGGCCTGTGCAGATGTGGACAATTTCTTAAATGTTTTACTTTCTAGGAAAAGTAATACATGCACATGGTTTAAAAAAAAATCTAACAATACAGAACAATTTATGGTGAAAATTTGGTCTCACTTTCACTTCTTTTTTGTTCTCTTTCTTTTTTCTTTTGGAGGCTTTGGGATTTGAACTCAGGGTCTCAGGCTGACTAGGCAAGGGCACCCAAGTCCTTTTACTTTCGTATTTTTTCTAGCTAGGGTCCCTCAGTTATGCCTCAGACCCAGCTCTTCCTCCCTCCACCTCCTGAGTAGTTGAGATCACAAGCATGGGCCACCATGTCTGCCCTTGCTTCTTTGGGTGCCCTTTTTGCAGATCCCTGCCCCGAGAAGCCTGGGAGATCACCAGTGCCAGGCCCTGCATCTCTGCACAGATTCATGTGTGTTCACCCTGTGTAGTTACACACTGATCTCCCCTTCCCCCACCCCACAATAATGTGCTCCAGGCTGTTCTATACCTTGGCTACTTTGTTATTGTGGCTGTTCTGTTTGGGTTTTTAAAAACTTGATAAAAATAAAATTTAAAAAGAAATTTTAATGCTGGGTGCAGTGGTGCACACCTGTAATCCAATACTGCAGGAGGATGGAGAACTCCTGAGCAGCCTGGGCTCCATAGAAATACCCTGTCTTAAAAACCAAACAAAAGAAACCACCAAGCACAGTGGGTCACTCTGTAATCCTGTCTACTTGAGAGGCAGAGATCGGGAGGATCGAGGTTTGAGGCCAGTCAAGGCAGAAAGTTCACAAGACCCTATCTCAATCAATAAAAGCTGGGCTTAGTCGTACTCACCTGTCATCTCAGCTACTTGGGAAGCATAATTATGGGGATTTCCAGGCCAGCCCGTGCATAAGTGTAAGACCCTCTCCAGAAAACAGCTAAAGCAAGGGCTGGCAGAGTGGCTCAAGTGGTAGAATGCCTGCCTAGCAAGCCTGGGGCCCTGAGTTCAAACCTCAGCACTGCCAGAAAAAAGAGAAAAAATAAAAAAGAAACCCCAATCCTACAAGCAGCCATCACCTGCTTCCTGTCCCTCGGCAGTGTCTACTCTGGACATTTTGTACACATGGGACAACATCCTTTGCGGGCTTTCACGTCTCCCCGTTACTTAGTGTCCTGTTTCCAAGTTCCCTCTGGCGGAATCTTCTGCTGTGTGGCGGGATAGGTTTGTTTGGGGTCATTTCCATCTTTCGGCTGCTCTGGGCATCTCTTGGTGAGCACCTGGGTACACGTGGCCAGTTCTTTTTTTTCTTTCTTTTTGCGGTACTGGGACTTGAACTCAGGACCTTCACCTTGAGTCACCAGCCCTATTTTTGTGAAGGGTTTTTTAAAATAGGGTCTTATGAACTACTTGCTGGGCTGGCTTTGAACTGCGATCCTCCTGATCTCTGGTTCCTGAGAAGCTGGGATTACAGGCGTGAGCCACCAGTCCCTTGTGACGTTGCCAGTTCCTTGGGGACCCTCCTAGGAGTGGAATTGCTGGATCACATGGGAACTAAGTTGAACTTCATAGAGGAACATGTCATCTTTTTGTCGGGGACATTTTTGCAGGGTACACTCCCCTGCCTGCCTCAGGCCCCCTCAGCTCTGAGCCACCTCCACACATCCCGCATCTGCGTGCCCATGGCCTCCTGGGGCCAGCTCTGCCATGCCTCTGCAGGTCCTGATCACCACAGGCTTGTCATGAACAGCCCACAGGTGCCATCAGGGCCGGCCAGCTCCCCAGGGGCGGTGGGAGCTGCTCGGTTTCTCTCTGCTGCTGCCCCCGCTGGGTGTTGAGGCTGGCAGGTGCCACACGTGTTTGCCTGGTTATTTTTATTTTGCTGTGGGAACATGAGGACAAAGCATTTCCCCCTCCCCCCAGAGGAACAAACAGTGGGCACATGGGTCCCTGGGAGAAAGAAGGTGGAGCTGGGGCCAAGGGTGACATTGAGCAGGTGCAGGATAGAAGCTAGGGGCTGTCCGCAGATTTAGAGGTGCACCCATCAGATTCTTGGGAGGGGTGAAGACGGGTACAGAGGAGCCATCCCTGCATGGGACATGTGGCTTTCTCAGCACCTACAGGGCACTGTGTTCAGAGCCCTCCTGTGTCCCACTCCTGGAAGCTTCCAGATTTAAAAGCACCTTCCTGCCCCTGGTTTGAGGATCCATCTTGTCAGCTGGAGGGCACCAAACAGAAAGTACCTGTTAGCAAAGTGAATTACAGGTGGCCATAATACTGGGCTGCAAAAAAATCCTTAGTCACCAGGCGCAGAGGGAGTCCACCATGTGGCCATGTTCTCAGGGGTGGCCTCAGACAGCTGGGCAACCGAAATGGAAGGAAGTGGGATTTTTCTCGTGGGCACGTTAGCAAAAGTAACAAGAAGCAGGTGAACGTAATTCCAGTACTACCTTCCCTCCAGCCCAAATAAGTCCAAAATCGTGCCCTGTCTACGCTGTGCTACCAGTGGGGTGTTTAGAATTCCTTTTTGATCATCTGAAGACCTTGCAATCCAGTGTGGGGTGTGTGTGTGTGTGTGTGTGTGTGTGTGTAGTGGAAGTGCATGAAGTATAACACTGTATTCATCCTTTTTTTGGGGTGGGACTGGGGTTTGAACTCAGGTCTTCAAGCTTGCAAAGCAGGCGCTCTCCCACTTGAGCCACTCTGCCAGTCCATTTTGCTCTGGTTATTTTGGAACTGGGGTCTTGAGATCTTATCCAAGGCTGGCCTCGAATCATGATCCTCCTGATCTCAGCCTCCCAAATATCTGGGATTACAGGCATGAGACACTGGTGCCTGGCTTCGTCTACACTCTTTACATGAATGGCCCAATAGTAAGCAAACTCACATTGTCACGTGTCCATTGCCACCAACCACATCCAGAGCACCTCCTCTTGCAAAATTGAGACTGTATCCCCATCAAACACTGACTGCTGGGCCATCTGTCCAGCAAGCCCAAGGCCCTGAGTTCAAACCCCAGTACTGCCAAAAAACAAAAGAAAGAAAGAAAAGAAGACATGAAGAGAACAAATTTGCATCTGAACGCTGACTTCCCGCTTGCTCCTCTCCCTGTGCCCCACAGCTCTCGGTGGGGTGCCCCACGTAAAGGGCTTTCACAGTTCTTGTCCTTTGTCTATTAGTGTTGTAGCTAATGGCAGAGTTCCTTCCTTATTAAGGCTGAGAAATGGTCTCCATGGAATGTATGTGCTGCACTTTGCCCATTTGTCCGTCTGTCCGTCCGTCCATCCATGGCTGGATGTATTGTCGACTCACTGCACCTGTCAAGTGCTCAGTTGGCAGCATTGGTCCCACAGGGCATGGTCTCGGAGGCTGCTGAGTGGAAACGTCCAGTTGAAGGTCAGGCTTTGGAAGGAGGCTGTCCTGAGTTCAAGTCCCAGTCCCTCCGTCACCAACTAGGTGGCTTTGACAAGGTTGCTTACCATCCCAGTCCTGGGTCTCCTCACCTGTCATGTCGTCACGTGAGAATGGCATCTCCTAATCTCCGGGGTGGTTGAGGAAAAGGCAGTGTCACATACGGAGCTGGCCCAGGGCCAGTACGCAATAAAAGGTGTCCCCAAGAACCAAAGTGATGCCAGTTGAACCCACACTGGGTGGCGTGACTTTCAGCTCAGTTGCCAGGGTGCCTTCCTGGGCCTTTCTCCACATGCTGGCTCCATGAGTTTCCCAGGGCTGCCATTGCAAATTTCTACAAAAACCCCGGTGGTTTAATTAAAACAACAAAATTGATTCCCTCCCAGTTCCAGCGGCCAGAAGTTCAAGATCCAGGTGTGTTCGTCACGTGTAGATGGAGGGCAGCCGTCAGTGCGGGCATGTGTTGTGGTGCTGGTGGTGTTCTGCCTTTTAAAAAAACCCTTGTTGTTCACCTCCACTTGGGAGACTGAGGCAGAAGGATCACAAGTTCAAGGCCAGCCTGGGCAACTTACAAGACCCTGTGTCAAAATTAAACTTAAAGAAAAGGGAGTGGGTGGGGGGTAACTCAGCGGTTGAGTGCTTCCCCAGCACACTTGAAGTCCTGGGTTCTATTTCCAGTACCCCAAAACAAAAATAAACCCTAATACACAAATTCATTCATGTTGTAGTGCTGGGGTTTGAACTCAGGGCCTCACACTTGCTAGGCAGGCGCGCTACCACTTGAGCCACTCCACTTCTGACTTCAGTAAACATTTTGAATAGGATCTTGAGTTTATGCCTGGGTTGGCCTGAGCTGCACTCCTGTTTTTCACCTGGCTGGAGTGACAGGCGTGCTCCACTATGCCCAGCTTTTATTTTGGTTGAGATGGGATCTCACTAACATTTTTCCTGAGCTAGTCTCAAACTGTGATCCTCCCAAGTAACTGGGATTACAGACTTGAGCCACTGTACCCGGCCATAAATTCATTATTACTATAAAAGATGAACAAATTAAGCACCAAACACGAGAGCCAAGCCCCCCCTCCCCGCCTCTGCCCCATGGCACTGGCTGGAAGTAGAACCTTCCCTTCCCAGGCATTCACACATTCCATGGGGACTCTTTAAAATAGAGCAGTTGAGGGGCTGGCATCAGGGCTCAAGCAGTAGAGCGCCTGCCTAGCAAGTACAAAGCCATGAGTTCAAACCCCCAGTACTGCCAAAGTTTTTTAATTTGAAAAAAATAAAATAAAGGGATTGCGATATATGAATTGTTAACTTGTTTTTTCTCTCTCTTGATCCATATGGGGTTTGAACTCACAACCTCACCCTTACTAGGAAGGCAGGCGCTCTGCTACTTGAGCCATGGTCCCCAGCCCTTTAACTTTTAGTTTCTTTGTGTGTGTGTGTGACTGAGGTTCGAACTCAGGGCTTCACACTTACAAAACAGGTGCTGTAGCTTGTGACACACCCCCAGTCCAATTTGCTCTGATTATTTTGGAGCTGGTGACTCCATAAGTATTTCTGGGGTTGGCCTCAAACTGTGATCCTCCCAAGCTTAGCCTTCTAAGTAGCTAGGATTATAGGTGTGAGCCACAGGCACCTGTTGTCTACAGTCTCTGAGGTCCAGGGAGTGGGACAGTGAGTCCTCGAAGCGAGGCCTCACTCGCCTGACTGTGGTCTAGCCAGGGGTGGGCAGGGCGAGGGGCTGGTGGTAAATCAGCAGACGCTGGCCAGCTCCTGACCACCTGCTGGGCAAGGTGTTGGCTTCGGTGCTCTGTAAGATTTGACTCAGTTCATCTTCACAGTCAACTAGGGTAGGAACAATTACTGCCCCATTTCAGAGATGTGGACACTGAGTCCCAGAATGGCCAATACACAGGAGGTCATTGTCAGCTGCGCAGCCTGCCCTGTATGCCTCTGCACAGTATCATCTTCCACTGGGTGACAGGTGACAGAATGTACGAGACCCATGGCCACTGTAAAGGTGCCATGAGGGTGGCATGAGGGGACTTGGAGGAAGTCACAGGGTGGAGAAGGTGGGTGGCCATGCAGAGGCGACTTGAGCTGAGGCCAGACAGGCAGGGGAGCCAGCTACTGGTTAGGAGGAAGGAGGTCCCAGCAGAAGAACAGCCAGGGCGGAGGACTTGGGGCTGGACGCAGGGAGCACGCGGAGGGCCTGGAGGCCACAGTCCAGTCCCTGTGGGAAGCCGAGGAGGGGAGGTGGCTCACCTGCCTTGTCACCTGTGTCCCAGGCATGTCGGAGCGTGAGCGGCAGGTGATGAAGAGGCTGAAGGAGGTGGTGGACAAGCAGCGAGACGAGATCCGTGCCAAGGACAGGGAGCTGGGCCTGAAGAACGAGGACGTGGAGGCGGTGAGTGTCACCGGAGCCTGTCCCCCCGCCCTGCCAGGCGCATCAGCTGCTGGGGGAGTAACATGGTCCCTTCCACACCGGGAGGCCGAGGCCCCGCCAGCCTTTGCTCAGCCCCTTTGCCCTGGCAGAGCTTACTTAGCTGGGTCCCCTCTCTACAGAACCCATCCAGTGCCTGTGTGCCTGAATTAGAAAAAGGCCTGTGACTTCCATCTGTCAGAATTTGTCACAGTATATTAATTTTAACAAGCTACTTAGCTCCCATCTGCCATGAAAGTATCTCAGTTAAATATACAAATTGCCCATCTCTGGTGTCAACAGAGTCATTAAAAGATAAATCTCAGCTGGGTGCCAGTGGCTCACGCCTGTAACCCTAGCTACTCAGGAGGCAGAGGTCAGGAGGATGGCGGGCAACTAGTTCACGGGACCCTATCTTGAAAAAAAATCCTTCACAAAAAATGGCTGGTGGAATGACTCAAGTTGTAGGCCCTGAGTTCAAACCCCACTACTGCAAAAAAAAATTTAAAAATTCAAACAAAGATGTATCCATGAAGGTGGTTTCTCCCCTGCGCAGTGCACAACCTGAGGTACTGTCCGTGGCAGTCCTGCACAGTGGCCTCCCTCTTTCTACAGCTGCAGCAGCAACAGACCCGGCTCATGAAGATCAACCATGACCTTCGGCACCGGGTCACGGTGGTGGAGGCCCAGGGGAAGGCCCTGATCGAACAGAAGGTGGAGCTGGAGGCGGATCTGCAGACCAAGGAGCAGGAGATGGGCAGCCTGCGGACAGAACTCGGGAAGCTGCGGGAGAGGCTGCAGGGCGAGCTCAGACAGAACGGGGAGGAGGCGCCCGAGGTGAGTGGGAAGCTGGTGCCCAGGTGACATGGGAGGGTGTGCAGGGCTGGCTTGAGAGGGGCACAGTCACCTTCTTTTCCCTGTTGTACTTTAGAAGGTGGGAGGCACAGAGAGAACAAGGGACTGGCCCGAGGTCACACAGCAGGACAGAGGCAGAGCTGGGCCTGGAGCATTCCTGCCCAGGGTGTTGAGGTCGCCATTGGTTACTGGGCATATGCCATGCACTGTTCATCCACTGGGGTCACTGTTGACCACGTGGTCCCAATGAGTGATGTGAGCACCTCTTTCCCAAGGGTCCTGGCAAAAGTCTCTGAGAGTCCTCTCATTGGTCAGTCACTAAGCCAATCACTGTCGCCCGAAGTCAAGCATATGTGCGTTGTGCTTTGTGGGTCACATGACTGTCCTGGTGGTGTCCCTTGAAGCCCCATGGATGCGGGGTGGGTGGTGATCACAGCTACACCTGCATGTCACCCAGGGCTCTGAGCAGGGGGAGATGGGGACTGTCTCCCAGGCTTCAGTCCAGGGATGGGAGTAGTGCCTGAGTTTTATGGAGGACAATGAGTGGGGAAGGAGCAGACACAGCTATTGGGACCATTTGCCATAGTCAGGGCAAGAAGGTGAGGGGTGGGCCACTCCACAGCAGTGGATGGAGGAGCCTCGGCTGATGCCCAGGACAGAGCCACCAGGCCATGATCTGGGTGGCCACCCCCCCTCTTCCTTCAGGACAGAGCCACCTGGATCCCAGGGACACCACCATGGCCAGTCATGAGACTCAGATGTCTAGCAATGAGGACAAAGCCATTCCATGCCTCCCAGCTAGGGAAGAAACGGGCAGTAACGAGGTGTAGTGTCTTTCCCACACTCAGACGGCCCTGTGGAGTGATGTTCAGGGTGTTTGTTGACTAATAGGCAGACACAAGGCTCTGTGGCTTCTTCCCTGCCACCTGCAACCTGGGGCCTGTCCCTGACTTTTTTTTTTTTTTTTGCAATACTGGGGTTTGAACTCAGGGCCTACCCCGTGAGCCACTCCACCAGCCTTTTTTTGTGAAGGGTTTTTCTAGATAGGGTCTCATGAACTATTTGCTCAGGCTGGCTTTGAACCTTGATCCTCCTGATCTCTGCTTCCTAAATAGCTAGGATTACAGGCGTGATCCTGGGTTCCCAATCTCAGTGGGGGGGACTGAGAAGAGGGAGGCGTAGTGAAGGGGAAGGGAGGGCTGCCTTCAGCATTTGGACAGTGTTGTGGCCCAGGGTTAGAGGGCTGGCTTCCATCCTGTGCACTGCAGAGAGAGGGAGAGAGAGACAGAGGCAGAGCAAGACATGGGCCTTGTGGGATGGGTATGGCTTCCAGCAGAATGTGGGTCAGGCTATTCCAGGCAGCAGGGGCTGCGGAGCCAGGGGCTGGGTAGGGCTCAGTCCTAGGGCAGGATTGGGGGTGGCAGGTAGGAGCTACAGAGGACTCTAGAGCTAGAGAGAACTCCATTCTCGATCACCTCAGTGTGTCTGGCTTTCTCTTTGATTCGTACCGTCCTCTCTGACTGATTCTTTCCTGATTTGCACTCAGGGTGACTTCTAGTAGACGAGGCCCCCTGTGTATTTTTAGATCATGCTATTGAGACAGAGTTCCCATGTCACAGAGTTCAGCATTTAAAGTATCCCGTTCGGGGCTGGGGGTGCGGCTCCATGGTGGAACGCCTGCCTAGCATGTGTGAGGCCCCAAGTTCCAACCCCAGCACTGCTAAAGACAAAAGTGAAACTGTCTAGCTCACCTCTAGGGAGCAGATCTTGGTGGTGGTGGTGTGAGGGGTATACAGTGCAATGGTTTTTTATATATTCACTATATCGTGTGGTTATCACCAGTATCTAGAACGTTCCCTCACCCCAAGAAGTCCCCTGCTCACCAGCAGTCACACAGTCCCCTCCAGCCGCCAACAACAACCCATTTGCTTTTCTCCTGGAACCTGTATGCTGGAATCAGCCTGTGGGCTGAGTGGCTGCGTGACGTGGCCTGTGGCACCCTCCCTGACTCCCAGTGACCCTCCAGACCCTCCAGATGCTGGGTGGGCCCTGGATTCTCTGCCTCGCACGTGCTGATTGCTTAGGTGGCTTTTTGGAAAGGTGAGGGCCTGGTGACTGGAAGTGAAGCAAGGCTGAGTTTATGCCTGCTGGGCCCTGGGGTCCCAGGTGTGGCCAGAGCACAGTCCATCTGCTGGACAGGACCTGCTCTGAAGTGTGTTCCTAGAGCACTCTGGTGAGCCAGGTGGCAGGGAGCCCTCCCAGGAGGCCAGGCCTCGGGATGGAGGCCCAGATCCAGGCTGCTGCCCCCTGAGGCCTCTGGACAGGCCTGTTGCGTGCCAGCTGGTCTCCTGGGCCTCCTGAGAAGCAGCTGGGCCTCAGGGTATCTCCCTGTGGCAGCCCAGAGAGCCTCCAGGGAGCAGTAAACAAGGGCAGAGGCCCAGCTTATCAGAGGTGGCCCAAGCCACCCCGGTCCTCGTGGAATAGGGCCTAGAAGGGCTGCCGATCACCAAACTGCCACCTGGGAAAGTGCCCGCTTGGATTCTCAGTCATGGCCCAGGGGAGCCCCAGGTGTCCCTGTACCTGCATTTGGGACAGCTGAGCCCTTAAGCTCTGCTGGATCAAATCCTTCCCCTGCAGGTCTTTCCTGAGAACGAGAACTCAGGTTCAAAGGCCGCCCTTCCGCGTCGGGTGACTACAACTCACTGGAGGTGTGGGAAATGTCGCCCCAGCTGTGAGGGTTCAGAGCACAGAACCCAGATGTTGAAATATCATTGGGTTGGTCAGGTATGGTGGTGTATGCCTGTGATCTCAGGAGGCCAAGACAGGAGGATTGTGAGTTCGAGGCCAGTCTGGGCTACATAGCAAAATCCTGTCTCAAAAAAAAAGAAGGAGAAGAAGAAAAAATATCACTGATCACTGGCTTATGGAGGGCGAGAGGGGAAACGAAGGTGCTGGGGGCACCCAAAGCCCTCGGGCAGTGAGGCTGTAGGAGTTCTCTTGAAAGGCTCTACCTGTCCCCCAAGGTGTGGGACCCCATCAGGTGGCCCTGCATAGTCCGAGTCTGAGGTTTGGGCCACAGAAGGGGGTTGCCCCTGCATGTGGGGTCCAAGCAAGGGAGGACGAGGGCTGTGGAGGGGCAGTGGCTTCTTAGACCAGCCCTGTGTTTTGTGGGGGATGTGGGCCGGGGTGGCCAATCCTACAGTTTAGAACACAGTGAGGATGAGGGCCAAACCATATGCAGGGAGGGGATGGTCACTGGTATGGCTCCTGGAATGCAGCCTCTCACCTATCCCATGGGTGCCTGGAGTTCGTGGCAAACTCCTATACATGCATCAGGATCCCACACACAGACACCACCTCTGCGGTAACATCTTCCCGGATTCTCACCAGTTTGATGTCTCTACACCCTCACTTTGAGGGGAGGGTTTGAGACAGGATCTTGCTAACGCAGGCTGGCCTCAAACTCACAATCCTCCTGCTTCAGCCTCCCCAGTGCTGGGATTACAGGTGTGTCCCACCATGCCCGACTTTTCTGCACCCTATTTATTATGTTAGCCTTGTAGGTTTCTCCTGGGAGCTTATAGGTCCCTTTGTAACAAAGCAAATACCTGAATAAGTATGAGACCTCCAAGTTTGGGCAGGGGAAGGGCAGGGAAGGGAACTGGCATTTCTGAGTTCCTACGTGTACCAGTCACTTGCTGACGGTGATCTCTCCTGGGGACATCGTCTCAGTCCATGGCCATCCAGTGATGCGAGGAGCTGTCCTGAAGATGGCGAGGACCCAGTCTTCTGAGTCAGTAGTACATATCTCCTCGGTTCTTTGTTGGGGGCAGATATCAGGTTTTCTCCCCCACTGCCCTCATTGACCCCAGTTCTGAGTCTGGGTGGGGTGTGGGCCGAACCCTCCCCACCCAAGACCTGCTGCTGTGGCTCTCCTGTCACATGATCTGCCTGGCTGCTGGTGTCTCCTTTCAAGTGTCCCTTCCCAGAACAGCCTGTCCTAGACTCTCAGGACCCAGAGCCTCTCGGTCCTGCCTTCCAGAGCCCTGGGCCTTGTGCCACTGCCTGGGCTGGAGTCTCCTCCTCCACCGTCCAGTGCCCGCGCAGGGTCGGGGTGTGGATGAGCTGTTTGTTTCCGTGCCCCTTTGTCTGGAAGAGCTTTTCACCTGCTGTCCTGGCCTTTTGTCTACTGATAGCCGTGACATTGAAGGCTACCTTGAAAGGATGGACCACCGGCCAGCTGACCTGGGGACTACTTGCAAGCCTCCGTTGCTGTTAACAAATTTTTTTTAAAGAAAAAAATGAGCTGGGGGTATAGCTCAGTGATAGGACATGAGGTTAGCATACATAAGGCTTTGAGTTCTATTCCAGCATCAAAACAGGAAGGGAGGGAGGGAGAGAGGGAAGAAGGAAAAAGAAATGAAAAAAGGCTGGGCATAGTGGCTCACACCTGTATTCTTGGCTATTTGGGAGGCAGAAGTTGGGAGGATCATGGTCTGAGGCTAGCCCAGACTGAAAGTTATCAGACCCTATCTCAACGAATAAGTTGGGTGTGGTGGCTCATAAATGAGATCATTGTTCTAGGTCAGCCCTGAAAAATAAAGCAAAAAAGGCCTGGGGAATGGCTCAAGTGACTGAGCGCCTGCTTAGCAAGCACAAGGTTCCGAGTTCAAAGCGCAGTGGAAGGAAGGGAAGAAGAGAAAAATGTATGAAAGGAAGGAAAATAGCAAGTGTTAGCCAGTCCCCGGTGGCTCACGCCTGTAATCTCAGCTACTTAGGAGGCAGAGGGCTGGAGAAGCCAGCCCTGGGAAAATAGTTCATGAGATCCTATCTCAAAAAAAAAAACAACACAAAAAGGGCTGGCAGAGTGGCTCAAGGTGTAGGCACTGAGTTCAAACCCCAGTACTGAAAAAAAAAAAAAAAAAAAAAAAAGCAAGTGTTGGCCCGAATGTGGAGGCATTGGAAACCTCGGGCATGGCTGTGGGCTGTACAATAGTGCACGTTGCGGGAAAGAGTTTGACACAGAAAAGTTAACTCAAAAAGCTGGAGTCACCGTCACTGTGAGACTCTGCCATTCCTGCCTAGGTGTGTATCCTTTCACGCTGCAAAGGTTCTCAGCATCACTGCTCACTGTGGCCGAGAGGTAGAAACTAGCCAAATGCCCATCAGCTGGAGAACGGGTAAACAAAGTCAGGTCCCTCCTCTGTGGAATATTACGCAGCCAGGAAAATGAACAAAGTTTCTCTATACGTGTGACAACACGGTGAACCTTGAACTGGGCTCGCTGACTGGGCCGTGCATTGCGTGAGTCTGTGGATAGGAAATGTCCAGAACGGGCCACTTCCTGGTGGTTCCTGGTGGCTGCCAGGAACTGAGGGGTGGAAGCATGGCAGGTGACTGCTTACTGAGTAAGGGTTTTCCTTCAGGAGTGAGGAGAAGGTTCTGGAATTAGAGGGGCAGTTTCATAACATTAAATGCCATTGATGTTTGTATTGTGAAAGGGACAAACGTGGTGAACTCTGTCAAATGTATTTCACCACAATTTTCATTTAAAAAGACTCCCTTGTCCTAGAATAAGGCAGGAGGAGAGGGCTGGACCCAGGGTAGGTGACTCAGCCTCGTATGGGATCCACCTGTTTGTCCCCCATCCAGGAGAAATGCCCAGGTTTGCCCCCTGTCTGGCAAGATGCCAGAGGCCACTGAAAAGGAAAAGGAAGGTGTGTGTGGCTTTGTGTCAAATGAAAAAGGAGGACTGAGGCATAGCTCAAGTGGTAGAACCCTTGCCTAGCGAGGGTGAGTGAGGCCCTGAGTTCGATCCCCAGTACCGAAAAATAAAGAAGAAGGAGTTGAGAATTGTGTGCAGGGTTGATTCCACCCACTCTGGTCCGATTAGCAGTGGTCTTAGTGAGAGCAGGGGAGGGGAACCCAGAAAGGAAAGCACAGCAGATCTGTGAGGGTGGCGGCTGGAGGCAGTCGGTGTGTCTTCTGGGGTGCCTTTGACTGTGTGTAATGAACCCCGAGTGCGGTGGCGGGCGGGGGATGCCAACAATGAACAGGTGGCCGCTGGCTTCCACCTCCAGAGGGAAACTACAGACCATGCGCAGAGGCCGCCCGCAAGTGATCAAAATAAACCAGCACCCCAAGCAGGCTGCTCACCCCTGGGGGGCTGCGGAGTGGGCGCTGGCGGCAGCTGCCAGGAATTCATTAACAGTACTTCCTCCAGATGGAGCCCGGTGAAGAGGAGTGTGCCTCAGATTCGGAGAAGGCGGCCCTGGATCTGAAGGACCCCAACCGCCCCCGGTTCACGCTGCAGGAGCTGCGGGATGTGCTGCATGAGAGGAACGAGCTCAAGTCCAAGGTCTTCTTGCTACAGGAGGAACTGGCCTACTACAAGAGGTAAGAGTCCCTGAGCTGGGCATAGTACCGCACGTCTGTAATCCCAGCTATGCAGGACGCAGAGGTAGGAGGATTGCCATCAGAGGTCTTACCTGAAATATAAACTAAAGCAAAATGGCTGGGGGGGGCATGGCTCAAGTGATAAAGCACCTGCCTAGCAAGCGCGAGGCCCTGAGTTCAAACCCCAGTGCAGGTCCCTAAGAAATCTGGGCTGACTCCCTTGACTCAGTGGCCCATGAAGTTCCTTTCTGGGGTTACCTGGAATTTTTGTGCCATTGACTCCTGGAATGACAAGGTTCCTTTTGGGAACCTTCTCTGGCCTGAAAGCTGTCACATACAAAGTCACCAACCTGTCTGGAAAATTTGGATGCACATTTTATAATTCAGACCCTTTCAGCTGTCTTGGTCCATGCTGTGGGTTGGGAAGGTGGCTCAGTAGTAGAGCATTCACCTAGCATGCACAGGCCCCGGGTTCAATCCCCAGCACTGCAGAAAAACAAAAACACCCACTGTGCTTGTTTCTATCTCAGGACTTTTGCACGGGCTGCTCCTGCCTTGACTCATGTGTGGCTGGCTCCTGGTTATTTAAGGACTGTCACCTCCTCAGAGAGGTCTTCTTCCATCACCTCCTGTCCAAAGGAGCACCCTGACCCAGCCAGTCACTTCAGCCAGTTTTACTTTCTTCAGGGCCCTTTTTTTAATCATCTCACACACTAGTGTGCTCAAGGCCTTATTTGTCTTGTCCCTGGCCAGATTTCTAGCATTTAAAATGGAGCTTAGCACATAGTAGGTGCACAACAAATACCTGTTGAAGGGAACACCAGAAGGAAGGACAGGTGCTCCAGCAAGGGAGATGCACAGAACACAGTGCTGTGTGTGTTTACTGGAGATCCACTGTGCGCCTGACTCATGCGAGTGTGTGGCTGACTGTGCGCTGGAGGCTCAGAGATGGCAGAGATCACCAGGCAGTGGTGGCTCACTACCTGTAATCTGAGCTCCTTGGCAGATTGAGATCGGGAGGATCAAGGTTCAAGGCCAGCCCTGGCAAATAGTTTGACTTGACCCCATCCTCAAAATAACCAGAGCAAAATGGACTGGAAGTATGGCCCAAGGGGTAGAACGACTGCGTTGCAAGTGTGAAGCCCTGGGTTCAAACTCCAGTCCTATTAAAAAAAAAAAAAAAAAAAGATGGCAGAGATCATGGCTGGGAGGCAGGGTGGAATCAGGAAGGCTTCATGAAGGAGGTGGATTTGGAACATGGCCCTTAGAGGCTCAGGTAGTATTCAGATGTGGAAGACATTGGGGATGAGCCACTTTCTCTAGGTGGCAGAAAGCCCAAAGGTGTGGAGACCAGAAGCCCATGTGGCTGGAATGGAAAGAAATATAAAAATTAGAAACGTGAAATTGCTCACATTTGCGCGCTGGGCCAAAAGGCTGTACCCCTCCTCTGAACTGGCCATGCCTGTCACAAGAGTCCAGCCCCCAAGGCAGTGTCCAGAGCTCTCTCAGACCCTCAGATGGTGCCCTACTGGAACGTTCCAGCTCTCAAAGAATTTTTTTTTTTTTTGGTGGGGCTGGGTTTGAACTCAGGGCTTCATGCTTGCAAAGCAGGTTCTCTGTCACCTGAACCCCACCTCCAGTGCTTCTCACAGAATTTTTGATTTCTCTCCTGCCTGTCAACTCCTTCCAGTGAAGAAATAGAAGAGGAAAATCGAATGCCCCAACCTCTACCCATCGCACACCCGAGAATGTCCCCCCAGCCAGAGTCTGGGATCAAGCGACTGTAAGTGACACGTTTGGGGCTGCTCCACACGTAGCTCGCTCTGTGGCTCACGCGTCCTTTCGACTTCAGCTCCTGGGCACTTGCTCGTGGCTTGTCGCTCAGAACTCGAGGCTGAGTTCCTACTGGGGTGTCTGGGCAGAGGTTTCGGGGATGCCAGGGTGTTGAGGAGCCCTGGGCTGTGGCCAAGGCTCAGGAGCTTGCTTGAGTGTGTCACAGGGTGGGTGTGGCTCTGGAGATGAGGACTGTGCATGAGCTGGGGGATGGGGGACTCGAAACCCCAGTGGTGAGAGGTGTGGGACGGCCTGGCTCCTTCCCACAAGTGGACTTCTGTGATGGCTCATCCACCTGACCACTGAGTATTCCTTGGTCAGACCCTGACTGCTGGGGGAGACACAGGAAAACGAGAGCGACCGGTCCCCACCTCAGCTCTATTCCAGGCCACCTCTGAGGTTCTTGGATCAGCTGACCCTTTCCAGATTCTGATGGGTGTTTATGAACCTTGTACTTAGAAGAATTAGATGTAAAATCTGGGGTACAATTCCAGGGGGTTCCTGAACCCCTAAAGGCCTTCAGATTAAGGTTAAAGTCTCTCGTCTAGGTGAGTGACCGGAGTTCACTAAGGCCGCACTGTATGCAGGGTCCTGTCCCACAGACAGCCTCGGTGGGTCCTCACCACAGTGCTGGCAGGTAGCTGTGCCACCGTTCCCATTTGACACTTAAGGAAACTGAGGCCCCTGCCTAGGGCCCAGCTAGCGAGAGGCCAGGCCCCAGAGCCCATGTGGTGACACCTCTGCAGGGTGACCTGGTGCTGAGCTGTGATCTTTATAACCTTGTTACCTGTCCTCAGTGGCCCCCCAGCTCTTAGCCATGTGAAACAAGCTCCATGAAAGCAGGCGGCACGGATTGGGTGGGGAGGGAGAGGTAAAGTGTTACCCTCCCTCTTAAAAATCCAGTTACATTGGGAAATTCTCGGCTGGTTCTCAGCCTGTGGGCTGACCTAATGCAGCACGTGTACAGATGTGGAACAGCTGGACCCCTCTCCCTTAAGCAGTGGTGCCCTGGTCAAATTTGGGGCGCTGGTGGCTATAGGACAGGCGATGGCTTCCTGAGTGTTTGGTTTCATGTGTGAAGCTTCCAAGGTTCCTACCATCTTCGCCTGCCTTATTTATTAGCATAGCCCTAGGTTCCTGCTGGAGTTGAGTGGTTGGACGTATGGAGGAGGCAGTCTCCAGGTCTGGTTTGAGATAAATATTCCCTAGGGATAAAACATGGGACCAGAAAAACCTTCTTCTCAATTCTCCAAAACCATTTTGACCATCAAAACTCAACTCAAGGAATGAGAAAAAGAATGTGGCTGAGTAGCCAAAAGTCCCCAGGTTGCTCCAGGTGTGAGCACAGCCACGATCAAGTCCTTGTTTCCTCTACCCTGGACTTAGTTTCCTCTCTGGGGCCGCCATTCTGAGGCCTGTTCCCCAGACTCAGGACAGCAATGTGGCAGCTGGCAGCTAGCATTCCATTTCATTGTCTGAAACTCTACTTCAGATTCTGTCTCTGAGTTCCATGGAAGCTACAGAGTCAATTCTTATTGGGTCTCACTCAATCACGTGACCATCCCTGAACCAATCACAGGACAGCACATTATAGCTTGGTTCTCATCCCTGATGCTTAAAGTAGCTTTTACTCCATTTAGTTTCCAAGGATGACCTTGGGAAGGATGGGTCCCTGCACGAGATCAGAGAGCTAGACAGACAGAAGTATGGCTGTCCTCTGTACTTCATCTAGGGGGTAGGGAGACTCTTTGGTTTTGGGCCCATGTAGTACTTAGTCCAGGAAAACTCACCCTTTTCCGGTGCCGGGTAAGAAATGAGCCTGGCGTGGCTTAAACTCAGATCCGCCTGCCAGCCCCGCTCCTGCGAGATGATGAGTGGTGTTGGCAGCTTTTGGATTTAGCCCTGAGGAAGTTGTCAGAAGCTTCATGAATCCCAACAGCCCCTACGTGGGCTGAGGATGGGCAGGCCAGGAAACCAGCACTGTGACTCCTTCAGTCAGTTGTTCCCAGGTCCTTAAGAATCAGACCTTTCTAGCATCTTCCAGAGCCTACAGCGCCCACGGGCACATGTAAGTCCAGGAATTCCCAAACTGGGCTTTTCTACTTTAATTTTCTACTCCAGACAGTTTTCTCTTAATAGGTAATTCAAGTTGGCTTTTGCCAATATCAAATTGGGTGAAATCCAGAGGAAAGCTATCAGAATTAGCCAATAAACCTTTCCTCTTCTTTTACTCACACCCGAACATGCTGCTACAGTGTCTACCCTTCTTTTCCAGTTCGTTTGAGTTTCAGAACCCTTTTCCCCTTTAGCTTGTCCTCTGGTGGCTCAGCAAGACCTGGTGCCCTGAGCCTGGCCAGGGAAGCAGCTGGAATCAGGAGCCCAAGAGAGACCAGCACCTCCCAGCCGTGGGGCACAGGTGGCCAGTCCCGTGGTAGCCTGGCCTTCTAGGGGATGACTGGGGAAGCCAACCAATACAAAAGGCTTTTGACCAGTACAGACAGGACACTGGCTGCCTTTGTCCTCTAGCTGTTGACTGGGAGCTGTGGCCTGTGAGCCTAGAGCAAGGACGGATCTTCTTCCCTGGGGCCGGAGAGGGGACAGAAGTTCTTCAATGGTCCTCAGGCCTCACCCTTTGCATCCTTCACTTCTCTGCACCCATCTGGTGTGTCTGGTCTCTCCTGTCCTTGCCTTTGGGCAGTATTAGTCATGTGCTCCTAGCTGCTTTCCCATCCCCCACTGCCTCATTCCCAAGTTCAGAGCACTCAAACTAAGGCATCTGTCAGAGAGTTAGCCCCACTTCTCAGATGAGGAAACTGAGGCCCAGGGCAGCCCATGGACTTCATTTAGATCCTACTATAGGGAAGGTACAGAGTCAGGCTTCAAACCTTTGCCTTTTGCCTGCACAGTCCTTCTCCTCCTCCCTTTCTCCTTACTCCCCTTCTCAAGCCCCCAACTGTGGCTAACTGCCCAGGTCCCTTATCTCTCAAACGCACCTCCAGCCAGAGACGTCAGACCCAACATTTCCGGACTGAACATAACAAGGCAACCAGAAGCTCCTGCTGCCAGTCAAAACAGCGTGCCTCAAGACAGTCCAAAAATAGCTTGTGACCGAGTGGCCACTGGCCGGAGAGGATGGGTTGGCACTCCCAGGAAGGTCACGCGGGAGTCCCAAGTGACTTCAGCCTTGCCCTCAGGGAATACCAGCACACCCTTCATGTGGTCCTTGCCTCTCAGCCACACACAGTGGCTTTCTACAGGGCAGGGACAAGATGAGGAGAGCAGTAGGTGGGGTGAGGGACAGCTGGGGAGCATCAGCCCAGACCTGGCCTTATGGACCAGAAAGGCTGGCTTTAGAGTAGTCAGCCACCCCTCTCCAACGGTAGTGGCAACAGTTCCTTTTGTCCCTGTTTTCCTACCCACCACCCCCTCAGTTTAGCTGGAAATAGCTTCTTCCCACCACCATGACTCTGCCTGAATGCTACCATTAGAACTTCACTGGTTTGAATTTTCCAGAAATACTTAGCAGGGAGGGAGGGGTTGAAACCAACCACATGCCTGGCACCAGTGGCTCACACCTGTAATCCTAGCTACTCAGGAGGCAGAGATCATGAGGATAGTGGTTCGAAGCTAGTCGGGGCCAATAGTTGGTGAGATGCTATCAAAAGAACCTTCACAAAAAAGGGCTGGTGGAGTGGCTCAAGGTGTAGACCCTGAGTTCAAATCCAACTGCAAAAAAAAAAAAAAAAAAACCACCGTATCCAAAACATAAACTTTGGCTCAAACAGTCATGAAGTAACTGTCCCTCCAGAGGTGGCAGCACCTGCAGTAGTGTGGGAAGGGGCCAGGCATGGACGTAACTCAGCTGGGACCCTCCCCTCAGTTGGCTCAGGCCCCTGCCATCAGTCTGGCTCCTACCCAGGCCCCAGAGGAAGCCCAGCAATGCTGGGGGCAGACATCTCTCCAAGTAAAATGTCCATACAGTGTCTGAGGCCACCTGCCAGGCAATGACTGTATCTTAGGGGCAACCTGTACAAGTGTTCTTGCAAAGGTGGACTTGGAACCCCTGGGAAGCCACCTGTGCCCTGCAGCCTGACCTCTGGAGATTGGGTCTGTGCACTTAGCAAAAGGTCCCCCTTTTCTTAGTATTACCTCCACAACTTCAGCAACAGTTCTGGAGGCCAGAATCCGAGATCAAGTTTCCATGAAGGACAGTGTTCTAGGTCTCTTTTGTGTTTTGGGGCCATCTTTGGCTTCCCTTGGCCTGTGGGAGTGTCACGCCCCCCCCACACCGCTGTCATCACACGGTATACCTCTTTATGCTATGCTCCAATTTCTCCCATTTACAGGGACACTAGTCTCTCTGGATTAGGTCACCCTCCTCCACTGTGGCCTCATCCTAAGCTGTCCCATCTGGGAGGCCCCCATTTCTACATCAGGTCCCTTTCTGGGGTACTAGGACTTCAGCCTGTGAGTTAGGGGAGGAGACACAATGCAGCCCACAGTGAGGACGACAGTGCACCCCTCAGCTGGTTGTGTGGGACTGGGCTTCCTGGTCATGCCTCCTCCCCCACCCCCGCCGTTTTTGTCTTCTCTCTCTGTGTCTCTGTGCTTCTCGAAGCAGGATCTTTACAGCCGTCATGCCCATGGTGGCAGCTGGACTGATTCTAGATGACCCCATGCTGCAGCCTGCCCGACGACTCGTTTCTCTTGTAGGCACTGTGTGTGTTTGAGGTTCACTTGAGCTGTGCCTTTGTTATGGCTGCCGCAATGTTGCAGGGACTGGCCTGTCCCTTTGGGCCCCTTTAGCTGCATGGCTGTCACCTGCGTGCACGTTGGCATCTGAAGTGGGTGTCAAGTGTGATTCCAGACGGGCTGCTCATTGCACTTGACCTCCATGACAAGTGAGGCTCTGGGATTTTTGGCTCTGTCACCGATTTTTGTCTCTTCTGTTTTCCTTCTAAAAACCACCTTGCCCATGATCCAGTAAAGAAGGTCCTATGAGTGACGGGTCAGTAATCAATGCCCCCTTCCCAGGATCCCCGAGTGACACTAACACCATCTTTCCAATCTGTAGCTTTCTAAATTGCTTTGTCTTGTCAGTGATGACTTGTTCCAGCAAAGGAAGCAGAGGGAGACCCACATTTGCCTTCTGTCTGTGTCAGGAGTGCTAAATGGCTTTCTGCTTACCTCGTGAGGCAGAGGGGAAGCATAACTGACACATGGCTGCTGTGACTTTGGCCAGCTAATTCCCCACTGCCCTGTGCAGGGAGCTCACATATAAACCAGTCTGAACACCGCGCATTCATTTGCCAGCTCACACCCATGTCAGTAGGGAAGGCAGCCCTTCGTTGACAGGGAGAATTTCCCCAGCTGAACTGGGCTTGCCCCGGCTTTTAGGATGAAAGAACACTTTATTCCTGGTAGAAAGCGATCATAGGATCCAGTAACCACAGAAGAGTGAAATCATTGTCACCCAGATGTGATTAAAATGAGATGCCATTGGCCATGGACTAAAAGAAGTGAACAGGTGACCAGAGGGAACCAAGAGTAGTTTATCTAAAGTGGCTTCATTCTTATCCTTACCCCCAGGAAATAACGAAACTATTTTTATGTCTCTTACCAAGTTCAGAAACCAAAATTCAAGAGTCAGAACTTAGTGACAACAGAAGGATTTTTTTTTTTTCAGTATTGGGGTTTGAACTCAGGGCCTCAGGGCCTCATACTTCCTAGGCAGGTGCTCTTACCACTTGAGTCACTCCAGCACTTTTTTTTTGTGATGGGTTTTTTCAAGATAGGGTCTCAAGTGCTATTTGCCCTGGCTGGCCTCAAACCAAAATCCTCCTGATCTCTGCCTCCTGAGTAGCTAGGATTTAGAAGAGATCTTACTAGCACCTGGTAGCTCTAAAAGAGATTTGGAAATTTGCAAAGTGCCTTTGAAGTGAGGCGTGGTGGCACATGCTGTAATCCCAGTGCTCAGGAGGCAGAGGCAACAGGATGGAGAGTTTGAGGCCCACCTAGTTACAGAATGAGACTCTCCTTCAAAAAACCAAAGCAAGAGGCTGGAGGGTGTGGCTCAAGTGGTAGAGCACCTGATAGCAGGCGCAAGGTCCTCAGTTCAGCCCCCAGTTCTGCAAAAAATGGGTATAGTGCAGTGACTACATGCACAAGGCTCTGGATTTGATCCCCAACACCACCAAAAAAAAAAAAAAAAAACAAGACCTCTTGGCTTATAACTGCTGTTGCCCTGTAGCTGGTTTCAGTGAGAGATGCTAAAGGCTTCACCATTAAACCCGTTTGTGAAAGTCCAAATGGGTGTTTTCCGAATTTCATTCTACTACGTATTCACAGTATTTCTCTAATCCAAGAAGTATAATCTGACCCTCGGTTTATTTAATGCATGTTTCATTTTCTCCAAGGCCTGCATCAGCCTCATATTCAAGCAGTTATAGCCACAAAATCTGGGCTTCCATGGCTGACTCACAGCCTCCTGATTGACAGGATGTAAAGGCACACCTATTTAAATTAGGACTGTCCACCAGATCACATCAGAGCCATTCCAGGCCCCACTCAGCTTCCGGTGGGGAAGTTTTCTTAGCATCATTACGATAGTTAAAGAAACTTCCAGGCGAGGGTGCAGCCCAGTGGTTAGAGCTCTTGCCTAGCACATGTGGGGCCCTGGCCTCCATCCCCTATCCCCAGCACTACAAAAAAGAGAAAAAGAAACACAGGCATGGTTTCCAGTCACTTGTAGTTTGCACGGGTCACAGGAAGGGTCCCTCATGCCTTGTTCATACTTCGTGGCCTCAGAGGTATCAAGACTAAATGCCTTGCGAAGCCCCTGGTGCTTTCTAGAGCATCTGACCTGCATCCCCGACCTTTTCTTTCCCGCGATGAGTGGATTCTCTCCCTGTGTTTGCTGCTGTATGTCCCTGGCCTTGCGGGGGGGAGGGAAAATAAGACAAACCAACAAATGGTGACGTGCACAGCCAAGGGTGGGCTCTCATTTCTGTCTTTCTTTTCCCTCCTAAAAGGTTTAGCTTTTTCTCCAGAGACAAGAAGCGCCTAGCCAACCCTCAGAGACACGTGCACATCCACGAGTCCTTCGGCCAGTGGGCAAACACCCACCGTGACGACGGGTACACAGAGCAAGGACAGGAAGCCCTGCAGCACCTGTGACCTTGGCCCCCCTCTGCCCTTGGACCTGACCCTTCGCAGCCTGGACTGGGTCACTGCCTCATGCCTCTCCGTGCAAATGCACCCTCGAAACCCACCACTCGGACAGACCGTCTGCTTTGAGGGCGGACGCTGCAAAACTGGTGCCAAACTCTAGAGAAAGTGTTTATTTATATCCAGGTCTATCACCGTTTATAACAGATGCCTCTGATCTCTTAGGATATATGTTTAATAATCCCACGGGCAGAGCCAGACGATGGTGTTAACTTTAGTAACAAGCTTCTGTAAGCCAAATTCATCACTCACCTCTATAACTGCTGTTTTACTTGCTTTGTATAAAATTTTAGTTGTAGAGTTTTTATGGTCACCTTTGTCATACTTGCGAGGGAGACAGGGAAATGGTAGCTTTATATTATGGAATTGCAGGTTGTATAGGATGTATCCATTGGACACAGGATAAGTGACCCCTACTCGGACATAAAGTGACCGTCCAGCCACCCAGAGGCCAGAGATGGCCTTTGGAGAGCAACAGCCATTCCTGGTGAGGCCTGGGTGGAGCGGGCAGCCCTGTGCGAGTCAGTGTGCCTTAGAGTCTGCTGTGAAAAAGCAGTTCTAACCAAACAAAGTTGCTATGGATGAGACATTGCAACATTTCTTGTGTGTATTTTTCTTATCCTGGCACCTTGTTTCCTTTTGGTGTTCACCAGGTGAAATACTTAGTCCCTCGCAAAGACAAACACAGCAGGTGATACAGGACAGTGGGTCGGGGAGACATAGCAGAAGAAAGGCAAGAGGTGGGCAAATGACTTGAGGCCCACATGCCCTAGTTGACTCAGAGCTGCAGGAGCCAACAGAGGAGTTGGGGGCTGGGCTTCGTTCTTTCTTTCCCCCCACAGAATGCCCGGGGCACAGGACGAGGCCAAGTTCTATGCATTCTGCTAGATTTGCTGAAAGACCAGCAGGTGAAGCACACGTGTAATCCCAGCCCTTGGGGAGGCCGAGGTAGGAGGATTTGAGGCTACCTGGGCTACACAGTGAGACCTTGCCTCTAAAAAAAAAACCAAAACAACGGCTGGTGGAGTGGCTCAAATGGTAAAGCACCTGCCTAGCAAGTGAAAGGCCTGGAGTTCAAACCCCAGAACCGCCAAAAAAAACAGATCAAGGATGGTAATGCATATCCCTACAACATCCAGTCAGTGCCAACAACCAAGAATTGCCCAGCCTGACTGATCTACAGCGCCAAGGTCTAGTACTAACTTTGATTCATTTAATTTATTAATGGATAACGTGTTAATGGCTATCGAGGAGCTGCTGATAGAAACTTCCTTCCGATCCTTCACTGTTAAAACCAGGTTGGCACACTTTCACACGTGTGCAGCAGCCTGCAGAACAAGCTGGAAAGACTGGCCACGCCAAAGGGGATCTGTGTTTGTCATGTCAAACTGCTGAAGTCCCTGCTGTTAGAGTTGTACCTTTCCTCTTTAAGTTACCAGGGCCACACGTGAAGCCCCAATGAAACAAGGAGGGGGATAAGTACGCCTGTTTTAAATTCACCCATGTTTTGAGGGGCAGAGTCAATGACCATGAACCCTGCACTAGGCTGTTTTTCTCCTGCTGGAGTCACAGGACACATGCTTCCCTGCTGTGGGGAGGGAACACACTGGGTGCCACCACAGGGACACTTTGTGGCTGGAATGTGAACGAAATCAGAAAAGAGCCTCGGTGGGGCTGCTCTGTGAGCCTAAGATAGTAAAATCCTATACTGGAACTTTACCAAGGAAAAAGCATTCTTTTCTAAAACTGTTTTAACAGCTGATAGCAATTTTAAAGCATAGCAAGCTGGTCCACCTGCTGTGTAGCACTGTGACAGATTCCTATTTTATAATGTATATATTTATTTTTGGTGGTACTGGGCTTGGGTCTGCTAGGCAAGCACTCTAACACTTGAGCTATGCACCCAGCCCAGAAATGCATACTTTTATGTAAAAACCTGGCAGTGAAGGCTGGCTGTGTAGCTCAATGGTAGAGTGCTTGCCTAGCATAGGGAGGCCCTCATTCCATCCATAGGAATGCAAAAAAAAAAAGACAACTGAGCTTTCAAAGCTAGACACATTTGTAAAATGCTAAACACCACTTTTTTTTTCTTTTTTCTTTTTTAATCCTGAGTGCTGTGGTACTTACCAAAGTTCACAGAATTTAAGGTTATAATAGAACCAGGTCTCCAGCAAACCAAAGGTCAGCTGATGAGAAAGGAAAAGGAAAAGCAGGGCTGGGATGTAGCTCAGTGGTTCCTTCCGCATTTGCCTGAACCACTGGGTTTGTTCTCAGCACCAAAAAAGAAAAGATAACAAAAAAAGGTAATCCACCAGAACCAGTCACAGCTCTTTCAGTGGTTTTGACCTCTCCTGTTCATTCTGGTCTCACTCTCTCTTCTGTTGAGCCTTATATTTTCAAAGGGCTGGAACACCGCCCTGGATCACAGCCCTGCAATGCTGCTTTTTAATTTTAAATGCCGGCCAGAAACAGAAAGGAGATGTCAGCATTCTGCACCCAAGCAAGCGGAGGTACATTTGTTTGAAAGCAGTGGCTGCAGACCCAGACGTTCTGGCTGCGTCTGGTGTTAAGGCATCCCCACAGACATACTTTTCTATCCCCTTTTTAGTTCAGTTCAGCAAACCCTGGGGCTGTGGACATGAGGATGGAAAAGACAGAACTTATTCTAAGCAGATTAGGGTCCCCAGGAGTCACAGATCAGTGTGGAGGGTTTTAGGCGATCGCCTCTTTGCCACAGATTCAAAATAACTCCAGATAGACAGAAAATCAGGCCAAATTTTCCATGTCAAAGAATGAGAACAGAAGTCTTTACAAAGACCTCTGTACAAATGCCAGCAACTATAGTTTTTTTTTTAATTAAAAATAAATTTTTTGGGAGGGGTAGTGGGGTTTGAACTCAGGGTCTCACACATGCTAGGCAGGTGCTCTACCACGTGAGTCATTCTCCCAGTCCCTTTAGCTTTATTTTTCAGATAGGATCTTGGATTATGATCCTGGTGCCTACACCTCCTTTGGTGGGATGCTGGGACAATGGGCATCGGCCAGTACACCTAGATTGTTGGTTGAGATGGGGTGTTGCTAAATGCCACTGCCGCCCCCCACACACACACTGGCCTCAAAGCTTAATCCTTTCATCTCCACCTCCCAGTAGGATTACAGGCAGGAAACACCACACCCAGTCCAAAAGGTGGCTGTTAAGTGACAGGCGCTGGCTGGGGCTGGGACACAGCGGTAGAGAATCCATCTGCCTCACACGTGTGCAGCCTTCAGTTGAATCCCAGCACTGAAGTAAACCGGTATCTGGGACCCTGATGAAGACAATAAATTCATAGTATCTAGTTGAACTTGGGTTCCAGACTGCAAAGAAAACTATTGCAGCTGGGTGCCAGTGGCTCACACCTGTAATCCTAGCTACTCAGGAGGCAGAGATCAGGAGGATCCAGGTTCAAAGTCAGCTGGGCAAATAGTTCACGAGACCCTTTCTTGAAAATACCTATCAAAAAGGGCTGGTGAAGTGGTTTAAGGTATAGGCCTTGAGTTCAGGTCCTGGTACTGCAAAACAAAAAAAAAAAGATTCCAACCCTTCTTATGTAGCTTTATTGAACCATTACACATAAAGGGCGCATGGAGACAACTACCCCACTACTTTTTTCCTTTTTTTCTTGGCGGTACTGGGGTTTGAACCCGGGGCCTCTACCTGCTCCGGTCCCTCCTGTCCCTCCCCTTGACCCTGTCCTCTCGGGGGTCCCGCCCTCTCTCCCAGTCGTTTTCAGGCCACGCCCGGGCCGGCTCCCTTTCCGGCCATCTCTTGTCCCGGCCCCGGTCGTGGTCGCGGTCCCGGGCCCTGCAGTCGCGGTGTCTTTCCCGGGACCGCTCCCGCCTGTCTCGCTTCCCGTCTCTGTGCAGCTCGCTTTTAACCACGGGCAGGTTGATGGGCTTCCGGAAGGGCCGGTCGCGCCCCCCGAACCGCAGCTGCCCCGACTCCTTCTTCCCGCCCAGCCCGCCGCCCAGGCGCCGCGGGACCCAGCCGCGCAGCGTCCGCTCCTGCTCGAAGTCCACGAAGACCTCGCGCTGCTCGATGGCCAGGCCCGCCGCGTCGCGGTAGGCCTTGAGCAGCGCGCGCTCCTCCTTGAACTCCACGAAGGCGTAGCCCTTGGAGAAGCCGGTCACCAGGTCCCGCACCAGCCGCAGCCGCCGGATGTCCCCGTAGCGGGAGAAGACCTCCTTCAACTTGTCCTCTCTGGTCTGCAGGTTGAGTCTGGCCACGAACAGGGTGAGGAGGGGGTCTCCCGTGACACCTTTGTTGGGGACGTACCGGGCCAGCATGGCCCGCCACACCGCGCGGTCGTGCGGCTCTTCGTCGGTGCCATCGATGCTGCCAGCTTTAAGCGGGTCATACTCCTTGGCGATGGGCATCCAGTCGTTCATGTTCTAAAAGGAGGACAGGAGGCAGGTGTGTGCCCTCCACTGCCAGCTCCTCCCGCCCCCCTCCCCTTAAAGCCCTGGAAAGAAGTATCAATTGTCCCCTGCCCTTTTTTTCCCTGGGGGGGTTACAGCAGAGTCTCACTATGTAGCCAAAGTGGCCTCAAACTCCCAATCCTCCCGCCTTCCCCTCCTGAGTGCTGGGATTACAGGCAGGAACCACCACACACCTCTTGAAGGTAGGGAGGCCACTGGGTACCACAGGTCTCAGGTCCTGACTCCTGGTCTTGAAGCCAGATACCTGACCTGCCCCTCCAAACCTTCTCAGGAAGCAGAGGGTGTGTACTTGAGTTCCAGGTGCATGTGTGCCATCTGGAATAGCCAGGGCAGGGCGGTACCAGTTGCAATGTGGCCAGGTGGATCCAACATGCCTTACCAGGGTTTTAAAATGGTCACTGGTTATGTGTGAGCCCCGCCCCATCAGAAAACCCCAGCATCAGAAAATAACAACAAGCTGTCAAACTTCTTTAAAGGGCTGAGCAAGGGTCACAGTGGTAAAGCACTGCCTGGCTGTGTGTAAAGGCTCTGTAAATAAATTTCAAGTGCGTGCCAACTACTCCCTGAACTACAGCAGAGCTCCCACCAGGACCAGCACACATGGCCAGAATAATCCAGCCCAGTTTATTCTGAAAAGTGTCTGCACGATACATCATCTCTCTATAATTTCCTCAGTGTGCATCACTAAAACATAAAGACTTTGAAGGGGGGTTGGTTAGTTTTTTTGAGACAGGGTCTTGCTATGTAGACTAGGCTAGCCTTGAACTCACAGCTCTCCTGTCTCAGCCTCCCAAGTGCTGGGGTTACAAGGCATGCATAATGAGCAGCTGAACAACAGAAGAGAAGAGAAGGGTGAGGTGGCCTGAGTTCTGGTTTCAGCTGAGACGTTAACCCTTATGCTTTGTTATTTCAGTCTCTCCTGCTCTGGAGTCTCTATAGAGATCCCTTTCCACTGGCTTAACATTGTGGGAGTGGGATCTTCCTACCTCTTCCATCACAGAGTTGCTGTGGACAAATGTAAGGACTGTGAGAGTCACAGCTCGCCTGCATGGACACTCAGGGAGTGTAGGGTATTGCGCTAAGCCCTTCCCTTCTCACTCTCAGCAGTACCCACAAGACGTAGGTACCACTGCTGCTATCATTTCACATGTGGAAGGTCCCAATACTGTTGTCTTTTACCCCAACTCATAAAGGTAAGAAGCAGCGTGGTGAGGGAGTTCCACCCAGAAGTGTGCAAGTCCAGAGCTCCACACACCCCGGGTGGGGAAGAATTCCTCCCCATACAACAGAAAAACACAAAATGTACCACATAAATCTAATACTACTGTACACAGTCAGAGCTCCTGTTGAAAGCATTAAGACTTCGAATCAAAATCTACGAAAATTACAAAGGGATAAAGTGTGGGTTTTCTTCTCTGTGTACTTCTATCAGTACTGACAAGAAAACAGCAGCCTTCCCTACTTCTCATTAATTTCCTCTGTTGTGGCATTATGCAGATTTCCTACAAAAACCTCTTTGGATTTTTACATCCTGGTTATTGTCTCATTAAGGGGCGTAAGACCTGAGAGATGAATGATGGGGGCGAAGGTGAGTGGTGCAATTAACCACAAAAGTGTAGGCCTGTCCTGTGTCTCAATCCTGTAACCCTAGCTACTCTGGAAGCAGAGATCAGGAAGATCCAATGGTAGGACAAAAAGCTCAAGAGATGCCATCTCAACCAATGCCTGAGCATCCTGGTGTGTCTGTTATCCCGGGTATGCAGGGAAGCACAAATAAGAGGATCATAGTTAGCCGGGAAATAAAGCACCGATCCTATCTCAAAAATAACTAATGTAGCCATGCACCGTGGCACATGCCTGCAATCCTAGCTATTTGGGAGGCTGAGATCAAGAGGATTAAGGATTGAGGCCAGCCTAGGCAAACAGTTCACAAGACCCCCATCTCCAAAATAACCAGCGCAAAATGGTCGGGTGGTGTGGCTCAAGCTGTAGAGCGCCTGCTTTGCAAGCACAAAGCTCGGGATTCAAACCCCAGTTCCGCCAAAAAATAAAAAGAGTCTCCGTAAGGGACTTAGGTGAACTTCCCAGGCCAAGGAAGAAACAACACAAACAGGAGCCTCGCCTCCGCCCCGTCCCCGCGCATGCGCAGTGGCGTCGTGAAGCGAAGGCGGAAGTCACGGCGGGAATCCTGAATTACTTCCCTTGAGGTCCATTTTCCCAGTTCAGCCTCTGCTTCAGCCCAGGCCCGAGAGGCTGACTCCTCCGTCCGCTCACCTGGGTGGACGTAGGGGAAGGACAGGCCACCCTCCTGACCTCTCATTCCTGCTCCCTGCAACACAACCCCGGGGCTCCCCTTTTGCCAGATTTCAACATGGCGGCAGACGCAGCGTCACGGCCTATTCTCTTCTACTTTCCATCCCCCGGGGTGGTTCCTGCTCTCCCCGGACCGCTTCCACTCACCTCAGCAAACTCGGGTTCCTTTTCCCACAGAGACAGGGCCGGGGCTCTAAGCGGCCGAAGCTCTCGCGTGCCGGGCTCCACCCGAGCTCCACGTCGGAAGCCGCAGATTCGCCACAGACGCCGCGGGGCTTTTTACTTCTAAGAAATATAATTACACGCACGGAGCATCAGGGGCGTGTGTTTCCCCAAAGAGGAGGAGCGCTAATTTGTGTCTGATTTTCTACACGAAGACTGAAGCTGCCGAGCTGGACCGCTGACTTGATAGACTGTCGAATGTGCAGTTGGTTTTCTGAGGCTGAAATTTCTCCCTGAGAAAATTGCGTAAGCCGGTCCACGTGGAGCGTCCGCGCGTTTTCTTAACCCCTAGACTAAAGAAACTCACCATCCAAGCCAAACCGTATTTTCCAATTCCAGGTCATTATGTTAGAATATTCTGGGAGCTTGTTCAGATAACATTTCTTGGGGCGTCCCAGCCATCGATGAATTCAGTCTCTGAAAATATGAGGTTTTTTGCAACGCTACAAATGATTATTTAAGCATATTGGAATATGCCTGCCGTTAGAAGTCCAGATTTAATAAATATGTAAAGTTAGTGACAATTAAAAAGAAAAACATTTTTAAAAGAAGTAGAAAAAGGAACTATGTGCTCCATAAATATTTCTAGAATGGGTAGGTTGGTTTGGTTTTTTTTTTTTTTTTTTTTTGGTGGAACAGGGGCTTGGACTCAGGACTTCTAGCTTGCGAAGCTGGCAAACTTGAGCCACACCGCTAGCCCATTTTGCTCTGGTTATTTTGGAGATGGAGTCTCATGAACTATTTGCTGAGGTTGGCCTCAAACCAAAATCCTCCCAATCCCAGCCTCCCAAGTAGCTAGGATTACCAGCGCCCGGCCCTGGGTAGATCTTTATATTTCAACTATGGTTCCCCTCCCCCTGGTGCTGGGTGTTCCAGGGCCTTGGGCGTCAAGCGCTCTACCACTGAGCCACACCACCCTCCCCAGCCTCTCTGCTAAATTTTTTGAGGGCCTTCCATAAATTCTGTATATCTCTTGTTTTCCACCCGAGGCTTGAGGTGTGGTCAGTGGTAGGGTGGGTGCTTAGCTCACGCAAAGCCCTGGGTTCCATCCCGAGCATCTCCTCCCCACCCCACCCCTGGCCCACCCCCCAAAAAAGGGGAGATCAGAAAAGTGCATCCCCTTTGAGGTCTGTAAATTTAAGCATTTAAAAGAAAACTTTTTACAAACCAAGTCGAAAAATCTGGCGGGGAGTAGATATCTGTGCAGAAGCTTCAGGCTGATAGAATCTGAGCACAAGTATTCAGCAGGGCTAAACTCAGTTCATTCTGTCAACAGCTCCTAAGGAGAGGCAGTTGCGTTGTAAGGGGTGAAGTAGGGTGTGTTGGGAGGGAAGGGTGGAGAGCCTGCTCACTCCACCAGAATCTCCTTTAAGGCCCCTCCTACCCACCACCCTGAATAAACATATCAGGGACATTTTTATTTATTTGCTGCAGTAGGGTTGGAACTCAGGGCCTCATGGTTGCTCGGCAGGCACTCTTGATCCACTCCACCAGCCCTTTTTTGTGATGGGTTTTTTCAAGATAGGGTCTGGTGAACTATTTGCCTGGGCTGGCTTGGAACTCGTGATCCTTCTGATCTCTCCTCCTGAGTAGCTAGGAGTATAGGCGTGAGCCACCTGGGTGCCCCGCTGTCTGGGACATTGTTTTAAAAAAATAAAGTGCTCACTTTTGTAAACAAACTCAAAACTTGCCCTGGATACCAGCCTTTTGCAACCAGATTCTTTTCCTTAAGAGTTAAACTCCTACCTATGAAATCCTTAAACCAGGATTGCAGGCACTTAAAACTGACCAGGAGACCTCCTCCTGACTCTGTTCCTGACCCAGGGAGGGTGACAAGATCTGATTTATGCAGAACAGGGGAAGAAAGCCATAGCTACGTGCCTCTCAGCAAGCAGATGGTGCCACAGATGGTCAGAGGACCCTAACGCTCCCCCTCCAGAACCACCGAACCCCCCTCATCCACCACAGGAACTTTCCTGTCCCTGGGCCTTGGCCTCCAAACACCTACATTTCTGCTTTTATGAAATCTGAACTCACTCACTTTTACTTTCCATTTCTCTTTTTTCTTGCCTGTCTTGACTCTCAGGGGAATAGTCTTTGAAATTATTTTATATTTCAGTATAATGATGTATCACTGGGACTTTTTCTTTAAAAAAAAAATAATGGTATATTCTACGTGTGCCTGTTTTGTTTGTGGGATTTTTTTTTGCGGGGGTGCAGTACTGTGGTTTGAACTCAGAGCCTCCTGCTTCCTAGGTAGGCACTTGATTGAGCCCTTGTTTTTATGTTTTTTGTTTTTGTTTTGAAACAGGGTTTCCTACGTAACGCCCAAGCCAGCCTAAAACCCTGAATTCTCCTGCCTTCACTTCTCAAGTGCCAGGATAATAGACATGCATCACCAAACCTGGCTTGTGTGTTATACCCAACTTCCCAAATAATTGTATAAGTAAGAAATTTCTTAGTCCCTATTTAGCAATAGAATTAGCTTGTGACAGTAGCCAACATCTATTGACTTCTGTGCCACAGCCTGTTCTAAACACTTGACTACGATCTTATAGAGCTACATTGTTCATTCTTTTGTGTGTGTGTGTGTGCGTGTGTTACTATGGTACTGGGTTTGAACTCAGGGCCTCACACTTGCTAAACAGATGCTCTACCACTTGAGCCACTCTGCCAGCCCTATACATTTATATCTGTACTCCCAGCTTACAGTTGGGAAAGCTGAGCCCGAGTGAGCGATAATTTACTTGCCTAACATAACACACCCTACAAGTGGCAGGGTGAAGATTTGAACACTGGCAGCCTGGCTCTAGACCCCATTCTCTTGAACACCACACCATCACTCTCATTCTCGAGCATGTATCCAAATTACCCCAAAGGCTCCTTCAAGCACACCAGGCCCTCACCCCTCAAGGTTCCGATTCAGTGGTGGGGAATTTGCATTTCTTCATTGTTGTTTTGGGTGCTGTTCTGGGGATGGAACCCAGGGCTTCCCTGCTCCGAATCTGCATTTCTAAAAAGTTCCCAGGTGCTGCTCAGGCGCTGGTCCCAGGTCTACCCTTCTGGACCTCTGCTGCAAATTGCCTTTAGTTGCAGAATTGACCAGCAGAGAGTCCGCTAGCAGATGATCAGAGTCTAAGAGCGGTGCAAGAGTTAAATTTCCTAGCACTTTTTTTTTTTAATTGGGCGGCACTGGGGTTTGAATACAGAGTCTTGTACTTACTAGACTCATGCCCACCAGACAGCTGCTCTATCCCCCAGCCACTCTACCAGCCTAGTTATGTTTGAGATAGGGTCTCACTTTATCCCCGGGTTGGCCTGGACTAAGATCTTTCCACGTAACTGAGATGACAGATGCTCACCACCAAGTATTGGTTGTGATGGGGTCTTGTGAATTTACTGCAGTCGTCAGACAGCCTGGAACTGTGAGCCTCCAGGTAGCTAGGATTACAGGCATGCACCACTGCGCCTGGCACTCTATGATGCTTACCTGGCTGCACACTGACCCGGCCCTTGTCATGAGTGCTCACATCAGTCTTGGGGAATCAATGCATACTTTTGATTTTCCCTGTTTTTTGGAGACACAAAGGAATTTGAGGAAGTTTATGAGCCAGCAAGCAACAATTGTGAGGTTTAAGGCAAAGACAGCTCAACTCCACAGCCCTTTATGACACTCTACCCTTTGAGCATAGGTAACTCATAAAATAGCCATTAAAGAATGAAAAAAAAATAGGCACAGCTGGACACAGTGGTTCACACCTGTAATCCTAGCTACTCAGGAGGCAGAGATCAGGAGGATCATGGTTTGAGGCCGGCCTGGCAAGTAGTTCTCAAGACCCTACTCAAAAAAAAAAAAAAAAAAAAACACAAAAAAGGGGTTGTGGAGTGGCTCAAGGTGTAGGCCCTGAGTTCAAACACCAGTACTGCAAAAAAAAAAAAAAAAATGAGCAAAGTATTCTTTTGTTTTGTATATCAAAAGCATAGTTATTCAGTGGAAGACATTTTGATTTTTAAAGGGTCATTTAATGGGCTTTGCAGTGTTTGAAGTCCATAGAGGAAAGAGGTTATGGCGCTTCAGAGGGTCAGTTGCTGGGGAAAGTTCAAGGCAAATCTTTTTTGGTTTTCAGTACTAGGATTTGAACTCAGGGCCTCATGCTTGCACTCTACCACCTGAGTCATGCCCTCAGCCCTTTTTGCTTTGGTTATTCAGGTAGGGTCTCATGTTTTTGTCTTCCATGGCCCTGCAGGAACCAGTGCCTAGGGAGCTAACAAGCTGGAGTGCTGAGGTGCTATTAATAGGAGCAGGTGAAGAGATAAAAATGAGCTGGGCCTCAGGCTGTGCAGTTCAGAGCTGGACCCCTGGATTCTCATCACCGCCTCTTGCCTCAATTCCTCCTCTGTAGCATGGGAGCCAGTGTCATGGGAAGTGTAAATGACTTTTTTATGGTAGTAGGATTTGAACTCAGGGCCTACACCTTGAGCCACTCCACCAGCCCTTTTTTGTGATGAGTTTTTTTAAAATAGGGTCTTGAGAACTATTTGCCTGGGCTAACAATGAACCGTGAGCCTCCTGATCTCTGCCTCCTGAATAACTAGGATTACAGGTGTGAGCCAATAGCACCCGGCTTTTTTTGTTTTGAGACAGGGTCTCACTATGTAGCCCAGGCTGGCCTAGAACTTGCAATTCTCCTGTCTCATGCTCCTGAGTGCTGGGATTGTAAGACGTGCGCGAGCCATTCTCTCCAGCAGCCACCTTGGAATCAAGGAAGGGCAAGGAATAATCGATTACATCTTTATGACAAGGGACTGAAGTTTCCCTTGAGGAACAGCAGGACAGACCACCTTCCCCTCAGCCCCATTCCCCTACCCCCCCAAATGAGGACAGTTACTGTAATGATGAGGCTGCACCTTGGAGCAGGAGTGATTGTGCATATTGGTTCTTCAAGTATGACACTGATAAGTTCTCAAGAACCCTTGATGAACAAGGATTGAGACAATGGTCAACCAGGCCAAACTGAACCACCGGAACACACCTGAGATGGGGACTGCTTAACTATGTGTACCTTTTGTCCCCTGCTCTAATTCTTCATCTAATGAAAGCTCATGTCTATACCTGAAAATGGCTGAAGATGGGCTGCGTGCTTTCTCTGCCTCTTCCCACAGGATGACCTGGACCGTGTAATTAAACCTCCTTTCTCTGCCTTCACCATACCTCTTTGACATATAGGGGCAGGTGGTCAGACCTGACCAGCTCAGGAGCCTGGGCCTAGGGTCCAAAACTCTAGTTTCAGCTTCACAAGAATGCACCATTGTGTTGAGACGAGGTCTGGATAACTTTTTGCCTGGGCTGGCCTCAAACTGTGATCCTCCCAATCTCAGCCTTACAAGGAGTGTCTGGTCAGAGGAACTTTTGACAAGGTCAGCAATATAGAAAAGAACTGGAGGTGTGGCTCAAGTGGTTACAGCACTTACCTAGCAAATGCAAGGTCCAGCCACGGGGTGGCTGGGAATATTGAGGTAAGAAAAGAAACTCAGGATATTTAATTCTTCCTGATGAATTGCTCTAGGGAGATTCTTTAACAGAACTGGAACAGCACTCACATATCCTATAACTAGCTTGTAGAATGTACAGATCAGTGGTTTTTAGAAAATTCATACAATTATGCAACCTTTACCACATCCTAATTTCAGAACATTTTCATCACCCAAAAAGAAATGCATGAGCAGTCAGTCCACATTCCCCTGCCCTAGCAGGGGTAGACTGGGGAGTAGGCTACTTTGTGTCTCTCAGGGCTTCTCTATTCTGCCACATGTCCTTTAGAGTCTGTGACTTATAGGCTACTGAGCCTTTGCTGAGGCCTTTCACTTTGGCCATTAAAACAGTGAAATCAGGGTCTTCACTTGTTTAATTCTTGCACAATCTCCATTGCGATTCTATGTTTTTTGTTTTTTTGCTGTGCTGGGGTTTGAATTCAGGGCCTACACCTTGAGCCACTCCACAAGTCCTTTTTTTTGTTATGGGTTTTTTTCAAGATAGGGTCTTAAGAACTATTTGCCCAGGCTGGCTTCGAACCAAGATCCTCCTGATCTCTGCTTTCTGATTAGCTAGGATTACAAGGATGAGCCACTGGTGCCTGGTTTCCATTGCAATTCTAGAACCACAAAGAAAGCTGCCAGACATTCCTGCGAAAGACAAGCTCGAGGACTGAGCTGCTGTCTCCACAAGCATTACAAACCTGTAGCCAAACCTAAAATTATATCAGGGATTTAGAGGCGGCTTTTGCTAAAAAGCACAGACTGTTCACTTGGGCCTGCAGATGCTAAAGCAGGATAAAGCCTGACATCTCTGCCTTCACTTTGTATCTTTTTGTTTGGAAGTACTGTAGTTTGAATTCAGGGTTTCATACCTGCTGGGCAGTGCTCTGCCACTGGAGCCACTACACTGGCCGTGTTTTGTGTTGGATATTTTCAAGACAGGATCTTGGGAACTTTTGACGGAACCTGGAACCTGATCTCTGACTCCTGAGTAGCTAGGATTACAGACAAGAGCCACCAGCACGCAGCTCACTTTGTATCTGAGTCCTCTGCTACATTAAAATTTTGGGTCAGATTCCTGCTGGGCTCTGTGTGTAAACGTGTTTGTCATTTAAGGCGTGTTCACTAAAGCTGGTGATTGCCTTCGTGGCTGAAGTCACCAAGATAAATGTAACTAAGATTTTTCTTCAAGGTTGTAGGAATGCCTGCGAGCCGTGTAGGAGGATCACCGCGTGATAAGGCTGCCCCCCTAAGCAGGAGCCGTCCTCTCATGATGGGAACTGAGCCAGCGGGACCTTGAAGAACCAGAGCTGAGGTCAAATCAAGGAGATGAGATTGAGCAAGGCTGCTTAACTGCGCACACTCTCCTCCCCCTCCCCTCAATTCTCCTGTATAATTCTGGGGCGTTGGTCAGCACCCCTGAAGACAGTGATTTTTGTCTTCTTTGCAATTCCTCTGTAAACTTGTGGAAAGAAGGGAAGCCCGCAGCCGGCATTTATTCGGTGTTTAACCTGGGTATTGGATTTGTTCCACGTTATCTCATAACCTCATTATGCAGTCCTCACAGTAGGACAGTAGGCAATACCCCCATTTTACAGAGGAGGAAACTGAGGCTCGGAGGATTAAGTAACTTGCCAAGGTTACAGCGCTGGTGAAGGGAGAGGAGCTGAGGTATTCATTTTTTTCAAGGGGTCCTGGCAACCATCGTGGCCTCTGTCACAGCTGGTTTTGTTTTCCTATAGGCTTCGGAAAATACCCTTAAATAGAGACCTGGATGTTCCCTTCTCCGTGATGCAAATTCTATGGCTGGAAAGCCTGAGCTTGCGAAGGAAAAAGTTGTGCGCCTTTAACCCTCTTACCCGCAGCACCCTGGAAACCCCGCCTCCGTCTCCATGGAAACTCGATCACGCCCGCAGCCCCCACTAGGGGGCGTGGCCACTAGAGGCTCCGCCCCCAGGCTTGCAAGCGCTGGCCAGCTGGCGGGCTGGCTCTGCGCCCCTCTCCTCGGTTGTCGTCTTCTGCTGTCCCCAACTACGTCCCCAAGCCCGCTGTCCCGCAAAGTCGTCAGCCGGGCCCTGTCGCCCCCAGGCTCTGCCTGTCCCTGCCTCCCCCGGCCGCGCCGATTGGACAGCAAGGTGTCACCCAGCGGAAAGTTTTCGTGCCGGGAGGAAGTTGAACCCTCGGAGGCCGCGGGAGGGCGGGCGGCCATGGAGGAGGAGGAGGACGGGGAGGGGGCCCTGGGCAAGAGCCCCTTCCAGCTGACCGCCGAGGACGTGTACGACATCTCCTACGTTGTGGGCCGCGAGCTGATGGCCCTGGGCAGTGACCCCCGCGTGACCCAGCTGCAGTTCAAGATCGTCCGCGTGCTGGAGATGCTGGAAGCGCTGGTGACCGAGGGCGGCCTGGTGGCGGAGGAGCTGAGGATGGAGAGGGACAACCTCAGGAAGGAGGTGGAGGGGCTGCGGACCGAGCGCCCTCCAGCCACCGGGGAGGTGAGTGGGCACTTGGGACACGGCCCACCCAGGGAGAGGCCCCCTTGACTTTCTTTTTCTTTTTGGTGGAACTGGGATTTGAACTCAGGGCTTCACGCCTGCAAAGCAGGCACTCTCCCGCTTGAGCCACACCTCCAGTCCATTTTGCTCTGGTTATGTTGGAGATTGGGTCTGAAGAAGTATTTTCCAGGGCTGGCGTTGAATCATGATCCTCCTAATCTCAGCCTCCCAAGAAGCCAAGATTAGAGGCATGAGCCTCCAGCACCGGGCTCAGGAGTGGTTCATAAAACACGGACTGCCAGGGCCCAGCCCCAAAATTCCTGACTCAGGAGGGACCTAAGAATCGGTATTTCCAACAAGTTCTCCCACATTTTAACTGAAGAGAAATTCGTGCATTGGACCACAAAAAGACATGTACAAGGAGATTCAGAGCAACTTTAGTCATGGTTGTGCCAAAACTAGGAGCAACCCAAGTGCCACAGAATAGATTTTCATTGTGGAATACTACACAGCTCTGAAAAAAAAGAATACTAATACACATCTCCATATAGATGAATCTCGCCTATGTTATATTGAGAGGAAGAAGCCAGGTACAAAAGAGAACCTGCTGCATTCAGGAAGAGGCAAAAGAGCCAGGTTCGGTGCCTATAATCCTAGCTACTCAGAAGGCAGAGATCAGGAGGATTAAGTATTGAATCAGCCTGGCAAATAGTTCTCCAGACCCTATCTCTAAAAAACCCTTTATAAAAAAAGGGCTGGTGGAGTGGCTCAAGGTGAAGGCCCTGAGTTCAAACCCCAGCACCACAAGATACATAAAAATATAAAGGAAGATCCAGAAGATCCTTTAGTTTTAGGAGGCAGAATGGGAGTAGCAGGGAAATTAGTAGGTAGAGTCAGGGTGTGGTTGTAGAAGTGTATACAAGCTATAAACTCAGGATTAATGTATTTTACTATAAGTTGAGGTCAGCTTCACAAAATGGCATTTTATATCACTAGCCAGTATTTTTTGAACATTTTTATTAGTATCTGATAATTATGAAGGGGGTTTCACTGTGACATTTCCGGTTTGGTCCATCCCCTGCATTATTCTCCCTCTCACTATCCAGTATTGATGAGGCAATTTACCCCAGCTTCCTCTAGATTATACTCGATGCGATGCACAGGCGTGCTTATTTCCTGTTCTAGTTTTTTTTTTTTTTTTTTTTTGTGGTGATGAGGTTTAAACCCAGGGCCTGTCATGCTTGGTAAACACCCGCCCTGCTGCTGAGCTGCATCTGTAGCCTCCCTTCCCCCTCGGTTTCTTCGATCTCACCTACATCCCAGGAGACTTTTTTTTTCTTTTTGTGTGTTTTCAAGCCTTTTGATATTTTATTACTCAAAAAAATGCTTTTTTTTTTTTTTGGCGATATTAGGCTTTGAACACAGGGTCTCACACTTGCTAGACAGGCACTCAACCAGCCCTTTTTAGTGTTGGGTATTTTTGAGATAGAGTCTCACTGCCCAGGCTGACCTCAAACTGAGATCCTCCTGATCTCTGCCTCCTGAGTAGCTAGGATTACTCCTGGTTGAATTCAGGGCTTTTTGTTTGCAAATCAGGTGCTCAACTGCTTGAGCCACACCTCCAGCCCTTTTTTTTGTTTATTTTCTAGCAGTGCTAGAGATTTCTTTACTCATGTGTGCTAGTTATTCCACTTTCTGTACCTTCAACACTGTCACATGATTTTCTGATCCTGAATAAGGAAAGCAAGCTGGATCCTGTCACCAGCACTTTTATCACACATGACATTTTAGACGATGTCATGAGGAATTTAGGTCTCAAAGTCGGCGTGGACACACAACACATATAGAATTTGGTACTTCCCCACCTTCTTGGGATAAAGATCAACAGTTCTATTGCCAGGGATTCAGGCCACTGAGTTTTGTCAGCGGCTGTATTATAGGAAAGCCCACGATGATGTAGCAAATGCTGGGCCCCTCTGAGTGCTGCTGGACACTGTCCCCCACCCCCCGCCATTGTCTTGTCCTCCCGGAGAGGAAGAGGAAACTCAGGGCTATTTTCAGTTTGATTTCCAACCACAGGGATTGGCCTGGGAGCCATGTGGTCTACACAGATCACCACGGGGTGACTTCTGCATGGGGCAGGGTGGACCAGTGTCCTCAGCAGATGAGATGGCAGTCTTCCCTAACCACAGTCTTAAGAATGGGGGTGGGAGCTGGGCTGGTGGAGTGGCTCAAGTGGTAGAGCATCTACCTAGCAAGCTTGAGGCCCTGAGTTCGAGCCCCAGTACCACCAAAAAAACAACAATCAAAAGAATGGGGGTGGGGGGGGTGGAAGAAAAGGGCCCAAATTGAGAATGAATGCTCAATGCCAGTAGACAGCTCATAAAAATAGGCCATGTTCTTTTCTTTCTTTTTGATCATTTTTAGTTGTTTTTACTTGTAGTAAATACACATAGCATAAAATTTACCATCTTCACCATTTTTTTTTGGCAGTACTGGGGTTTGAACTCAAGACCTTGTGCTTGCTAGGCAGATGCTTTATCACTTGAGCCATGTCACAACCCTGTCTTCACCATTTCTAAGTGTGCCATTCAGTGACACCAAGGATGTTCACATATTTATGCCACCATCTTGCAAAACTGAAGCTCGATTCCCACCCATCCCAACTCCCTGTTCTACTTTCTAACTTGTTTGTCTGTTTACCTGCAATGGAGTCTTGCTGTGTCACCTGGGCTGGCCTTGAACTCTATTTTTGTGGCAGCACTGAGGTTTGAACTCAGGGTCTCATGCCTGCTAGGCAGGCTCTCTTAGTGCTTGAGCCATTCCTCCAGCCTGGCCTTGAACTCCTGCCTGAGGCTCCTGAGTATCTGGGGCTATCAGTGACCACCATGCTGTCCAGCTTACTGAATTTACCTTTCCTAGGAACTGCATAGAAATGGAATCCTAGTAGTTGAGCCTTTGTTTTTTTTAGTTTTAGTTTTGAATTGTAGACATTAATAATGCAAGCAAGGAGTTGTTTTTTTTTTGGCGATGCTGCGGATCCAACCCAGGGCCTCATGCATACTAGACATACACTCTACCACTGAGCTACCTCTCAGCCCTATACGAGGGGATTTCATTGTAATTCCATAATTTCATGCATTCAGACAGTATCTTGAATGAGTTCACCCCTCTATATATTTCCATCCTTCCCCTAGTATTTGTTCTTGTAAGACAGGCTTATTTCACTTAGCCTATATCCTCAAGATTCATCCAGAGCCTTGGTGATATGTGTTAAAATTTCTTTCCTTAGAGAACAAACAAACAGAAAAGGAGAAAAAAAAAGAGTTTTTTTCCTTTGTGGGCTAGAGGCATGTCTCAAGTGGTAGAGCTCCTGCCTAGCAAGTGCAAGGCCATGAGTTTAAACCCCAGGGCTACCAAAAAAAAGAAAGACAGAAAGAAAGAAAACAATTACTTCCTTTTTAAGGCTGAATAATATTCCATTGGATGGATAGACTGTAGTTGTTTACTCATTCATCTCGGATTGCTTCCACTTTTTGGCTGTTGTGAATAATGGTACTATGAACGTGGGTGGACAAATATCTCATCAAGTCTGTGTGTGGTGGCTCACACCTATAATCTAGCTATTCTGGAGATAGAGATCATCAGGATCAAGATCAGTCTTGGGAAAAAGCTAAGGAGAACCCATCTCAACCCATCTCAACTGTCCATGCCAGTCATCCCAACTATGCAGGAAGCAAAACTTAGGAAGATCACAGTCCAGGCTGGCTGTACATAAATGGAGACTCTATCTGAAAAATAACTAAAGCAAAAAGGGCTGGGGTTGTAGCTCAAGCAGTAGAGGACCTGCCTGGAAAGCACAAAGTGCTGATTTCAACCCCCAGTACCAAAGCAGGGAGGGGGAGAACACACTTCTATGTTTTTAGTGACTTTTGAAAGTTTGCATTATAAGGATGGTTGTGCATGTCCTCCAATTCTAGTACTTAGGAGGCTGAAGCAGGAGGATCTTGACTTTCAGGCCAGTCTGGACTACATAGGAAGACCTTACCTCAAAAAGAAAGAAAAACTCCATTGTACAGTATCATCAGTTATTCTATCTGAGAGTTCTGAACTTCTGTATATGGACACTCCAACAGGGCCAAGTGGTAAAGCGCCTGCTTTACAAGCACGAAGCCCTGAGTTCAAACCACAGTCCCAAAAAAAAAAAAAGGAAAGAAAAAAAAATCAGCTATATATATATTTTGTTATAATAAATATCTTTATTGTTCTGCTAGGGGTATGTAGTGGCATTTTCAAAAGTTCTTCCAATATATCAAATATATCATACTTGAATTCATCCCCTCCATTATTTCCCCTCGCCAAAAGTAGCTGTATTAATTATCTTGGAAATTAGAGTCTCTCGAAGTATTTGCCCAGACTGGCCTTGAACCCTGATCTTCTTGATCTCTGCTTCCCAAGTAGCTAGAATGACAGAATTGACCCACCAGTGCCCTTCTCCACCAGTTCTTTTGTTTTTAGTTTGTTTTTGAAATGGGAGTCTTGATAACTTTGCCCAGACTGGACTCGAACTCGCCATCCTTCTGCCTCCTGGATTATAGGTGTGTACCACCAACTTTCCTTACTGGGCTGGACAGTCCAGCTCCACTAGAGAAACCGTCTAAGTGGCATCTTTTCTTCCAGGTGAACCTGGGACCCGACAAAATGGTGGTTGACCTGACGGATCCGAACCGGCCGCGCTTCACCATGCAGGAGCTGAGGGACGTGCTCCAGGAGCGCAACAAACTCAAGTCGCAGCTGCTGGTGGCACAGGAGGAGCTGCAGTGCTACAAGAGGTGGGCTCCATGGGCCATGCATCTGCCCTTGTGTTCACGCAATAGTGCACTGAACGCCCAGTAAGTGCCAGGCACTGAGGGCACAGCACTGAGAGAAACAGAGAAAGGGAGAGTGCTTGCTGGTCCAGTGGGGAAGACATGCAACCAGGAAGGAAATCCAGGCCCGGGCTGGAGCTCAGTGGTACAGTGATTGTGTAGGATGCACAAGCCTTGGTTCCATCTCTAGCACCACAAAGAAAGAAGGAAAAGAAACAAAGGGAAGGAAGGGAGGAAGGAAAAAAAAAAAAAGGCTGAAATCATGTTGGCAAATGCACTAAAGGATATGAACCAGCTGGACATGTAGGTTCACGCCTATAATCCCAGCTCCCAGGATACAGAAAGTGGGAGGATGGCAGTTTGAGGCCAGCCTGTGCATAAAGTTAATGGGACCCCCATCTCAATAAGCCAGTTGTGGTGGTTCGCAGTGTGATCTCAGCCTCGTGGAAGGTTCAAGGCTGACCCTGGGCAGAAAGTGAGATCCTATCCACAAAGAACTGAAGCAAAAAGGGCTGGAGGCGTGGCTCTGGCCCAGCTAGCCTGAAGCCCTGAGTTCAAACGCACTACCATCAAAAAACAAAAAAAGAAGGGGTAAACTGTCTCAAACTTACTCTGTAGTGGTTCGGAAAGATGAACGAATGGATGGAAAGGCCGAGAGATAGACAGATGGACAGATGAATAGATGGATGGATAGACACAGATGAGAGAGGATAGAAAGAAATATAAATAACTATGGAATCTGGCTGAAGGGTGTGTGGTGAATTCTTGTCCTAATCTTACAACTTTTCTGTAAGTTTAGCGTTACATAAAAATTGAATTTTGGCTGGGCGCCAGTGGCTCACACCTGTAATCCTAGCTACTCATGAGGCAGAGATTAGGAGAATCACAGTTCAAAGCCAGCCTGGGCAAACAGTCTGTGAGACCCTATCTTGAAAAAACCCTTCACAAAAATAGGGCTGGTGGAGTGGCTCAAGGTGAAGGCCCTGAGTTCAAGCCCCAATGCTACAAAAAAAAAAAAAATTGAACTCTGAAGGTGTCATTATTACTTGTGGGGACAGTCCGGAAAGGCTATGTTTGGACTTTGCTATTTCTAGCTGGACACCATTTCTCAAAATGTTTTCCTTCATGTAGGTATTTCTTTCTCTCTCTTTTTTTTTTCTTTGCTGTACTGGGATTTGAACTCAGGGCTTCACCCTTGATAAGCAGGTGCTCTACCACTTGAGCCATTCAGCTGGCCCTTTTGTGTGCGTGTGTGTGTGTGTGTGTGTGTGTGTGTGTGTGTGATGGGTTTTTGAGTTAGGGTCTTAAGAACTATTTGCCTAGGGCTGGCTTCAGACTGCAATCCTCCTGATCTCTGCCTCCTGAGTACCTAAGATTATAAGCGTGAGCCATGGCTCCTGCCTGTAGGTATTTTTGGAAGGTGGGATGTGTGCTGTCTTAGTCACTCTTTCTGTTGCTGTGACAAATACTGGAGAATCACACCTTGGAGAAATTATTTATTTTGGCTCCTTGTTTCAGAGGTTTCAGTTCTTGGCACTGTTTATTCTGGACCCACGGTGGAGGTAGAACATCTTGGTTGTGGGAGCTTGTGGCAGTCACTTTGTGACAGACAGGAAGTACAGAAAGAAAGAAAGCTGTGTCAGCTGGTTTTGTCCCCCCATCCTTTTATTCTATCCAGGACCCCAGACTTTGGGACAGGGCTACCCACATTCATGGTGGGTCTTCCCACCTCGGTTAGTCCTCTCTGGACACACGCTCACAGACACACCCAGACGCGTGCTCTACTAATCTCGTAGGTGCTTCTCACAGCAATCAAGTTGATAGTCAAGATTAACCCTCACCTGTGGTCAAATAATTCTGGGAAACACTGAGTTAAACAAAGTGTGTTATTTTAGCATCTTTAAAATAGCAGAGAAGGGGCTGGAGGTGAAGCTCAGTGGTAGAAGTCTTGTTCAGTGTGCATGCAGTCCTGAGTTTGATCCCCAGCATGACAGAAAGAAAAGACAAAGGAAAAGAAGAGAGAATGAAAAGCCAGGTGCAGTGACTCACACCTGTAATCCTAGTTACTTGGGAGGCAGAGATCAGGAAGGATCACAGTTCAAGACAAGCCAGGGCAAAAAAAAAGAAAACTTAGTAAGACCCTATGTCAACCAGTAAAAGTTGGGTGCAATGGTGCACTTGTCATAAAAGCTGCGTGGGAAGCATAAATAGGAGAATCACTGTGCAAATGAACTGTGGCATAAGGGTAAGACCCTATTCAAAAAATAACTACAGCAGCCGGCACCTGTGGCTCATGCCTGTAATACTAGGTACTTGGGAGCTGAGATTGGGAAGATCGAGGTTTAAGGCCAGCCCAAGCAAATTGTTTGGGAGACCCAGTTCTAAAATAACCAGAACAAAATGGACTGCAGGTGTGGCTCAAGTGATAAGAGTGTGTGCCTGGCAAGAGCAAAGCCCTGAGTTCAAATCCCAGTAGCCACCATCAACAACAACAAAAAGAAGGGCCAGGTACCAGTGGTTCATGCCTGTAATCCTAGCTACTTGGGAGGCAGAGATCGGGAGGACCATGGTTCAAGGACAGTCAAGGAAACAAAAGTCACACTTGATTTCAAAAATACCAACACAGAAAAGAGCTAGTGGAGTGGCTCAAGCAAGCCTCCCTAGCAAGCATGAGGCCCTAAGTTCAAACCCCAGTGCCAAAAAAAAAAAAGAAGAAGCCGAGCTCTGGTGGCTCACACCTGTAATCTTAGCTTGTCAGGAGACTTGTGGTTTGAAGTCAGCCAGGCAAATAGTTCATGAGACCCTATCTCGGAAAATTCCATCATTAAAAAAAGGTTTGTGGAGTGGCTCAAAGTGTAGTTCAAACCTCAGTACTACAAAAAAAAAAAAAAAGAAAGAAAAGAAAAGAAAAAAGAAAAAGAGCACCAATAAAGTAATGTTCTAAGAAGCTGAATCCAAGCCAGGTACCAGTGGCTCACAACGGTAATCCTAGCTACTCAGGAGGCAGAGATCAGGAGGATCGTGGTTCAAAGCCAGCCTGGGCAAATAGTTCACAAAAAAATCCATCACAAAAAAGGGCTGGTGGAGTGGCTTAAGATGTAGACTCTGAGTGAAACCCCAGTACCACAAGAAAAAAAAACTGACGGCAAAGGGACTGAGTTCTGCCAAGAGGAATTTCCCCGCTGCCTTCTGCTGAGGAAAGACCCATCTTTATTTCACTTAATGGGCAGTCAGACATAGCTGGGTACAGAAGGAAGCGACTGAACTGCTGATGCTGTGTGCAGCCTGTTAGTGAACAAAGCAACACTCTCCATTTCCAATTTTGAATTCCCAGGGGACGAGAGTCGTGACTTTCCATCTGGCACAGGCCAGGCCTCTGCTTAGTCACCAGTGGTGTATGTTCTGGGGAAACTCGCTTGCCCGCTCAGATGTTCTCTTAGCAAGTGCATCCATTTGCAGATCCAGGGCCTCAGAGCATGGCTTAAACTGTAGAGCACCCACCTAGCAAACACAGAACCCTGGCTTCAAATTCCAGTACTCCCCAGAACAAAAACAAAAACAAAACACCATTTGCAGATTCAAACTCAGACTGATGAATAGGAACAATAATCTGCGCCTAAAGGGAGATGTGTTACCAGTCAGCTGGCTGGGGTCCTTTCTGTTCTACCTGGAGTAGGCCAGGGAAAGGTGGTCCAGGGCTGGTGGGCCTGGGCCCTGACCCAGAGGCTTATAGAGCAAGTCCTGAGAGCCAGGGCCAATTGCTTCGGGCTCTAGCACTCAGGTTGGAGGCTTCAGCCCAGCACTTGTTGTAACCCTGGGCTTCCAGCAGCAGCGGGCAGCCCCTGCGCGTGTCACAGCTCCTGAACGGGCCTCGGGTGTTGGGATTCTCAGTACCTAAGATGACTTGTGTTGTAGCTCTTGAGCTCAGGGAGCTCCCTGGAACTCCTGCAGTGACCAGGGCTTGTGGTTTCTCATCTCTGGTTCTTCATAGCCTTTCATCTTTCTTTTTCTTTTCTTTCTTTTTTTTTTTTCATTGGGGCTGGGGTTTGGACTCAGGGCTTTACACTTGCAAAGCAGGTGCTCTACTGCTTGAGCCACCACTCCAGTCCACTCTACTCTGGTTATTTTGGAGATAGATGGGGTCTTGCAAACTATTTGCTGGGCTGACCTCAAATCATGATCCTCCTGATCTCAGCCTCCCAACTAGCTAGGATTACAGGCATAAGCCACCAGGGTCCGACTTTTTTCATCTTTCTTAAGCCTTGGCTCTCTGCCCTTTTTTACCCTCCCTCTACTTCTGCCACCCTCATTGTCTCCACTGCCTGTGCTCCCCATCGTTTCTGCCCCGGCTACTCTCTGGAACTCTTCAGCTGCCCTCTTGTTGCTACTGTTGTCATCACCAGTGCCACTGCTCCATGCTGCTTCTGCATCTCCTCTTCATGTGACCAGCTCAGCCTGCTTTACTAATGATAAAGATCAAGAGCAGGCAAAACAAGACCATTCAAGAGAAGCCTTTTATTGGGCCTAATGCAGCAACGCCAGGGGGCAGCACAAGAGGGCATTTTCAGGCTCACTCAGTGAGCTGAGCAGCTGCTTATATAGCCAGAAAAGGGGGTGTGGCAAGGGTGTTGGTACCAGTCACGGTTGTCCCTCATGCAAATGAAGGACTGTACTTGCACCAATCACAGCAGTCCCTCATGCAAATGAAGTGCCATGTTGGCACCAATCACCAGGCTTCTCCTGGGCCACCAGGGGATGTGCTCCCCCTGTGGCCTGGGTGGAAATGGCTGCCCCTTTACAGAGGCTGTGATGGCAAAATGTCTGTTGTAAGCTGTTTGAAAGTCATGGCTGGGATGGAGTCTTCTGCAGCAGGAGCGGTGCTTGGACAGCAGTCGCCTTGCTGGCCGTGCAGCTTCCTAGGGTGACTGTGGGGTGGTCACAGGGCTGGGTTCCCTGAGGACAGTCCCTCCAGCTGTGGGGCTGACTGTCCTCCATTCAAGGCAGCTGGCACCAGGGACGATGTGACAGCTGTCAATCAGGGAATCGCCCTGACCCCAGCATCTTAGCTCACTGGAAGGAAAAGTAGACACGAAAGGCGCTCACACTAATGTCCTGTCTGTCACTGACGTGAAGGACAGCATTTAACAGTGCTCTGCTCCCGCCCACACCCGGGGACAGTCGGTCAATCCATCTGTCTTGGTAAGTGAATTCCAAAAACAACCACATCAGTATTTCCCACTTCGTGTGCCTTTAGCTGAGACTTTGTCCTCCTCTGCTCAAGAGGTGGGGCCTGTCTTCCCTCTCCTTGAATGTGGGCGTCCCTGTGACTCGCAGTGACCAGTGTAGTAGGGCAGAAATGATGCTATGGCCTCTTAGGTTGGGACGTTTCTGTGTTCAGTTGGTTGTTTTTATTTATTTATTCATTCACTCATTTATTTAAGACAGGTTCTTGCTACATAGCCTAGCTTGGCCTTGAACTTCTCAACATCCTGAGTGCTGGGATTACTGGTGTACACCACCATGCCTGGCTTTTGTTTGGATTTTGAGAGGCCCTGGCTTTTCTGGTTTTGTGCTGTTGGAATACTGCCTTGAGATGAAGATACTGTAAGGAAGATTACGATCATGTGAAGGAGAATCAAGGTGCCCTGGTGACTGCCCCCCTGTGCCCAGCCTCCAGCTGAACCACCAACTGAATGCAGCCAAGAGAGAGCCCCAGGCCAAGCCAGCAGGAGAACCATGAAGCCAACTGTAAGAAACAGAGCCACCAGCTGGGCACCGGTACCGGTGGCTCCTGGCAGCATGGTTGTTTCTGGCAGACAGTTGCCTTCATGTGGGTCACAAGCCTGAGAGATCAGAGAAAGAGAGAGAGAGACAGAGAGAAGGAGAGAGAGAGGGAGAGAGAGCGGGCTCTCTGGTGTGTCCCATCCTGCGGGCTCCACTCTTGTGCCCTCTTGTAAACCTAACGACCTCCCAAAGACTCCATCTTCATCTACCATCAAGCAGGGGCTTCAGCTTCAAAATAGGAATGTTTTGGGGGGTGGGGAGACACAATATAGTCTGTAGCCAGGGGAAAGCACTAAGGGCATAATTTATCAGTAGATGTCACAACAAAACACCCGTGTAAAAATAATGAGCTCGTGGGTCCACACTGCAGTGTTCTCTGTGCTGAGACTTCTCACATTACAACAACAGAGTTACCTTAAACCAGCTACACACGAAGTTTTTTGGGATCACATAGTTAAGAAGACCCTGGATAGTTCTCAGAAGTGAAAATTACAACTGAGGCACAGGGTTGGAATTGGACCCTTGGTTTCTTCCTTCTGTCATCTTTGCTTATTGGCCTTAACTGCGGTTACCGACAGGCCTTCTGTGAGATGTCACTTCTGACAAATCCCCATTAAGCAAGTGAGCTGCAGCAACTTTCTTCCAGCTGGCGGACATTGAGTCCAAGGACAGACTGGCCCTCACTGGGCCTGACCTCAATGTCTAATTAATCACTGTCAATCTAGCTTTTGCTACCATCTGACTTCCTATGTACACATTTTTCCTTTGGCAGCACTGGGCTTTGAACTCGGTTTCATGCTTGCTAGGCAGGTGCTCTTACCACTTGAGCCACTCCTCCAGCCCATGAATACATTTTTTGTTTTGTTTGTTTGTTTGTTTTGGTGCTAGAGATTGAACACATAGCTTTGTTCATGATAAACACTCTTCCACTGAGCTACATCCTCAGCCCCCAGGTATAATTTTTTTTTTTTTGCAGTATTGGCTTTGAATTTAGGGCTTCATGCTTGCTAGTCAGGCACTCTACCACTTGAGCCACACTTTTGTTATTTTTGAAATAGGGCCTCTAGTTTATGCCTGCAGCCAGCCCAGTCTGGGATCTTCCTATTTACACTTCTCAAGTAGCTGGGATGACAGGTATGTACCACCACACCCAGCTTTTATTGTTCAAGATGGGGTCTCTTGGACTTTTGGCCTCATATCTCCCACTCTTAACCTCCTGAGTAGCTAGGAGTACAGGCAAGAGCAATCACACCAGTCTCAGATGCAATATTGTTTTATAGACAGTGTCTCACTATGTTGCCATTACTGGTCTTGAATGCATGGATCAAGTGATTCTCCTGCCTCAAGTTCCCATGTTGCCAGGACTGCAGGTGCATGCTGTCACACATAGTTAGATGCAATTTAAAATACATATATTTTTTTGATCCACGGTTGATTAAATTCATGATGTAGAACCTGAAGATACAGAGGTCCAGCTATGTCTATAACATCCTGGGACAGTAGGTGGCTTAATAAATATATGCAATAAATAAATAAATAAATAAATATTTGATCAGTGCTCGCTTTGGCAGCCCATAGACTAAAATTGGAAAGATACGGAGAAGATTAGCAAATGGTCTCTGCTCAAGGATGATACGCAAATTTGTGAAGCATTCCATATACAAAAAATTTGATCAATTAATGAATGAATGTCAAAAACCATGTGTTAACTCTTAATTTCCCAATCCTAGGAGGTAGATATTATTATCCTCATTTTGCATGTTGGAAAGCCAGGGCTTAAGTCAGAGAATTTGCACATGGTCTTATTTCTAGGAGAAAGTGCCAATGCCATTAGACAAGAAAAAGAAATAAGAGTCATCAGTATTGGAGGGGTGGAGGGAGCCTCTCACTGTTTGAACCAGAATCTCTCCAACCATAGTATTATTAAAATACTAATTGTCATTAAGACTCTTCATTTTCAGAGTTGCACAGATAAGAGAACCCAACAAAATAAGCCATTTATTTGTCCCCATTTTCCCAGTGGCCTGATTCCACCAAGAGAAGCTCCAGGAGAAAGAAGAGAAAAAGATGCCCTGGCTACCAGGGCCAGCAATGCCAATGGTGACAAGGAGGAGAAGACAGTCATGAAGAAGCTGTGAGTCACCTTGCTGCCCCTCTGACCACTGATGGCTACAGGAAGTAGTGGAGGAAGGGAGGCTGGCCTGGAGGGAGGCCCTCCTACTCCTTGTGTTGGGGCTGCAGCTGACAGGAAGGCTCCCTGCCAGTGCATCATCACCACCGTGCCCTCTACCAGGCAGAATCCAAGCACTGGACGTGTGTGTGTCTGTGCTGGAGTGGGGAAAGGAGAGGAGGATTATTTCAGTTGGAATCTGACTTCTGGTACTGTCAACCACAATTTGATGATGATGATGGGGTTTGAACTCAGGGCCTCACATTTGCTAAGCAAGCTCTTGATCACTTGAGCCCCAGCCCCAGCTCAATCACAATGTTATTAATATAATTATTACCCACATTTTCACTTCCATGGTTTCAGTTAACTGAGGTCAACCACAGTCCAAAAATATCAAATGGAAAATTCCAGGCTGGGCACCGGTGGCTCACACCTGTAATCCTAGCTATTCAGGGGACAGACATCAGAAGGATCTCAGTTTGAAGCCAGTCTAGGCAAATAGTTCACGAGACCCTATCTTGAAAATACCCAACACAAAAATGGGCTAGCAGAGTGGCTCAGGTGGTACAGTGCCTGCCTGCCTAGCAAGCGTGAGGCACTGAGTTCAAACCCCAGGACCACCAAAAAAACAAAAAACACAAACAAAACGTGAGATAATGGCCAGGCTCCTGTAGCTCATGCCTGTAATCCTGGCTACTCAGGAGGCAGAGATCAGGAGGATAGCAATTTGAAGCCAGCACAGGCAAAAAGTTCCTGAGACCATACCTTGAAAAAACCCAATACAAACAAGGGCTGGTGGAGTGGCTCAAGTGTTAGACCACCTGGCAAGCAAGTATGAGATCCTGAGTTCAAATCCCAGTGCCACCCAAAAAAAAAAGAAAATTCTAGAAGTAAGTCATCAGTAAGTTTTATATTGCATGCCACTTTGAGGAGTGTGATCGCTCCTGCTCTGTCTAGCTTGCGATGTGAATTGGCACACCTGTGCTGGGACTGCTCCCTGCTCCTTAGTCATGGTGTAGCCATCTTGGTTATCACATCAGCCATCACAGTGTTTGTGTTCAAGTTACCCAGATGGTCCTTAATAATGACCCCAAGGCTTGGGAGTGGTGGTGCTACCAATGTGAGTCTGTGAAGTGCTTCCTGTAGGTGAAAAGGTGCAAGTATATCACAGGGTTGTACGTATAGGAAAAAATGTAAATTATTTACAGTTTGGGCCATTTGCTCAGAGTCTTACACAATATCCCTAGAGGATGAGGGGTGACTATTGTGTAGTGAATCATCACAACAACCCTATTCTGTAGGAACTATTTCCATTCTCATTTTATGTATGGAAAGACAGGTACTCAGAGGTTAAGTAATTTGCCCAAGGTCACACAGGTAGTAAATAGTGAACTTGGGATTTGGAGCAAGGGTCCACCTCTATACTCTTCTGCTTCCCATAATACAATAACAAACAAAAAATAACAATGTTAAAACAAAAGAGGACTGGTGGAGTGGCTCAAGCATTAGAGCACCTGAGAGACAGCCTAGATCAGGGATGGCAAGCTCACGTGTCTGGGGACCAAGTACTCGATGTTGGTGAGCAGTGGGTGTGTGGGGTGGGGCAGGGACACTCGTGCCTTGGCTCTGTGTGGCCAAGGGATAACAGACTGCCAGGCTGCTTATTCTTGAGGGAAGCCAAGAAACCAGATTGAACTACAGTTTTCTAAGTGATTTAAGTTAAAACATAAACCCAAACTGGAGGCGTAGCTCACGTGGCAGAGCAATTGCTTAGCAAGCAGAAGGTCCTGAGTTCAAAGAAAAGAGAAAGGCTGGCTGGACATGATCTTGGCAGTTGAGCGCCTGGCATGCGTGAGGCGCTGGTTCCACCCCCAGCACTTCACCCACTTCCAAAAAAAAAAATATAGAGAGAGGGCTAGAAGCAGGACAGTCTTAGATAGCCATAGGAGCTAGGAAGACCATTAGATAGGGTGCTGGGACAGAGGGTGACAGGGGTACTTTAGATCTGGGGAGCCCTGGAAGGCCTCTACAACGAGGTGACATTCAAGCTGAGCCCTGAAGGACAACAAAGCCTGAAGGTAGAGCATTGCTGGCAGAGGGGACAGTAGGTGTAAAGGCCAAGGTCACAAGTGGCTTATAGATAGAAGGCCACGGTGGCTGGAGCAGAGGACAAAGGAGGTGAGGTTGGAGAGGTTCTTTGGGGGCAGATCTAGAGCCCTGTTCTTGGGGTGGGGGTGGGGGTTACTAAGCTGGGGGTAGCATGACCACATTCACAAGTGGAAATCTTGCTCTGGCTGCTTTGTGGAGAGGTTGGGGGTTACTCTTCCCTAAGGAAAGGCCTTGCAGGTAAGAGTGACGGAGGCTTCCACCCCTCCCAGTGCAGCAGGGCCACCGTCTCCTCCAAAATCAAGCGTCCAGAAGGTGTAACTTACTGGTTTCTTTCCTAGAGAAGTTCTTTGGTCCACTTGATTGGAGTGGAACCTAATATGGCAAAAATAAAATATCCTCTGGGTGAGCCAGTCTAAGGACATGTGTTTAATGAGTGTGAGGCCACAGTTCGTGGTCACGTAAGCTTATTGAGCTGGCGAATGAGTAAATGAATCGGCAGGTGACTTCCTGGAGAAGTAGGTTGTACTAAGAAGGATTTTGATCCTGAGGACAGTGGGAGCCTGGAAAGGCTTCAGCTAAGGAGTGACTTTGTCAGCACTGTGCAGTGTGCTGGGTTTACTCTGGCAGCTGTGGGAATGGATTACAGGGAGAGCCAGGAGGCAGCTGTACTCATCCGTGGTAGCATGGATGGGGGTGGCAGTGGAGGTGAGAAGTGGTGTTAGGAACATGTTTGGGATGGCTAGACTATGTCAGGAGTGTGTGAGGGGCAAGGACAACTCCTGGGTTTCTTGTGTGAAAGCTGCAGGCACAGGGGCAGATGGCCAAGTACAGCCCTAAGGCCTGCACTCCAACCACCACCAGTCCAGGGCTCACCCAGGCCGCTCCTGGACAGGCTGCCAGCAATGCTCCAGGTCTGTATCTGACAGGAAGCAAGACTCACACCCCTACCATGGCCCTGCAGCTATAACCAGAGTTCTAGGCCAGAGGCCCAACTCCGGGAATTCCAGCACGTCAGGTCCACCAAATAAAGACATGAGTGATGGTGAATGCTTAGCGCTGCTCTCTGTCGTGGTCCTTGCATCAGGAGAGAAAATAATTCAGGGAAGACACGACATTGTAGTAGAAACGACAGAAAAGTTTATTAAGAAAAGAGTACATTTTTAATAGTCTGAAAGCAGGTCCTCTCCAGAGGACCAGGAAGTATTCCAGGAAGCTGGAATTCTTTTTGGGCTGCTCGGTGAGGAACTCCAGCCCCAGCCCCATCTGATTTCTAGGATGGGCTCCTGGAGCTGGGTCTTTGTCTTTCTGTTTTGTTTTGTTTTGTTTTGTGATACTGCGGTTTGAACTCAGGCCTCCCTCAAGCTTACTAGGCAGGTACTCTACTACTTGAGCCATACCTCCTGCCATGTCTTGTTAAATTAAGATTACCTGTGTGAATTTCCCAGCCCCAAGTCCCTCCGATACCTGGGTGATCTGAGTCTTTGTTTTGCTGAATTCAAGACCTTTTGTCCCAGAAACTAATTCCACCTTGACTAGCTTAATCTCGAGTAAAGAAAGGACTAAGCATTAGGCGAGTGGTGGACTTGGAGCTCTCTGTGACATCCCACCGCTGTTGTAGGCTTCTTTGATCTTAACAGAGACCTTAAAGTTAGAGAGTGTAGGAGCCTGCATGGTGCTGGGGGCTCATATCTGTAATCCTAACTACCTGGGAGGCTGAGATCAGGAGGATCTCGATTTGAGGTCAGTCCAGGCCAATAGTTCACAAGATCCCATCTCCAAAATAGCCAGAGCAAAATGGACTGGAGGTGTGTCTCAAGCGGTAGACCACCTGCTTTGCAAGTGTGAAGCCCTGAGTTCAAACCCCAGTCCCACCAAAACCAAAAAAAGTCGAAATTTTAATTACAATGTTTTTTTTCTCAGAGGCCTTGAAGAATCCTCCATTTAGGTTCTTTTTGCAAAGCCCATCACTCACAGCTAACTGCTGCTCAACAGGAAGAGAAAGGAGGTTTATTATGGGGCTTGCAAGCCCTGGGAAGAGGCCAAGGCAGCACTCCAGCCATCTTTGGGGTACAGGCCTGGGTTTCAGGTCCAAACACAGGAATTGCTGGGGCGGGGAGAGGAATGCATCCTTAAGCACCCCGAGCAAAGGGTGGCCTGGGCAGTCATTAGCTCAGCTCTGGTTCTGCAAGGGGTTCTGGAGAAGTCATCGTCACTTGAGGGAAGCAATCTGGTCCCCATGGGATGGCTACTCCTGGTCCGCGGTGCACCCTCATCGTTCTAGTTAATCGTCCTCATTTGGGAGGTTTGTCTGTCCTGCGAGGTTCTGCTGAGCCTTTCCTTGGGGGTAGTTTCGATCCCTTGTCATAAAGATGCTACCATTCCTGGAACCCAAGGTGATTGCAGAAGAGACAGAGACACTCAGAGGAAAGGAGACAGGGAAAATGGAGGCAGAGAGGCCTGGTTTCTCTCCTGCTTTCAGTTAGCCTGTGGCCCATGGGAGGAGTCAGTGGTTTTTAGCAAAAGCAGTTTCTAAGGACCTGTTCAACAGGTCCTTTCTTAGAACTGATGATAGCATTGAGACTGCTTTGTGAACAACTCAGACATGGCTCTCTTACCAAAACTTTGTGTAGGGGCAGTCACAGCACTGGTGATCATAGCACAGGGGGACATCTTTGCATGTTGACCAAGACCTCATGTTAGTGACTGCAAACATCTGTTTATAATTGTAGGTAACATTGAAAGGTCCTCTTTTCCTCTATCAAAAACCTCCCCTCCAAGAGAGGGAGACAGAGAGAGAGAGAGAGAGAGAGAGAGAGAGAGAGAGAGAGATCCACACTGTCAGGACAGCACAGATCTGGGCCCAGCTCCTGGTTGCACAGCCCACTGTGTGACCTTGGGCTTTTTCCTCAACCTCACATGACCTGAGTTTGCTCATCTTGAAAGTAGGGCCGTTAATTATGCTGACCACAGAATTTTGAGTGTGAAGTGAGCTAAAGATGGAAGCATCTAGAACAGTGCCTGCTGTATAAGAGCCCCAGAATGATTTTCTGAGTCCACAGCCCACAAGAGTGGCATACGCTCTGCTTACCCTGCCTCTCTCTCTGCATCTAGGTTTTTTTTCCGGTCAGGGAAACAGACCTAGATGACGGCCATGGCCAAGGCAGTGGCTCTCAGGCTTGAGAAGACAGTCACCAAGATGATTCCAGCACCATCGCTCTATGCCACCCACCCACACTGTGTCACATGTTTATCTCCCCTCACAGTCATCTGAGGAGGAAATAAAGTGAGCCAGGGCTCACTTGCTCCTGGGCTGCAGAACTGGAAATCCTTGAAGGTTTGGCCAGGGCAGGTGAAGCAGTACCAAGAAATCTGGAAGCAGAATGAACAGGAGAGGGGCCACCTCTTGCCTCAGCTGCCCAGAGAAGCCTCCAGGGTGCTGACTGGCCTGGCCCCACAATGATCCTGGTGTTTAATGTGTGGTAGGGAGAAAAAAGTTGGAAAATATGATGCTGACTTTCCAGTGCTGATTTCACCGATATTTAATGAACGTTTCATGTTGTTCCACGTGCCTTTCTTTACATAATTTTGTATTAAAGTATAATGACTTTCACACTTTTCCAGCTGTCTTAGAGTGCTCTCTTACAGTTAAAAGGGTGTATATAGCTAGATGAGGTGGTACATGCCTGTAATCTCAGCACTCAGGAGGGCGAGGCAGGAGAATCAAGAGTTCCAGGCTAGCTGGGTGCTGTTGGCTCCCACCTGTAATCCTAGCTACTCAGGAGGCAGAGATCAGGAGGATCTCAGTTCGAAGCCAGCACTGGCAAAAAGTTCATGAGACCCTATCTCGAAAAACCTATCACAAAAAAAAAAAAGAGTTCCAGGCTAAACTGGGCACAGTGGGTCACAGCTATCATTCTAGCTACTTAGGAGGCAGAGATGCAGAGAGTTGGGGTTCCAGGTCAGTGTGGTTGAGATCCTATCTCAACCAACAAAAAACTGGGCATGGTGGACCTACCTGTCATCCTAGCTATCCGGCTGTGTGGGTTATTGGCAGATCACTTCACTAACATGCCCTGTATTCCATCCCCAGTTCTACAAAAAAAAAAAAAAAAAAAAAGAGTCCATATGGCACATCCATGTGTGCATGTGTGATACATACATGTTTATTTTATTGAATTTAAATAATGTACCATTGTGTTGTTGTGAAAAAAATGCTACATATTGTAACTGAGACGCTATTGACTTTAAGACACATCCTGATTTCAGGGATGTAAAATGTGGAAAAAAATGTGTCTTTAGGAATCAACGAACTACAGAATAGAGCGCAAAGATACTAAGGAGCCAGCTCCTGGGGCCTAGCTTTGGAAGTCACACCGGCTCACTCAGTGTGTTTTGTCTGCCTCATGGATTATCTGATTTGTTTCTTGTAATGGCTTGGGAGATGGGGACCGGTTCTGATCCCTGTGTTTACCACTCGCAAACTGAGACTCTGGAAGGCTAAAGGACCTTACAGGAAGCCGCAGAGCGAGGAGGAAGTGAGCGAGGACAACGCCAGCCTGATTCTAAGGCCTGGGCTCCTGGCTGCAAAGGTCTGTATGCCCAGTGGCTCTGCCAAGTAGTTTTAGTGTCCCCAGTGTCCCCGCGTGCTATGCCTGGCACATGAGGCACCTCATGTTGTGTCCTTGTACCCTAGGAAGTGGGTGTTATTGCAGTATTTGGGGTATGGCCAAGGAGGGTAAAGCAAAGTGGGTGAAGGAATGTATCTAGGGTCCCCAGCTAGAATGTGGTAGAAGCAGAACGTGAGCCCAGGTCCATGGTGTGAAGAGTGATATTCAAGCTGAGCGCCAGTGGCTCATGCCTGTAATCCTAGCTACTTGGGAGACAGATCAGGAGGATCTAGGTTAGAGGCCAGCTTGGGCAAAATAACCAAAGCAAAAGAACTGGAGGTGTGGCTTACTGGTAGAGTGCCTGCTTTGCAAAGTGTGAAGCCCTGGGTTCAAACTCCAGTTCCATCCAAAAAAAAAAAAAAGTCTACAGGGTCATTAGATGAGGGGCTCCCAATCTTTAGAATCCTGGAGAATGTCGCAGCCTTGCTTGGGGGATAGGAGGTGAGCCTTGGAGGGGAGAACCAACTTGGGAAATAAATCCATACATCCCAGGTTCATAACCAAGAAGACACCAAAACTATGCCAAGGGAAGGGAGACCTCAGAAGAGAGTTCCACTGTGGGAGGGCTGCATGCCTGGGGAGGGGCTGCAGAACAGGGGCAGCCCTGGGATCGCTCCTAGAGCCATTTCTTGCCATTTTACAGAGCACAGCATGGCCATAACACAGACCTAAGTTTATATAGATTGTTATTGGCATTTTTATATACCACCTGTGTCTCCCTCATGGGGATAGATGGGGTGAGAGAACTGCTCAGAAAGAAATGTCAAGTTGAGATAGCACTAGTGCCTCTGGTTCCCTGGGAGAGACTCTCAAAAGTCACAAGGAGAGGCCTGGCGTGGTGGTGCGTGCCTATAATCCCAGCTACATGAGAGGCAGAGATGGGAGGATTGAAGTTTGAGGTCAGCCTGGGCAAAAACTTAGGGGGACCCTATTTGAAAAATAACATAAAGCAAAAAGATCTGGGAGTATGGCTCAATTGGTAGAGCAAGGCAGAGTTTAGACCCCACTACCGCAAAAAAGAAACAAGTTACAAAGAGTGTTGCTAGGTAAAATCCCACACTGGGGTGCTGTGGAAGACAGGCCTGAACATTCCTTCTGGACGCAGGCCTGGCACAGCCACAGATGACAGGGCAGCTGTGTGTCTGGGACCTGGCTGCTCCCACACTCAGGTTTCTTACCACAAACTCGGCAGGGCCTTTGGAAGTGCAGGTTTAGAAGCTGGATTTGGAGCCCGGAGCCTGGTCTCAGAAGGTACCAGGCATGAGCCACCTGTGTTGGCCAAAGAGATCATCGTTTGAGTAAATACATCAGGGTTCAAGGCATGGCTTTCACCTGCTAGGCAAGAGAGAAACCCCGAGTTCAAACCCCAGTACCACCAAAAGAAGAAAAACGAACTCAAGTTACATGTGGTGTTGCACAACTGTAAATCCCAGTTCTGGAAGAAACCGTGCCAATTTCTAATCCTGGTAATAACTAGCATTGACCACTGAGGGTCAGCTATGTGAAAGTCCAAGTGTTTTGGTTTTGTTTCTTTTGGTGGGTTTGGGTTTGAACTCAGGGCCTGGAGCTTGCTAGCCAGGCATTCTTCCACTTGAGCCGTGCCCCCAGCTCTTTTTACTTCAGTTATTTTTCAGAGAGGGTCTTGAATTTTTGCCCAGATTACACTGGATTACACTCTTCTCTCATAGTTAGGATGACAGGCATGTACCACCACTTTTTGCTTGGGCTGGCCTCAAACCTCCATCTTACCCATCTCTGCCTCTTGAGCAGCTGGGATTACAGGTTTGAGCCACCATACCTGACTTTTTATGTGTTGACTCATCAAATGCTCACGGTCACCCCATGGATTAGTTACTGTCCCTGTGCAGTGCAGGAAACTAATGGATGGGGAGGTCAGTCACCTGTCCAGGGTTACACAGCTAAGTGGATGGGAGTCAAAGGCTCTGTTCCAGGGCCTGAGCATTCGGGCACCAGGCAGTCCCTTCCTCCGAGGCGTAACAATGCCTGAGTCCTTGGGACACCCTGCAAGGCAGGTGGACAGATTTATTACTTGATGGCCTCATCTCAGAGGTTACATGAGTGACAACCACTAAAAGCTGATGCCATATCTGCTCCACCCAGTCCCAAGTCATCCCAAGTGCTCTGTATTGGGACTGAGGGGACTAAGGAACCTAGCTGGTGGGGGCAGAGATCTGAGCTGGCAGGAGGGGCTCTCAGCCCAAGCCAGGCAGGGCAAATGATGCTGACACCTGCCTGAGAATCAGATCTAGCAAATCAGAAGCAACAATAATGGCAACTGCATTTAGTGCGTGCCCACAAGGTATTAACTTTTTATTTTCAGAAGCACCTCTCGACCCACCCTCCTTAAGAGGAAGAGGAAACTGAGGAGCATGGGTTCCCGGGACCACATTTGAAATCCCATCGGCAACACTGTGACTGGCACTCTAGGGTCTAAGGCTGGTGTGTGACCCTTTCATAAAAAAACAACAGGAAACACACCCTGCTTCTTAAGGGCTTGGGATATAGTTCAGGGGTACAGGGCTTTGTCTAACATGCACAAGGACAAAATGAAAAAAACCAAAAACTCCTTTTTGCTAACTCTCCCTTATAGAAACAGACAGACACAAGGGTGGCCTCGCCAGGCAATAAATATTTTAATTTCTGTTTCATTTTTATGATGACAAATAATCTTCAAGTTTATTTCCTCTTCGTTTGTTTGCTTAAATACAAAGCTAAACCACAAACAGGTACAACCAAGACATTTCATTTCACATTTACACACTCCTGTGGATCCTCCTCCAACTCGCTGACCACTGACCAGGCTAGCGGGGCAGGGGGAAGACTTTCTTAGGTAGCACCGTCGTGAGGCCCAGGGTGGGGTGAGGGAGGACCAAGGACGAGAGCCCTTCCTTATACCTGGCGTTTACATTTACCTGGACCAGGTGGGCAGGAGCTCAGGTTCCAGCTCCCGAGCCCTGAACTCCCTAGGGACAGAGTAGGAAGCCACCTTCTCCTGTCTATCGCACTGTAGGTGAAAACTTGAGGCTCCTCCTTGTTTCCTGGCTTCCAGACCTTGCTGGCACCCAGCACACCTGGTGACTTCCTGAGGCTTGCCATGGTCACTAGGGTAGGGGTCCTGGGCTCGCAGGCTCACACTGCAGTTCATGGCTGCATCTTCACCGGAAGGACACCTGATGGTCTGACACACTGCAGGCCTTGGCATCAGGGCGGGTGAGTGGGGGTATCGGTAAGTAATTTCTGGTCCCACTACAAAACTTTATTTTTGATTAGAATAGAGTACCATCTCAAATCTCCTCTACAAAAACTAAAAGCCCAAAATAAAGCAAAACAATGCAGCCACTTCACTCACTTCAAGACCTATATACATGTAAGTTGTTTTCTGTGGTTTTTTTTCTTTTTTTTGATTTTTGTTTTTTATTTTTTTTTTTTTTTTTTTTTAAAATAAATTCAGTGTTCACATTTCTATAAAGAATTAACCAAGTTTCAGGAAGGCCTGCCCCGCGGGTGGGAAGCAGTGCTCTTCCCGGCCCTCTGGCTCCTACCCACCTGAAGCGGCCTGCGGAAGAAGTGTGCGCTCAGCCGGTGCGGCCAGAGTCAGTAAGCTTTCAGAAGCAGAGGGAAGACTAGCTTACTGCAAACCCTTTAAAACATTCATGCACGTCAGCGTGCGCCTGTCGAGACAGAGGAGAACAAGAGCTTGGAGACGTCCAGCCAGGCCCGACGTGCGTGGGGCATGCCCTCGCAGCCGCCTGACCTTGGACGTCAGTGTGGGCAGTCCTGGCACAGACTCGCCCGGCCTCCTAGTTCATGGTGACCCTTCTTCTAAAACCTGTGCCGAGTCTTGGACTGCATGCACGGGAAGCACGAACCTTCGGCTTGTATGCAAAAAAGGTACAAAAACAACTAGAATATAAAAGTTTTGGTAATATAAGGCCATCTGTTCAAGTCCACCTTGGAAACCTGTAACAGATATTTAAATACTACAGTGAAAAGGCATCTTAATATGCTTCATAAAAACATTTGAAGTAATCCACTAAGAGGAAGTGTGTAAAAAATCATTCCCTCTGAGGGCACTTTGTCCTTTGCTGGGGTGGCGGGGCCGTCGACCACCGTTAATGCTTCAGCCATGGGTAGGCTTCGATGGAGGCCTTGCTGCGGTCACCGTAGTCATACAGAAGCTCCTCCCCAGCGGCGATGTCTCGGGAGGCGATGAGGATGAGGTGAGGCACCCCGTCGATGTCATGTAGTTTGGTTTGGCAGTTCCCACATTTGCTGTGATTGATCAGCCTCCCCAGGCGGTTTGTTCACGAGTGGCATCCACGCTGGTGGGAGGGGGATGAGAAGGGATTAAGTTGATAAAGAGGCTTTTAACCTAGTCCGGTCATGCTCTGTCTCCACTCTGGAGGGGAGCTGATTTGTAGCCATGTTTTGGAAAAGGCAATTCAATTGTAAAAAGCTATTTTTAAGAGCCAGAGAGGTCCTGGTTGGGGGCTTGGGGACAGAATCCACAGGCTCTTTATGGAGTCAGGGAGACAAGTGTAGAATTTTGCAAAATAAACAGATAAAGTGGGCTCCAGCCACAGCCACAGGAGCAATTAACAATTTTGCAGAGCGGCTCTATCAAAATGCCCTGAGGAGGGAAAGGCTACTTGCAGTGCTATGAGGTGCTCATAGGATGAGTTCCCTTCTGCTTCTGGGTGGATTCTGAAGTAGTATCCATGACAGCTCCAATCCCAAATAGTATGAATGGGGAAGGCAGGAAGAGCTGTGTCACAGCTATCAAAAGATACCCAGCACTCACAAGAAACCAGTCCAGCTGGGCATGGTAACGCATGGCAGTAATCCCTGCACTCATTCAGGAGGTCAAGGCAGGACTGCAAGTTTGAGGTCAGCCTGGGCTACATATGAAGACTGTCTCAACCCCCCCTTTCCCCCAAAAACAGAAGCGGATCCCCAAAGAATCAGGAGCTTGTCGAGGAGCTCGACTATGGCTGGTCCCCTACCAAGAGGTGGAAAAGCTACCCACAACTGTGCGCTCACCAGTAGGTCTTGCTCAGATACTGAAAATAGTACATGTAGCAGCCCGTGGAGGGGTCCTGTGCGTACAGAGCCTCTCGCTTCTTGGCATCAGTGATCTCGATGAGGTCCCCGTGGTATTCCACCACAAAGTCACCCCGGGAGAACTGCTTGGTGGCAATCACACCCCTGCCTTTGCCATCGATGAGGTCAATCTGTTAGGAGGTGACAGACTGTTGGTTCATAAAGGTGACAGTTGCCACTAGGCATGGCGGGCTTCCTGAAGGCTTGGAGCTTATACCATGTTTTTCACCAGCATCGCTGAGGTAGGCCTCAGTAAAAATAACCCCCTCATCTTATGTGCACAACTTAGTGGGTTTTACTAAGTATACACAGTTATGCGACCCTCACCATGATCCAGCGTCTACACCCCACAGCACTGACCCTCAGGAGAGGTGGGTGCTGCCCCATTCTCCAGATGAGGAGACTAGGCCTTGAATGGCAATGCCTCGTGTCCAAGGCCATACAGCTAGGAAGGGGTACAACGGGGACTGTACTCCACAATGCGCTCTGCTGTCTGGGTGAGGAGTAGGCCCCTTGTCGGAGTTTCTCCTGAATTCCATCATTTACCTCTGGGGTTTGTCCTTGCTCTATTACAAATGAAGCCAGAGGATAGCTGCTTGGGAGGCCCAGGCTTTAACTTCAAGTCCCCCTGGATGGTGGCAGAAACAGAAGTTTCTGATTCTTGGCCACCAGTCCAGACCCATCTGGCCACCACCCTCTGGAGAGGTCCTCCCCTCTGCCTGATCCAAATGCCTTTGAAATACACCAAGACAGGGCTGGGGGTGCAGCTCAGGGGTAGAACATTGCTTAGCATGTGCGAGGCCTTGGATTCGATCCCCACATGGAAATAAGTAAACAAACAAACCACTAGGAGAAAAGCAAGTGCCTTAGACACACTGCCATGTGGAAAACAGAGTTTAGGAAAAATTTTTGACTCTGTCTTTCTCGTTTTTTGTTTTGTAAGACAGGGCTTTGCTGTGTAGCCCAGGCTTCGTGGAACTCGCTTTCCCACTGCCTCTGTGTCTCTAGTGCCAAGATTACATGTGTGTGCCACCACACCTGGGTCTTCCTTTCCCCTTTTTAAAAGTTTGCCAAGCATCATGCTAAGTGAAAGAAGCCAGACACAGCAGCTAACACTCTGACCTGCACTGACATGAAACAGCACAGGCACCCCCACAGAGACAGAAAGCAGACCTCAGGCTGCCCGGGGCTGGGGGGAAGGTGGAGTGGCTGCTCATGGGAACAGTAAAACAGCTCTGGAATCAGACAGAGGCCATGGCCGCACCACACTGTGATGTGCTGTCACTGAACACTGGAAAATGGTTTAAATGGGAAATGTCATGCCACAGGTATTTAACCATAACTAAGAAGTTTCTCAGAATAGCATTTACTCTGTACAAAGCCCATTAAGTTCCCTCCATTAGAAACGTCTTTTATGAGTTTTCCTACTGGCTCTCTTGACAACCTAGTATAGTCTGAGCCAGCAGTGACCATCAGAGGTTGCTGTGGGGCCGTCCGGTGAGCCAGAGCCCAGCAGGATGTGGGGTGCTGGTGTCTTACCTTCATGCCTTCTTCCTTCCCGCTTTCAATCAACTCATCTATTTTTTTCCTTTCTTCAGACTGGGTGGAGAGAAAACAGCACTATCAGCATTTGCTCCCACCATGCCACAAGGCCACAACTGGCCTCCATGACACTGGTCCCCAGTGATGCCTGAGCCCCAAGCACGCCTCCTTCTCTCATACTCATCTGTGGTGGGCGAGCTGTCATCCAGATCCAGTTCCACCTCGAGCAGGAGCACCCAGTGGCAGCCCCAAGGGCAGAATGGGCCTGCTATGCTTTGGGTCTTTGGTTTGCTTAGGGCTGTTTTGAAACAGGGTCTTGCTATGTAGCCCAGGCTGGCCTCCAACTCTCCACCCTCCTGTCTCAGCCCCCCAAGTGTTGGGATTACAGTCCTGTACCACCACGCCCAACAAGTGTGGACCTTAAGCATCCCCCAAATGTCCATGTGTTACAGGCGGTCCCCATGCAATGCAATGCAATTGGAAGGCACTGGAAACTTTAAAAGGTGGAGCCTAGTGGGAGTCTTCTGGTCAATGGGGACCATTCCCTTGAAGAATCATGGGACTCCAACCCCTTCCTCTTTCTCTCTTGCTTCCCAGCCATGAGGTGAGTGGTTTTACCACCAGGTGGTTCTGCCATATGCTACCTCACCCACAGCAAACAGTGGCCAACTGAGCATGCTCTAGAACCTCTAAAACTGCAAGAAAATGACCCTTGTCTCTTTCTGATTGTCCCAGGCGTCAATTACAACAGTGTGAAACTGACTACCATGGGCCCTCAGGTACAGCTGTCTGGCCTACACAGTGTTTTTTATTTTACCTTTTTGAGACAGGGCCTTGCTATGTAGCCAGGGCTAGCCTGAAACCTGTGATCCTCCCTCTCAGCCTCCCAAGCTCTGCGATTGCAGTGTGTGCCTCCACATCAGTTTCCATGTACTGATTATCACCGACATCTAAAAACCAAGAGTCTGACTTCCCATACAATCACCTATGACAGATTAGAAGGTGCACACTCTAAATAGGGCATTTGTGCACCATGTCACTCCTGGCTGATAGCCCCCACCAACGTATCTGCTTAGAACTCTGAGCCACATCTCTGAAGGAGCTAATACCTAGGGTGAGAAGAGGGCTCCGAGCTGGAGAGCCAATGCAGCCCAGAACAGAGAAGCCACAAGAGTGGACTCTATCCCCAGTTTCCTGTCTCCCACAGGCCATTCCTCCTGTTCCTACCTCCACCCATAACCGCTGCACTCTCAGTGCTCAGGGCACCACAGAGCAAGTGGAGTTATACAAAGACAGCCCAGAAGCCCCCAGCTAGGGCGGCTCACCAGCACAGCCCTCTGCACCACAGGACAGACAGCAACTGTGGGGACTCACACCTGTACTACACAAAGGCTTGGAACCAGCTTGTAGGTTGCCAGCCACTCCGTTTATACCTGGGCTTGACCCTGGCATGCGTGCTGGGGATGCTGGTGAATGAGATCAGAATCTGCTACCTGCAGTCCCAATCTGACCACTGCCCCTGCATTCCCACTCTGCCCTCCAGCCAAGCCATGCAGTGACATCCACCTTGCTGATATCCCACCTTCTACTCTGAACTCAACCGAGCAGCCAGAGAAGTCTTTTAAAAGCACCCATGCTGGCTCCTCAGTAGTGACCAATTTTCCATGATAACTTGAGATGTTAGCAAGAGGAGAGGCTGTGAAAGGGTCTATGGGAACTCTCTATTATCTTTGCAACTTCTCTGTAAATCTAGCTGGGCACTGGTGGCTCATACCTGTAATCCTTGCTACTTGGGAGGCTGGTACTGGGAGGATCACAGTTCAAGTTCAGCCCAGGCAAATAATTTGTGAGACTCCCATCTCCAAAATAATGAGAGCAAAAATGGAGAGCCTGCTTTGTGAGCACCTATTTTGCAAGTGTGTGTCTGGAGTTCAAACCCCATTTCCAACAAAAAGTAAAAATAAAAAATAAAAGACATCAGCTGCTTGGGAGACTGAGGTAGGAGGCTTAAGAGTTCCAGGCCACCAGGTGCCAGTGGCTCATGCCCATCATCCTAGCTACTTGGGAGGCAGACATCAGGAGGATTGAGGTTGGAAGCCAGCTTGGGCAAACAGTTTAAAGACAACCATCTCCAAAATAACCAGAGCTGGAAGCCCTGAGTTCAAACCACAGTACCAACATCAACAAAAGAAGTTTTTCCTACAGAGATACCATGTGCCCCAGGAATAGACTCTACCTATCCAGTCTCAGGACCACCCCTGCCCTTGCTCCCACCCTTTGGCCACACAGCTGGTGCTTCCAAAACACTTGTTCCTGCCTCTGGGCCTTTATACTTGCTATCCCTCCTGTCTAGAGCGGGTGGGCCTTTTTCCCCAAATTCATCTGCCTGGCTTACTTCCTCCCTTCCTTCAGGACTTTGGCAGAGAAATTCCCCCGACTACCGAGGTAAAGAACCCTTAGTCCAGAACTTGGAAGTGCTGTCCAAGGTTACCTTGCTCTTTTAGGGTCTCTTTTCACTGTTATGCATTCCCCATTTGGAAATAAGCTTCATGAGTATAGGGGCCTGAGCTTGTTTACTGGGCAATCTCCTATGGGGCAAGGACAGTGGCAAGGAGTAAGCCTTGGAAGCAGTAGCAACGCACACACACTCACACACACACTCATGCAACAACACACTTCATTCTTTCCAGCATGGAGAGTAGAGGAGGACAGTGGGCTGTCAATGGGAGCAGGTGTGGAAAAACCAGAGTAGGGAACTGGGGAATTTTCCTGCTGGGACTGAACACAGCCTGGAGGGGCTTGGCAGGGCAGGGCAGGGCTGGAAGCCCGGGATGAAGAGCTAGGGAGCCAGAATCTGTTCTGGAGGCCAGGAGTTTGAGGCCTGCTTATGTAGGCTCTGGACTTCCTAAAGGGGATTCTGGCAGCAGCCATAAGGGGTGGGAGGCAGATGGCGTGGGGGTTGGCAAGGCCTCTGTGAGGACGATGTGGGCTTGTGACAGAAGGCGGCAACAGCCCCCGAAAGTCTCCAGGTGGGACCAGCAGCTGCTCCACATGTTGGGCCTGGGCAGGGCCAGGGATGAAAAAGCAGGCACTGCCACCAGCTGCAGCTCCTGCCCCAGTGTGGCGGCCATTCCAGCCAGCCATCAGGTCCCATAGGGCTACATCAAGGGGGTCAGGCATCTCTCCAAAGACATCCTGTGTCCAAACCCTATGGCCCAGATTCCTCCCTCCCTCCCACCCTGAACCTGGACCCTAGGGACCTTGCCCAATCACTGTCTTTGGATAGCCAGGTGCCCCACAGCTTGACGGTTCAGCTTCACTCCCGGCCACCTGGTCAACCCCAACCTGGCCCCTTGCTTGGGCCGAGGGCAGTCAAATGAGGACAAACTGAACTGCAGCACTCAGACAGGCTGAGCTGCCGTGCCCTCGGACTTCCCTGTTCAGTCAAGAGACTACACACGCTGCCGGCAATGGCCACGTCATCCTGGGCAGCAACAGCCTTACTGCCCTGGCCGGCATCAGCAGCACTCACGGTGCTCACCGGGCAGAGCCAACACAAATAGTGAGGGGCCAAGCATGGCTTTTGCTCGCACCTGGCTCTTAGTGCAGCAGCAGGGCATGCACTCCATGTCTGCAGCCCAAACATTGGGGAGGCAGTTGACTGCCCTCCGACTCACCTGCTGCAAGACTTAGCAGACCTGCATCTCAACCCTCTGCAGCCCTCTCCTCTGGGCACAAAGGCCTTGGCTTTTTATTAACGAGGCAAACTAAGCTGCTCTCTCCAACCCAGCTGGGCGGAGTCCTGGGTTCTGTGGCCTGGCACCGCCTCCCCTCTGCAGTCCTGCCTTTGAGAGTGACCTAACACAGCCTCTCACTGCCAGCGGGCGTTTTATAACAGCTCATTCTTGGCTGAAAGACACTGCTTTTCCCCAGAAATACAGCCAAAGTGGCTTGCTGCGGAGGAGAAATGGACCCTTCCCCCCCCCCGCCTTTTTTTTTTTAAACATAAAACTTCACTGAACTAAAAGGAAATGAGATGTCTGTCCACCGCTGCAGATTCAGCACAAACAGCGCTGAAGGTGTCTACGTGACAGTTGAGACACTGAAACTGCCCAAGCTGGGGTCCCTTATTTCTGTAGGGAGGCGATCCTGAAAACTCAGGGTAAGACAGGGTGCAGGAGTGATGGCAGCCCCTGCTGTTCCAGAGTGGGAGGGCACTGGAACCTGGTCACTCCCTGGGGTTACAGAACAAACGGGCAATGACCACACCTACTGCACCAAATACTGACAGGCGTAGCTGGCCTTACTGTCTGCATTCTCCTCGTTTCTGTGTGTTCCCAACGGGGAAAGGGCAGAGAGGAGCCTTGGGAAGCAACCATACTGGGAAGCAGTGGGGATGACAGTTGCAGTTAACTGGCATTTATTATGTGCCAAGAAAGGTTTGATGAGTCCTACATGCATGAAGCTGTTTGTTTTCTTTATTTTCTTGAGTAGCCCAGGATGGCCTCCACCCAGTAGGCTGGGATTACAGATATGTACCACCAAACTCAGCATGAAACCATTACCTCAATCCTCACAACCCCACCAGCACTACTTTATCCTCCCATTTATAGACCCCCATTGTGGAGGCACAGTGAGGGTAAGTGATTCCAAACCACTGTTCTCCACAACCCTGAGCTACGACAAGGGAACTTCAGGCTACAGATAAAATAAGCCTCTGAGAGACCAGGCCCCCAGCTCCAAATGACCTTGCTAACAGTCCTGGAAAAGCCACCCTCACAATAGCACCTGGTTTTGATTCTGAGCTACAGAGTACAAGGCTCCTTCACAGAGGTGTCTTAACCAGGCCTCTCAGTGACCCGCAAGCTTTATGGTGATCCCGGATAGAGGGAGGAGAAAACCAAGGCCAGACAGGCCAAGAGTCTTGCCCCAAGACGACACAAGCCAGGCTGAGGATGTGTATGGCAAACATAGCCCAAGAGGCCACCCTACCCCTGTAAGAGCTGGAGCTGAATCACGTGACTCTACCTGCAGCTCAGCTTTGCTCTTCCTGGAGCTCCTTCGGACTGGGTAGAAATCTGTGAGTTTGCGATTCTGTTGCGTTTTCCCTTGAGCTCTGGGTGAGAAGGGAACAGAAGGAGAAAGCGCTCAGGACCAAAGCCATGCTCACTCCCAGGGGTGAGGCTGCTCCTGGGAAACATGTCACTTAGACACCTCTGTCCACTGGGACCTAACTGCAGCTCAGCTCAGCTGCCTGGGGGGGGGGGGCTGTTTCAAGGACAGGGAGAGGCAGGGAGGGAAGGCCTTGAACTCTGGACTCTGCCATACTAAGACTCTGACAACCATGGCGTCAGGGTGACGACTCAGGGGACACGAGCCTTAGTCAGCAGAGAGACTGAGTAGCACCCCGTGGGTGCCGAGCAGGCTTCGGGGGCCACAGGAACCAAAGGGCTCTACATTAGGAGAAACGTTCTGGGGCACTTACTTTTTCCGAGGGGCCTGTTTGCCCCTGAGGGGTTTTTTCAGGGCTTGCTTGGCGCCCACTGTATTGGTAGAATCACATGATGAGGGTGGAGATTTTGGAGGTTCTGCTGCTTCAGATTTTTGGTTTGGAAAAGGTGCCAGGGGACCTCTCCTGGCGTCTTTGACCTTCTGTTCCTCGGACTTCAGGGTGCTTCTTATTGCATTCCCGGCATTCCTCTTCTCTGCAGCAGGGGGTGAGAAGACAGGGGTTCATTCTCTACCCTCCCCCTCAACTTGTAGATATCATTTGTATCCTATAACAAGCTAAGAAGAGAGGATCATGGGAGGATCGGGCTTTAGTTCCGTGGGACCGGTGAGCCGATGCCCACTAGTGCTATCACAGAACAAATGTCTGGCTCTACTCTTTCACCAGGTTGGGTTGGTGGAGTGGCTCAAGTGGTAGAGCGCATGCCTAACAAGTGTGAGGCCCTGAGTTCAATCCCCAGTACCACAAGCAGAAAAAAGAAAAAAAAGGAAGTATCTTTCACCAGGACACTGGGAGGAGGACTTGGACTTCCACATCTGGACATGGAACAGAACCTGGGGGGCAAAGCAGTGCTGCAGACAGCAGCGCTGGCATGAGTGCTTGATCAGCCACTTTTAGGAACTGGGCCACAGTACCAAGAAAACAGGTTCAACTCCTGAAGTGTAGGCTAGCACTGGTGGCAGGAGTGAGAGGACAAAGCAGAAACTCTTGGCATACTTTACTTCAGACCCCTAGCAATACAAGTCCCTCTTCTACCAGGGGTGGAGACTTCTGCTCAGGGTGGCTTTCGCATGGCCTCTGAGCAGAGCGCTCTCGAGAGGCACTGCAAATGGCGTTACTGAGAACGGCGTGGTGTACCAGTGCTGGTAAGCTAGTCACCTTTTTTTTTTTTTTTTTTTTTTTAATGATTTGCTTTTTAAAATAAGTAAATGATACACTACTGGTTGGAATATAAAATGGTACAGCCACTTTGGAAAACAGTTTGGCAGGTCCTCAAAAAGTTAAACAGAGTTACCATGTGACCCAGTGATTCCACTCTCTAAGAGAATTAAAAATACATGTGCACACAAAAATCTGTGCGTCAACGTAGCTTATTCATAATAGCCCACAATGGCAAGCAACCCGAATGGCCATGGGCTAAGAGCTAAACAAACGTGCTCTATTCACAGTGGAACAGAGCCGAATGACTCAGCCACAAAACGCCGCAAAACGCTGGCATGTGCTACAACACAGACAAACCCTGAAAACGGCATGCTGAGTGAAAGAAGTCACACACAAAGGCCACATATTGTGTAATTCCATTTATAGGAAATGTCCACAACTGGCAAAGTCACAGAGACAGGAAGTCCTTTAATGACGGCTTCCTGGGGCTGTGGGGGACAAGGACTAGAAGCAACTCCTAAAGGGGCACAAGGTTTCTTTCTGGGGTGATGAAAACATTCTAGAATCAGACAGTGATGATGGCTCCATTAAGAATCACCAAACCATACATGTGAAAATGATAAACGCAGGCTGGGGCTGTAGCTTCGTGGTAGAGTGCGTGCCTGGTCTAAGTGAGGCCCCAGAACCACACAAATAGGTAAGTGAGCATTATGAGATGTGAGTTACAGCTCACTAACCAAAAGAGAAACATAAATACTTCAAAGCCATCAGTCGCTCTCACTCCCTTACATGCATTCTTGGGTGGAATGAGAGGGAACCCAGGCCAGGATGGCAAGTGTAACCCTATGGTGTGTGTCCCCTGTAAACACCATCTGTAAGTTCAGTCAGTTTGTGTCACGGCACAATTAGGGGTAATAAACTGGCTCTCAGGATCTCTAAAGGACATCTGACCCCAAATTCTACTTGATGCCATTTGGTAACACCAAGCTAGCTTGTAGACCCTATTACCATTTGCGACAATATATATTCTGCCTCATTCCAAAAATGGTTAGGAGGCTGGCCAGCCACCACTGCGGAGAGAGACCTCTCCCCACACCTAAGTGGAAGGTATAGGGACGCACAACATGCGGCACGGGCAGTAGAAGAGAGCTGGCATATGGAGCTGTCATGAAGCCTTTCTGCATCCGTGCTATAAGAGAGCCTCCAAATGGCCCTATTGGTGAGATAGGATCCTGTTCCTCCCAACTCAGATGAGACAACTGAGATTCACAAAAGAGCAGCAACCTGCCCGATCCTGCCCTTCCAAGTGGCAGAGTTAGGGTCAGAACTTACGTTATTCTGAGACTAACTGAAATACTACTACCCCCGAACCCCCACCCCCGCAGCCAGCTTCCCTATCCTGGTTCTCAGATCTGGCCCCAGGTCAGGCTGCATCATCACTTCTAATCCTTTCTGTTCGTAACACCTACAGAGCTGACAGGAGCCAGAAGCTCTGCTCTCAGGCAGGGAAAGTTTTAATTAGAAGACGCATGGCTAACTGAAGCTGTGAAATGGAGACTGTGGATGATAGCAAGATTCTTAGAGGGCCAGACAGAATTTTCCACTATACGTTTTCTAATTCAAATTTTTATTTTTTATTTTTTATTTTTTGCAATGCTGCAGATCTAACCCAGAGTCTCACACATGCTAGCCAAGTGCTCCATGACTGAGCTATATAGCTCCAGCCTTTGTTATTTTAGTTCCAAATCTCATTGCAGTGTACGCTGCTTCAGAGAGTCACAAAGAACGCCCCAATAGAAAGAAACTTTAGAAATGGGGTCAAGGCCCACCATAAAACAGAAGGAAGTCAATCGCTTGCATTAACTGAACACTGCAGTTTCCGAGTCTACAACCTGGACTCGCTAGTTCTGCATTTTGAGCAGTTATGAGCCTCTCTCATTGCTGGTCAGATGTTATTTTTGCAACGTGGCAAGACCCGCCTACAAGCCTGCTGGACATGGTAGCTCTTGTGAAAGCAGGAAGAACGTGTCAGGCCAACAGGGCTGACGCCCTAGGACAAACCCTCTTCTCACCTGTGTTTCTTTCTTGGCAGGAAGACCGATACTGGAAATCTGTCACACTTGGGACTAGAGAGGCTAGTTAGACATCTAACACATGTGCACTGTTACAGGGGAGAGGGGCTTCTGCAACCTGATCAGCTGGGGTACAAGGGGCTCACCTTCTCGTTTCCTGTAGATCCCAGCTAATGGTTTCCCCTGGCATTTGACTTCGTGGTGTGCAACTGAATTCTCTTCCTGAAGGGGGGAACGCATTCCAGAGCATTTGTTCGGGCTCATGAAGGAATAGATCTTTGACTGCCCGGCAAACACGTTCTCCTAGAAAGAAAGACAAAAGCGTATTCTGAAAGAGGCTTGAAAGACAAGATCCCATAGCATTTAAGGGGACAAGGGGAAATAAAACAAAAATCAAAAGCCAAAGGACATTTCTCAAATCCACCACTGGGCTAGCAGGGGATGCCAGCCCCAGCTCTTGGGGGGGGGTGGGGCAGGCAAACAATGGCAGGTTTTGAATCACCCAGATCCAAGTCAAAGGTGGTCTTTTAATCTGGCCAGTAGCAAAACAAGCTGTATAGAAAGGATCTAACCTACTGGCAGCAGGAAGATCAGAATGACCAGGGAAAACTGACCGGTAATCTGAAGGGCAGAGCCAAGTTAGGAGTTAAACTCCCCAGGCAGGAGCAGCCTAGAACCAGGCCTCAGGGGACCTAATTAACCACTTGGTGGCAAGGCCAGCTGGGAGGGCTGAGCCTTCTGCTGCGCCCAAGCCTGGCCCCTCTCAAACCACTGGAGCCCGGCGCCTCCCAGCGCTGTGGTTGGAGGAAGACTTCCCTCCGGGTGATGGGGGAAGCTGAAGGCAGCAGAGGCTCTGGGCCAGCGCATTTAGGGCGGTCACTCTACTGCAGACCGCACCTTGGCGGTAGTTAGTGACAGCGGGGCAGACCCGTGGGCGGTGCAGGTCACTGCTGGTGTCTCTGGGCGTGTGAGCACACGGGAGGAGGGCTTCCCAGAAACAATGCAGCGCCTTGCTGCCTGGTGAGCCATTAAACACCAGGGAGGCCAACGGTTGGTGACTCTCTGAGGGACCCAGGCAGGCCCCGCACACACCCTGGGCAGGCAGCCACCTCTGGAGACGCTGTGACTCGAGCAGTGCAAACACCATAACGCCACAGTCAAAACTTTTCCGAGGTCAAACATTGCCAGGGCCATGGCGGAGCCGAATGTGGCCGTCACTCCCAGCCAGGCGAGCAGCAAAGGAAGCTGTCCCTCGGCCGGTGCCCCAGGGCGGCGCGGGCGGGGGACCGGGGGGCGCCCACGTGCTCGCGGCCCGGGCCCGGCGGGCGGGCTGCAGAGTGCGGGGAGGGGTCCTGCTTACCCCGTCGGTGCGGGGCCTCCCCGGGCCCCTCCGCTCCACCATCTCCGGGCCCGGGGCCGTCGCTGCCACCGCCGCCGCCGCCGCCGCCACCTCCACCGCGCGGGGCTTGGACATCTTCCTGCCTGGAGAGGGGGACCCGGGGGAAGCGGGGGAGGGGGCGCTCAGGGCGCGGCGGGGCGGGGAGCGGGGCCGCCCGGGCCGGGCGCCGCGAAGGCGCCTCCCGCCGCAGCCATGTTTCGAGGGCCCGGCGGCGGTGGTGGGCCGCCCGCGCCGCCGGGAGGCAGGGGCCGGCCGGTCGGACCGGCCGGTCCCGTGTCGCCCTCCCGCCGCCCGGCCCGGCCGGGCCCCGCGTGCCGCCCGCCCCCCGCGCGACCGGCCCGACACACCCACCTGCAGCCCGGCCAGGCCCATGGCGGCGCGCCCCGCGCCCTCGCCCTCGCCGCGGCCCGGCCACCAGCGTTGCCGCTGCCGCTGCTGCTGCTGTTGCCGCCGCCACCAGCGCCGCCGCGGCGCCCCGGGGAAGGGCCGGCGGCGCCCCACGGCGCCCCCCTTCCCCCATGGCCTGCGAGCAGGGCCGCGGCAGCCCCGCGCCGCCCCGAGCGAGGGACGCAGGGAGGGAGGCGCAGGCGGCGCGTCCTCCGCGGCCCGCCCGCCCGCTCGCTCGCCGCCGAGCCCACCGTCCGGCTCCCGGCCCGGGGAGGGGGCTGGGAGGGGGCAGCGCTGCGAGGCTCCGCCCACGGAGGGAGGGAGGCAGGGCGGGTCTCCGCGAATCCCGGCTCGGGCGCGCCCCCTCGCGCGAGGCCGCAGCCAGTCGGCGAGCACCGGCTGGGAGACCGGATGATGCCAGCCAGGCGCCCGGCCCGGCCGCGCGAGGACCCCCGGCTGCACCCTTCCCCGCAAGCCCGTGGGTCAGGCTCTGCCCGCATCTCGGTTTTAGATGCGGACGCTGAGGTTCAAGGGACGTACACCAATTCTCCCAAGGGTCACAGAGTCAGGAAGTGATGGGACCAGGTGTCAAACCTAGGGGGTCTGAACTTGGCGGGTAGGAGGCTCCGAGAAGACCCAGCGCGGGACTGTAACGAAGTTTGCTGGGTGCCACTCTTGCCTGTGCTGTCTCATTCAAACCCTACAACAGCCCCAGACAGCATTATCTCTTTGCTACAGATGGGGAAACTGAGGCTCAGAGAAGTGAGGAGCTTGGCCAAATTCCCACAATTTATAAATGCATTTCCAGCCCAGGCTGACCACGACTACACTTCTAGCCACTACCCTTGTCAGTTGCAGATGAGGAAACTGAGGTTGGGAGGAGCAAATGGTGTTGCAGAAGGGTTTAGCAAGTCACCTTGTGCTCCCACCTTCTCCACCAATGAGAAAACACCCTAGGTAGACAAGGTTCCAGTCATTCTGGCGGCCGCTGGCATGGCTCACTGCATTCTGCTGTTGCTGTTAGGACTTCCGGGCCCTCAGCCAAAGATTCACTGTATTTGTGCAAAGTCATAGATGCAAATAAGACACTTCAAGGCGCCCAACTCCTGCTTCCTGGGTTTCTCTCCCTGTCTCTGCTCAAAGGTGCTTTGTGCCTATGGCCAAGTCACTTCCCAAGTCTGGCATTCTGCTTTCTCATGGGGTTAAAAACCAGGACCCTTGCAGTCCATAGTCTACCTAGGGCACCTGCCAACATCTACAGATATCTGTAGGCCCCTCCCCACCTTGCTTCTATTAGAAGGGATAGGACTGAGTAGGATTAAGAGGCAGAACACCACTGGAGGAGACAATGTCTCACAAATCAGCTCATGCTTTAGCATCCTTCCAGGCAGACTCCACCCTAGCCACAAGCTCCAGGGAAGTAAGGGTCTCTGCCCATGAGCTCTGCAGAGCCTGTCAAGAGACTATGGAGAGGGAGGAAAAGGGTTCCAAGTGACACTCTGACACCCAGGTCAAACCACTTGGAAGCACATCTGCAAGCAGACAAGTTTTGCAGTCTGTTGCCAAATTACCATAGGATCACAGTTTTGGAGATCATGCTGTCCAGTTCACATACTATTTTAATCAACTACCTCCCAGCTCCACAAGCTCACTGGCCATAGTTTTTGCTGCATGTTAGCCCTAAAATGTAGAGGATACACTGTAGCTAGATGTAAAAGCAAATCATTCAGTGTAAATTTCAAAAACAGTTCTCCCTTTCTCAGCACAGGTTTACATGTATATAACAAATATATGTATCAACAGAAAATACAGGGCTCCTGGTAAATTACCTGCCTAGCTGGATCCCCAACACAGCTAGGAACAAAGAGACAAACAGAAAAGTCAAAAAACAAAACAAAAACAAAGAAAAGAATCAAACAAAAACCTCCCATTTAAGCTGGGCCTGGTGGCTCACACCTATAATCCCACACTGGAGAGACTGAGACAGGAGGATTGAGTTTGAGGCCAGCCTGGGCTACATGAGACCCTATTTCAAACAAACAAATAAAAACTCAGAAATACAAATGCTTGATATTGCCCTAGAGTCCACAGAAATAGGATTCAACAATATCAATAATAATTAACATTGTTGCATGTTTACAATGTATTAGCCCCTGCAATACTAAAGTATTTAATTTAAACTTCTAACTGCTTAAAAGGAACTATTATTCCTATTTCACAGATGTGAAAATTGAGCCTCAGGGCAGAAGAATCAGGTGTCTAAGAGACCTATGACAAGGAAGTGGTAGAATGGAACCAAGTTCTGCTACTTGAGTGCACTTCACATAAAGAATGCATACTACTGCTTCTTCTTTTTTTTTCTTTTTAGCAATGCTGGGGTTTGAACTTAGTGCTTTGTGCTTGCTAAGCAGGGGATCTATCACTTAAGTGACCCCCCCAAATCCTTGCTGTTTTATTTTTTGAACAGGGTCTTGAGTCATTACCTGGACTAGCTTAGACTGAGATCTTCTATTTATGCCTCCTACATAACTGAGATGACAGGCGTGTACTACCACACTCAACTTACTTGTTGAGATGAGGATCTCACTAACTTTTTGCCTGGGCTAGCCCCTGATCTTCCCCATCTCTACCTCCTGAGTAGCTGGGATTACAGGCATATGTCATGGTGCCTTTCTCTTGATTTGTTCCACCCTTGCAGTTCACTTCGGGAATTCGAGTTCAACCCAGACCAACCTGTGTTGCATAGCAAGTCTGAGGCCAGCCTGGAATACATAGCCAGATCCTGTCTCAACAAAATAAAACAAAACAATTAATAATGAAATAACAATAAACCTGAGATTTTAACTATTTACATGACTATAAAATTTCAAAACCAGAGAGAAATTGTTTGGTATCTGCAGTTTGTTTGGATGACCCAAGGGACTCTCAGTGAACTGCAACTCTGGAACAAAGACTCATTTTCTAGAAGAAGAAGCCTGAATCTTCCTTGTTTGATCTACTGTAAGTATCCAATAGAATAGTTTGCAAGAGTAAGGAGGCCTAAAAAACAGGTAACTATGGCAGTTGGTGGTCAAGTACAACAGTGAGAATTCCTAACCAATAATTATAAAGATACTTTGTAAGCCTGCCATGGTAGAAAGTGGAGAACATTCCCCTTCACTTTGGCTACAAAAAGGAAGGGAGGGCAGAGCAAGCAAAGAGGCAGCAGGCCAGAGTCCGGACAGTAACTTTGTACTTCAGCTTCACTTCTGAAAAATGAGAAAAAAACCAACTCTGTAAAGATTAACTTCGATAATAAACTGCCTGGCCTTTTAATGGCAATTAGAATTATCCCATGCTTAAAGTATTTTAATGGCAAATGATCTGATTTCTTCCTTCCTACACATTAACTAAAGCCAGTTTTATTTTTTTAGTGTACTACTTTTGAAACAGGTAGTTAAATGGCTTTGTGGTAATGGAAACAATGAACCAGGGAATAATTTTATTAAGGCTTGTCAAATAAATTAAATGTGATTTTAGATGCTTCACACCTTTTTTTTTTTTTTGTGATACTGGGGTTTGAACTCAGGACCTCACACTTGCTAGGCAGCTGCTCTACCACTTGAGCCACTCTGCCAGCCCTTTTAATTTGGGGATAGGGTCTAGTTGGGCCTGAACTACCTATTTATCTTCCTATTTACACTTCTGTGTGGTTGGGATGACAGGGGCAAGTCACAGCACGAAGCTTTCATTAGTTGAGATGGGGATTTTGTTAACTTTTTGCTTGGGCTGGCCTTGAACTATCACCCTCCTGATCTCCACCTCCTGATTACCGGTGTGAGCCACCACACCCACATTCTTCTAACGAAAAATATTAGCTTGCACTTTTTCTGTGAATTGGGTTACAAAACTCTTTAACCTGAAATGTAATGTGCCTCGTTTCTTCATGAGAATCTGGTGAAGTCTTGTCCCAAAAGACCATATAGGACTGTTGAGAGAATTAATTATTCCATTGGGTACAGGCCTGAAAACAAAGGGGTCCCCCAAAATGTTTGATGAATGAATCAGGTTTTTATTCATTATGATTGCTGCAGGGAGCATACTGCATCAAGGCAAATTTCTACTAAAACTAGATGCCTTGAAATTTTGAGAAAAATGTAATACTTCAACTTTATATATATATATATATATATATATAGAGAGAGAGAGAGAGAGAGAGAGAGAGAGAGAGAGAGAGAGAGAGAGAGAGAGAGAGATTCTAAAGCTGAGTACAGTGGCGTCCTTCTGAGATCCCAGCACCTGGGAGAAACATAGGCAGGAGAATCACAAGTTGGAGGCCAGTCTGGGCTACACATACACAGTGAGATCCTGCCTCCGAACAAATAAAGTTAGAGAGTCTATTCAACTGTTACGCTTAAGTTTTTGGCCCCTCAGCGTGAAGGAGACATGGTGGCTGGAAATGCCAGGCAGTTGGATATCTGTTTGCCGCATAATGTGAGCTTCGCTGTCCTGACAGCAAACTAAGCATGCAAACATGGACTTCCAGCAGGGACATCGTCAGCCCACCCATGCCATCCCAAGGACCTGAGTCCTGACTAGCTTCGGGATAAAGGGCTGCCCTCGGCGGCGACGGGGGGTCCGTTTCACCACAAAGTGGGCCAGTGGTGCCGGGCCTCGCCCCGCCGCACAGCGCTGACTCAGGGCGTGAGGAATGAAGGTGCCTGCGGCGGCGATCCCGCGGATGCGCTCCGCAAGATGTAGGTTACAGATGTGCGCTCTTGCTGTGCGAGGCGACAGAGAGCCCCAAAGTGGGTGAAGCCTCACGTGTCCCTCCCCACATCAACCACCATTCCCTGGAGGGTCCCTGAGCCTTAGTTTCCAACGAACTTTGACATATGGATCCGCCACCTATAGAAAGGCAGGTCAGCGGGCGCCCACACTTCAGAGAGGGAAAACTGAGGCACGGCAGTGGGAGGAGCTCTTGGGAGCTCTGCGAGCGGGCGGGGGGAGGCGGAAGGGGAAGGTTCAGCAGGAGCCGCCCCCACCCCACCCCCACCCCCACCCGTGCCCGCGCTCCACCGCAGTACGGCTATTCCCCGCCGCTGCTCCCGCCACCCCGGCTCTCCCCACCGAGACTCCCCACCTGGCCGGCCCCTGCTCCGGCCATCTGGACAAATACCTTTAGCCATGGCCCGGCACTGTCACCGCCTGGGATCTCCCGGGAAACCAGCTTTCGAAAAAAGTTGCAACAACTGTAGCCAACTGCTCCGCGGGGCTAC